CAAATCGTAAAATGACTGCTTCACGACTGATTTGAGCGCAACCGCCGCTGCGAAAACCGCTGTGAGAGTTCGAAAAGTGAGTTACAGAATCGAAAGGCAGGAACTAGCTGCTAATATTTTCATTAGATTCTTATTTATAAAGCAATGTCGAGAAACAAAATATTTCTCGACCTACTGTCGGTGAAACCTTTTTTTCTGTAATAGAATGCAAACGGGTAGGAGGCTCATCTGATGCTAACTGCTAAGTGATAGCGCCCATTGACACTCCTTGCCATAAGGCTCGCAAGTGCGATGACGGCCTTTTAAGAATTGGCCTGCTCTTTTCTTTAAGGACCCTAAGTCGAATTGGTTCGGAAATACTTCAGTGGGCAGCTGGTTCCACATAGTGGTGGTGTGCGGCAAAAACTGTCTTAAGAAACGCTAGTTTTGGAAAGACGGACGTGATACGGATGGTATATAATCTGTCCAAATATCTGTTGATAGTTTATCGGGTTCATATAATAATAATTGATTTAATCAATCAGACAATCATAAGTCATTGGTTATTATAGTGTTAGGTACAATATTGTTCTAAATATTATATTAGTAGCTTTAAATAAATAAAATAAATAAAATATATTAAATCATAAAATTAAAAAGGGCACATGTAGTCCTATTACAATGACCCATAAGGGCAATCCAGGCTTTTACCGACAGCATGCTGTTAGGTAGAGTCTTATTATAGCTATTTATTCATACTAACACACTGTCATAACAGAGCCAATACGATACTAAAAACACGTTGAAAAGCAAATATCTTGGTTGAATTATATATTGGGTAAAGTTTGAATATTGACAAAAACCTAAAAATGCCCCACCTCAAGCTTTGAAACTAAAAAGGAAATGGGCTAGTCATGTAACACAATAGAAAACAGATGAACGTTAAAGACAACACAATGGAAGGGACCACGCGGGAAAAGAAGAGTGGGAGGACAAAAAGGGATGGCTTAATTGTAATAGCAGGAAAAGACTGGCAGACTATTGGCAAAGTTTGGGACATATGGAAAGCGTTGGAGGAGGTCTATACCTAAGAAGAAAATTACATATATTGGAACGAAGTTCCTTATCGCGCGTTGTGAGAGGGGGCTAGACGGAAAAAATTCTTACGAAAAGTTGTCACGACACTTTTTTGCTATTTGCTATTGAAATACATCGGTTCTCGTCCGATCACCGAAGTTAAGCAACATCGGGTGAGGTTAGTACTTGGATGGGTGACCGCCTGGGAACACCTCGTAATGTTGGTTTTTTTTCGCAGCGATAAGTGAAAATTATTTTTGGAATCACTTAACTAAATTAGTCGTAGTAAACGTACACCAGAATCCCTTTACAATAATAATTGCGGGGTCCCTAGTTTCCTTGCAATTTTTTTCAATGCAATACCTTGAAAAAATATTCATTATAATAAATTAAAAAATAATGTTTTAGGAAAATGTCATAAATTTCTGCGAATTCAAAAATTAGTGAACTAATATCACAACGAGAACAGCTTATACAAGGAGATGAACCAGATGAGACTAAATTAAAACATCTGAACCACGAAATACAAAATATGCTTATTAATTGTGCCACTTAATTTACATTTTGGTTATTTTACTATTTAATCGCTGCGTAGCACAACGACATCATCCTTCTTCCTCTTTTAGATTCCTGGTCTCTTAAAACTTTAATAGACGATGAAACATAAGATTGGTGTCGAGAAAATCTATCATACTGTTATGATACCAATTAACATATAAATTAATCGAAAGGCACTTCGTTCCATCCGGGTGTCCCTTGACACCTCTCAAGTTTTTTTTTATCATTATTATTCTTATTATCACTCCGATTGATTTATCTTTTATTATAATTGTTCTAGGTCCTTGTGGCGGTGGCACAAGCTTTACCTGAACGTACGTATTAAACATTCATTTAAATATCTCAGAATACATATATATATATGTTAGAAGTTTGTTGTCTTGACAGCAATGTCAAGAGGGCATATGAATTTTTAACTTGGGTTTGTAATTAAGTGTCATAGGTCCTGAATAAAAACTATCAGTGTTTAAATTACGTTATTATTTTCATCACGGGTATTCACCAACAGAATTTTATTACTTACTTATTTTAAATTTTTACTAGCTGATCCGGCAAACGTCGTTTTGCCATGTATATCATTTATAATAAAAAATAGGGGTTGATCGTAGAGGGGTGAAAATTAGGGGTTGTATGTATTTTTTAATGCTGTATCATAAAAAAATAGAAATTAAAAATTTTGTCTAAAAATAAAAATAAATTTAGGGGTGGACTACCCCTAACATTTAGGGGGATGAAAAATAGATGTTGGCTGAGTCTCATAGATACAAAAAATTTCATCAAAATCGGTCAAGCCCTTTCGGAGGAGTATGGCAACGAAAACTGTGACACGAGAATTTTATATATTAGATTCCTCTTCATCAGCCCCAATGATGTAAAAGTTTAACCAGACCTTGAAAAACCCTTTCATGTTCATCTACTATTACTTACGGAAGAGAATATATGTAAAAATTACCAGCAGAACCTGCTGTAAGCTGTTTAATCATTTTATAAGATTCTGTTTCGTCAAAAAAATCGCACCTTTCTTAAAATTCGTGTCAAGCGGTTATAACTTCTAAGATCCTTCCTGGGACCCTATCATTATTAGTATCATTTAAAAGCTTAGTTAATAAGCTTTCAAAAAAATTATCATTTGTTTACGGAAAATCAAAAACCACAAATCATCAGCACTTTAATTAAAAATGGCGATGTACGCGTTTGGAGGCTCACTAATTATACCACCCTGGACGCGTATATAACGAGGGGTAAAAACTCAATTATGGGTTATTCGCTATCCAGACGTCACAGAGGTCACTCCTGAAGAGCTTCGACAAGAAAAACCTCAGTGAAAATGGATACCATGGCAAAGAAGCAGCTCAAGTGGTGGCCCTACTGCAAATCGGACTACGGCAGGTTGAAGTTGCTCGGCAACTGAAAATCAGGCGATTTCGAGTGCAACGGGTATACCAACGGTTCCAAGAAACTGGAGGTTATATCAGGAGACATGGATCCGGGAGACGTCGCTGCACTACCGTCAGAAGTGATCGCTCCATTGTGTCGATGTCTTTGCGGAACCGCTTCTTCAACGCTGTGGAGATGCAGCAGCGGCTTTGAGCTACTCGAAGGACAGCTGACAGCGTCTCCACTATCAGAAGAAGGCTGTGAGAGAAGAATTTCATGCCCCGGAGAGCTGCTACAGGCCCCCTATTGACTGCCATCCACCGGACGAAAAGGAAGCGATTTTACGAAACGCACGTGCCGTGGACATTCTACCAGTGGAGGAATGTCCTGTTCTCCAACGAAACCCGAGTGTGCCTGTAAACCAACAACATGCGTAAGAGAGTCTACAGGCGGCCAGGGGAGCGTTTCACACCAGCCTGCACCGTGGAAACCGTCGGGTATGGAGGAGGATCCTGCATGTTCTAGGGCGGTATTTCTATCGACGGCAAGACAGACCTCGTGTGCGTCTCCAGAGCTGGAGATGGTCGCGGTCAGGGTTCTCTGACTGCCCACCGGTATATCACCGAAGTTTTGGAGGAGCATGTGGTCCCATGTGCAGGTATTGTCGGCACCAACTTCGAGTTCATGCCGAACATTCGAGCCTCGATTGTCAAGGACTACCTACGTCGAGTTGGCATCAAGGTTATGGACTGGCCAGCAAGAAGCCCCGATCTCAATCCTATCGAGCACCTCTGGGACGAGCTGAAACGGCGAGTTCGGGCCCGTAATCCAGCTCCTGCCACTCTCGATGAGCTTCGAGATGCCGTCATCGAGGAGTGGGACAACATTCCCCAGGAACACGTCGTGACGCTCATCAGGTCCATGACTGACCGCTTGGAAGCTGGTTGGAGAGATAGAGGAGGCAATACTAAGTTTTAAGACTAATTTTTAAGGATTGTCATTGTTTATTTTTAATTTTTGTATTGTTCCTTTTATTTGTAATTTTGATCAGAATACACATTGTTTCACATTTTCACAGAATTTTCTTTTTTTATGGGGGTGGTGGCCAATTTCCTACCGTTTTCAAATAAGGGATTTCATTAGCTTTCAAATGATACTAATAATGATAAGGTACAGGAAGGATCTTCGGAGTTAGAATCGCTTGACACGAATTTTAGGAAAGGTGCGATTTTTTTGACGCCGAGTGTAAAAGGAAAAAATAAATTAGGATTATACGAAATGGTGACACAACAATTCAATTTAATGCTGTCTTAATTGTTTTTTTAAGGATTAATAATATTTATGACTTACTGTAAACTAGAATTAGTAGTAATAATAATAATTAAATATTGGTAGATAAAAAATTAAAAGAAATAAATGAGTTTGGTCCCTGTGGCAGTGTACCTTTATTGATATTTACTCGCTGTATAGCGATATATATTCGTTAACCAAAAAGCACCAGCTCTGGGGTCACCAGCCCTGCGATTCTGTAACTCACTTTTCGAACTCACACACCGGTTTTCGCATCGGCGGTCGCTCTCAAATCAGTCGAGATGATTATGATTTGGTATTCTGAAAAGGTGGGATCGATTATGATTTGGTATTCTGAAAAGGTGGGAGCTTGTAGTTTATTGTTTATCAGAATGCCAAATCATAAAATGACTGCTTCACGACTGATTTGAGAGCGACCGCCGATGCGAAAACCGCCGTGTGAGTTCGAAAAGTGAGTTACAGAATCGCAGGGCAGTACTATCTACCAGTCGCTAATTTAAATCTTTAATTAGTGCCTGTGCACTTGAACCCCACGGCCCAAGAGTCTCTACTCCATAGGGAACAAAAATTGGAAGAGACTCTTAACTAATTTAATTATTATACAAATTGTGTTTTTAATTCAGAGAACTAAATAAAAATAAACTCGGCAGAGTACCAACAGTTCAACCAAGAGCAGTCATACCAACATAATCAGCAATATGCTCGCAATCAGGAGTATCAGCAGAGCAATCAGTTCCAGCAGAATCAAAACGAGCAATTTCATTATAAGCAGAACGAAAACAATGAGCAGTTCCACACAGAGCATCACGAACACAACGAGATTCCAGAATGAACATCACGAAGGTGTAACTCATGATGGAGGTAATTTTTTAAAACATACAAAAGTGATAAATTCAAAATTTTACAGATATAGCAGCGGCCTATGTATGCAGAACTTTTTTTAATATTTTGTAAATAAACTACGTTCAGGAAAAATCTAACAATCTAACCCCGTGGGTAGAATGCCTGGAGAACCCCGAGGGGCCCATCTTAAGGGCGTGCAAGGGCTGAGTTGTTTTTAGTGGGTGGGGTCGCTACCCCTCTAAATAGCTTTGAGTCACGGCCAGCCCCACGGTCCCGCGTCAATCTCGACGTCCATAGCGCGGGCCTGCGTAAGCGCATTTTCACCTCGTTAAAAAAAACTGTTATGGGTTATTATTGTAAAATGAAACCAAATATTATTTTTTATTTTGACTGTGAGACATATACGTTCATTGCATTTGGAGTTATACTTAAAATAATATAACTTAGTTTCCTAGATATTTGTGGACAAACAAAAAAATTCAGCGCACCTTAAAAACCTTATCGTTAAACACTAGGTGGTGTTTAAAATATATCTAATATCTGATTAACATAAGCTCTATTGATGTTTCTTACCTAGGTAACGAACATGGTGTTCTGGGCGTATTGGGAACTATTGGCAATGAAATCCATGACGTGAAAAGTATCCATGAGAACTTGGATGATGCTATCCTGGGCGGTCCAGTCGGTAAAAGTGAGTATTACATCTGCATAACTCGACGTTTTGAGTTTCTACATTCCTGCTTATTGTATTATAGTAATAATCTTTCTAATATCAAAATGTGTTTATATATCTTAATATATATATATAGGTATATTATAACAATGCATTACAATCTTGTATGTGTTGTAGGATTTGGGAACCATTTTAAGTAATAAATACCTGGGTCCCAGCTCTTCACAATCTTAATTTATATATTAAAAAAAAAAGAAAAAAAAAAAACCCCCCCACAAAAAAAGCCCCCTCCCCCCCCCCGGGGGGAACCCCCCCAAAAAAAAAAACCCCCCCCCCCCAAAAAAACCAATTTTTGGCCAAAAAAACCAAAAAGGGGGGGGGGGGGGGGGTCCCCCCCCTTTTTTTTTGTTTTATATTTGTAAAAAAAAAAAAATTTTGGCCAAAGCAACGCTTGGCGTAATTACAATTTTGTTAAGATTAATGCAATCCAAGTCTTAGCGTAACATTTATAGACGAGAGTTAGTGGTAAGTTAGTTACTATTTCGTCCTAAGTCCCGATGCTTCAGCGTGCGACTCTCATTCCTGGGGTCGTTGGTTCGATCCCCGGCTATGCACCAATGCACTGTCTATGTGCGCATTTAACACCCGCTCGTATGGAGAAGGAAAACATCGTGAGCCATGCCTTAGACCACAAAAGTCGATGGCGTGTTTCACGCACCGAACTTTGATCACCTATTAGCCTATTAGAAATGATCATGGAACAGATACAGAAATCTGAAGCCCAGACCTAAAAAGTTGTAGTGCTTTTAGTATATATGTACAGGGCGAGTTCATCAGCCTACTATGATATTTTATGTGATAGACAGCATAAGATTCTTATAGAAACAAATTAATTATACTAAAACACATTTTTCATTTCTTTATATTTAGGATCTGTTTCACAATGTCGGATAAGTTCCAAATTAGCTATTTATTACTTATTGGTAGGATAAACACTATTGATGCGTTTCACGACTGTCAGATAACGATTCGTCACATGAAGTCCATCATAAGTTATGAGTCCGATGAAGTGTCAAATAGCACAATTTATCTTCCAAATAATTTATGTGTGACATAGCTATTTGGTACTTTATCCATACATTGTGAAACAGATCCTTAATACCAAATTCAATTACAATGCAAATTTTTTTCAGAAAGAAAACGTCCCGACCCATTGGTGAATTTATTTGGAGTACATAGTAAGTGAAACATTATTTTTTATGTATAGTTAGCGCTCATGAACATCTTTTAATAGCGTTTAGGGTCACAGAATAAAGGGAAGAATAAAGTAAAACCTAGAATTGTCTGTGTCGACCATAGAATTGTGCACGAAAAATATGTAAAATCTTTTGTAATTGAATATAATAGAATAGCAACTTTATATTCTTCGTGGACATATTTGGAAAGCGAAAGCACGCATGCTTGCATACGTTAAAAAATTATATGGATATACTTTCGAGCTGTCAAAAATGGATTTGACGTATCGTAAAGCTGTCACTTAGCAATAATGGTTAACTAATTTTTAACTTTAATGTTGAACACAATAGTGGCAAAAATAATTTAAAAACTATAATCTATAGGTACCTATGTCTAATCTTCCATGTTCCCTAGACAGCATTATATGGGTTATAAAGTTTTACGGCCTTTAAATGCTGTTAAATAGATATCTCGTTAACGACAAAGTTTAATAGAGGTCAGGCATGCCCTCTAACAGGCCACATCTCACTTAACATCAGGTGAGAGTGCTTGCGTACAAAGTACACATGTCAGAAGAGAAACTTCTTTGGCCGACTAGTTTTGAAGTCTTGTTCATATTTATACAAATCTAAAACTTTAGATTTCCGAGACTTAGATGGAGGAAAAAGGAAGATATGTTAGGAATTTAATGAATTTAATTGTCATTAAAATGTGAAAAGTGTCGAAAATGAATTTAAGTTTATTTCTTCGATAATAAAAACACGTAGCATTTTAATTTACAATTCGTCATTTGAGATTTCAATAATTTATTTTGCATAAAATATAAAATACTAATATTTCATAAATTCTCTTTACGAAATTTTAATTTTAAAAATAGAGATTCTATAAGGTACCTAATTCGCCGTTCTCACTCTCTCAATCGGTCTCAATCGTTCACTCCCTTTTCTTCGACAAAAACGCTGCACATCTTCATGCGCCTAAAGAAGTTTCATTTCAATAAATGATGATGTTTGTTAAAACCTATTTGTTAGGTTGAATGTGAATCAGCCTATGTGGCCAATGTACAATTGTAGTCTGCTTTTATTACCTAATTTTGTTTCAGGCCACAACCAATTGAGCGAATTCTATTACAAATATACAGGTTTTAGAGGTAAGAATACAAAGCATTCTGAAAAAGATCGCCTTGAATCGGATTTAAACTAAATTTGTATGAAAATTTGTCGACACGAACTGTCATTTTCATACCAATTTAGTTTAGTTTCTACATACACTGCTGTTAAGGTATCGTGGCTTAACCCCCACAGTATTTTTTTATGGCAATAGTTTAAACATACTACAGTTTATCGTAAAAATATTGTCCGAAGTGATTGTCAACTGTCAACGGTCTGTTTCTAAGTTGTTTAAAAAAACAAAAGCATTAGACATGGCTAGTAAAATAATGTTTATCTACATATGAATTATAATATGGTTTTTATGTTCCATTATTTTCAGACAAAGTCGCGCGTTTCACTCGTGAAATAAGTTGTTTTTAAACTGCGTAATTTCCTTGAAAATATTTGACTACAGAAAATATTGGACTATTTGCACACTTGAGTAAATAATATAATTATATTATTAAACTAATTAAAACATGTGCTGTCTAATTTGCGTGATATTCATTACAAACTACAAAACTTACAAAATACAAAACTTGTAGACTAAACTACTTTTTTTAACACAATTATCAAGTGACCAAATTTTCTGTAGAAGAAAATTGATCCATAGATCCTTGTATTCTATATTAGATATATTATCTTTTTGTTTATATCATAGAATACCATATATATATTTATAACTCTTTATTTAGCATAGTACCCTTAATTATAGATTGAACATTATAACCTCTATAATATAAACATCTTCAGGAAACGACAAAAATTAAAAAAAGACAAAAAACATATTTTTACTTTAATTTTATAATTTTAGTTTTCATTTTGTGTTACAGAAAGACAACAGTTTATGTCGTATTTGTTGAAGGAAACTGAGCTTAAATGTAAGTCACTCTTCTTTTTAATAAATTAATAACAATCTCATAAATAATATAATTCTACGCGTGTTTATTTAGAAGGGTGTCGAAAGATGAAGTAAAATATCGTCAGGACCTGACAACATGTGTCACGCAATTGTCAAGCTGATCACCTACTTCTCTATTAAGAAATAATCTATAATACCAACCCTCCATGCCTTATTGGGCTATGAGATTTCGTGCATACTTTTTTTATTTAATTCTTGAGACCCTTCTGAGACCTAAATAGAACCATAGATTCAAGAAGCTAAAATAGTTTATAATATATCGCTTCTATTCAAAGACTACTAAAATAGTCATAAAAGTGATTTAAATTTGGAACATAGATTGTGAATGTTTATAAAGAGATCTATTACGAATATTGTATGAAAACGCGCGAAACAAATTTAAAAAAAAAAAGAAAATGAAATGCTTATTTAATATCGATCTTTATTTTACATATATACCCATCATATCGTAAGAGATAAAATATAACAAAATAAAAAAAAACTGTTTTCAGCTCCAAAGGAGATTTTCAAATTCCTGAAAGCATGCAAGGGCAATCGTGGATGGTACTTCTACGATCAAATAATGTTTAAATTGACTGGAAATACCAGTAAGTATCTCTAATTTTAAAAAGTCTTCGTCGAGGCTACCCTAGGCTAGGAAGAGCCTCATAGCCTAGTGGTCTTATGAGGTGTCCGTTAATGAGGGGTATCGGGTTCGATTCCCGGTCAGAGCACAAAGTTTATTTCTATAAATTTAAATTTGTTTTGTGCCTTTGGGAGAGTTGTACGGTACCGGGCGAGTGCCTAAACCGTACATGGAAGGCACAGTCGAATTTCTAAGGCTGGCAGTGAGTATGGTTCCTAAGAAAGTACATTGTGATGTTAAGGTGTATATCCTGGACCGAGGATGGTAGTTGGAAGTGGCGAACCCTGAGGGCCCATCTGCGGGCCTGTGTGGGGCTGAGGTGTTTTTAGCGGCTAGGGTCTCGGTACCCCTCTGCATACTAGCGGGCTTTGAAACCCAGCCCCACTGTCCCCACGTCAAGCTTAAATCAATGGCGCGAGCCTGAGGGCCTCATTAAAAAAAACTTAGCGGAGATCTTAACCGTGAGGGCGTGTGTTCGAGTCTCGACTATGTATGGCTGTTTCTCATATTTGATACTAATACTGTTACTGATATTTGTATACTAATACTGTAAAGAAAAATATCATGACGTCATTAAATCTTTAATTTAAAGTAAAAACAGAAATCTGAGGCAAAACCAAGGGTGGTATTTTGTAAGTTTTTTATAGGAAGAAGCCTGTTTCAGAGAAAATTTACTGTAGCATTATATGTGATGTGGTAAATTTTAATAAATAAATAAAGGATATTATGTATTTTTTGATTATTTTTCTAGACATTAAGGGCTGCCTGCGACTGTTACAACTGCTCACTGGAAAGAAAAGTAAGTATAAAAAGTATTTGAGTCATTAATATATATTATAGATGTGAAAATTCGACTTTCCAGGAATAAAATCCATAGTTCACGTTCACGTTTAATTGAGACTACCACAAATAAGAGGAATGTTACATTATTTGTCATTTTAGTTGGTTTAGGTTTTAAAAATAAATGATTTTTCCTTTCTTAATTCAAATTCTTATTCGTATAAAATAAAATAATAATAGATAATTATAAAGCTGATTTATGTCCTTTGAAAAATTGGCTCCGAAATTTACAAAATATCACCGGTGTGAAGCTACACACCCAGACAATCTTCGTACATTTTCAAAAAAATACAAAAAATCTGCCCAAGGTGTAAAAAAATAAACAAAAAACTTCCTTCAATCGTGTGCGCTGCGTAAACTATTAATGATAGAACAAAATAATGTACCTACTACAACTTTTCAGGACACTTCACTATCTATAAAAAATGTCGCGACAGCACGTCTCTATATTTTATAGTTACGTCACAATAAGCGTCCTTTTATTAATTTTTTTTTATTAAAATACCACCACTAGAAAAGGCTCTTTATTCGTACCTAGGTATTGATCCTTATCAAAATAATTACCAACGTTTCACATAAGCTACAATTTAATGGCATAACCACCAAAAAAAGCATGGTGGATTGGTGTTCTCCTGCCGTTTCTCTTGAATAGTTTACTACTATGTAATATAACAAAAATCTTAGCCACAGCAACGCTTGGCCGAGTCTACTAGTATTCTTATATATAAATAGAACATATCACCAGAGTGTCGTCCCTTTAATAGAGACTGTAAGTAGTGTTATTGGACACTTTCTCATATTAAATATCCTTTTTAGTAAATTAGGATAGACTTAAATTACTTATTAGTCTTAAGTTAGGCTAGATCGTAATATATCGTAGTAAAAAAAAAATAGTATTCTTAAATTACAACACAATAACTCACTTGACAAATTCCTGGATTCGATTCTCAGTGAAACGATATTTAAGTTAAGAAAGAGTGTGCCTTTACGAATAACGTAATTTCAGATCCACTTGACGCCTTCGAAGCGATGAAACCTCTGACCGGCCATGACGATATTGAAGGTGTCTGGGAGATGTTGCAGAAAATGTCCAGTCGAAAGAGTGAGTATGATTCAAGAAGAGATGCTGACATTCCCCCCCTCTCCGTTCCACTTTGACCTGGGATCTCCCATAGTTTTCGCACTGGTCTTAGAAAGGTAGCGTGGCTTCTGGTGAGGGTTCCATGCGGCGGTCGCCCAAAAAAAAAAAAATTAAACGTCGGGAGTAGTTAGTGAATCTTGTTTCTGAAACTTATGCCAGAAACTGCTGTCTGCGGAGGTTGACGAACTAACTTACCACTTTTCGAGGGAATATTATGAACTTGGTGAAACAGAGATATATTATTACCACTCTTTACTTGTTTTTAAACTGTCGCATTGAATGTAACTTTTATGATTATTTGGTAGAATTACACTCTAAACTAAAACTCTTTATGGTTGTTGCGATCTATTTCTGGAAAATAAAATTTGGTTATTACTAATATTTTGCACAAAATAAATTCCGTAGAATTAAGACATCCTAGTGTTTTTTTAAATAAACTTTTTGCCAAAAATTCTGTAAAAAGTTACAGTTATCATCAAAGGAAGTCAAAAATGAGACAACATTAAAACAGTCGAAATACGTTACGGCTTTGTTCCCAAGCGATATTCACACACCCACAACCACTCATGCTTTAGTTCTGTTTGGTATACATAAATGTACTCCCTGTTATCACAGGACTTCTATAGTCCTATTATAGTCAAGTCAATAATCATTTATTCATATTATATACACTTATGAACGTGATAAAAGAAATATACATTAAATGCTTCTAATTTTACATTATATATTTGTAATATACAATAATCTATCATAAGCCCGAATCGTTGTTGTTGTTTTTTCGTCCTAGAAAGATATTAGAGCGACTCATGGCCATGTGTAATACCTTTTCAGAATCCCTATTAATTGCGCCAAAACTTGTAAAACAGGGTCACTTTTCGGTTGAGTAAGCCCCAGTGGGGGCCGAAGTAAAGAAAAAGTTATGATTTGATTTTTTTTTATATCGTATAACCTAATATTATCTTCAATACACTTAATAAACAACTATAAATAGTATGTCTAACGCAAGAACACATCAGTACCAATCTAGTGGATATTATGAAAAAGATACAGGATGTAGATGTTGATGTTTAATAAGATTTATAAAAAAAAAGGCAATTTTCTTATAAAACGCAAAATAAATTATAACTCTGCAGGGGTTGAGCTTAGAGACCTCCCGTAGAACAATTTTTTGCAGCTGATGACCTCATCTATCCCCTATTTCCGTTTGATCCACGACTTTTTGGCCACCCTGTATATATATATATATATATCTAGATATCCATCTTAAAATTTCGACGCTTTAGGGGGTTTGTCGTTAAATCGTTGGATGTTACATGGATTCCACTGTAATGTGAAGAGGCAAATAAACTTTATTATTATTATACTTTTTTTAGACATGTCAGACGTATTCGATTGCTACGAACACGAGGCTGAACATATGGAGGGAATAACTGATGCGACTGGTGAGTAACAGACAATACTTAATATTTAAGATCAAAATACCTGCAGCTGAGTTTTATTATCGGACGTCAAGGCAGAATACAAAATACCATCCGTATCACCTCGACGTCCGGCGTTCCACAACTGAGCGTTTTTTAAGGAAATTTTTGTCGCGCACCACCGCTATGTGGAACCAGCTGCCCACTGAAGTAGTTCCGAAGCAATTCGACTTATGGTTCTTCAAAGAAGAGCGTACCAATTCTTGAAAGGCCGGCACCGCATTTGCGAACCTTCTGGCAATGTGAATGTCCATCGGCGGCGGTATCACTTAACATCAGATGAGCCTCCATTAAAAAAACACAAAATCGAAAATACATAGATAAATTAACCTTATTTATCTGTACAATGCGCAGAGGTGATGCGAACTGCCCTGCGATTCTGTAACTCACTTTTCGAACTCACACAGCGGATTTCGCATCGACGGTCGCTCTCAAATCAGTCGTGAAGCAGTCATTTTATGATTTGGCATTCTAATAATCAATAACTACGAGCTCCCACCTTTTCAGAATCGCAAGGCTGATCGATCCTGATCCTTCCTGACCCAACTGGATAGAAAGATACAGTCAGATACGGACAGAGACAGATAGGTCTAGTTGGGTCGGGATCGATGTATTGGTGCGCTTCGAAAAATGAGAAAAATTTAATTTGTAAAGCTCAAAAGGCCAAATGGACCTGAGATTAATGGATGGAATTATAGCGCATGTTTTTTTTGGACAAATTTCTGGTCAATATTCACGTAAATAACAATATATAAATAAAATAACTTTATTACTTATGAACGTCAACAGTAAAGATGTTAAATTGATTCTAAATTTACATAATTTACCAGTTCGCAACTCAAGAGCGTAGAGCGGCAAGAAGAACTGCCAAGAAACTCTGCCACTCTTCTTGATCGTCAAGTTTTGAGCCATACAAATTGTTTGAACTGGAGCAAATAAATTCCAAGAATTAGGATGATTTAAACAATCGTCAAACTTATAAAACGCTTTATTGATTAATTTACCGTTACCGAGAGTTTTGGATTTATTCAGTGATAATTCTCTAATTTCGCTTGGGAGTTTGTTGTAAAAACGAATACAATTTCCATATAAGGAGTGGTTTATCTTCTGGAGCCTGGTTGGTCGTACGCTTAGATTAGTTATGTTTCTAGTATTATACTGGTGAAAGTCTCCATCGGTTTTAACATACATATATCTTTATTTTAATTAGAAATCAATTGTTTATATATTTGCTTTTCAGCTCTGGATGGGGTTGAGAATTATGTCAACAAGATGACAGCAGGAGAGGGACCGGACGCTTTGTCTGGAGTCTTTCTCGCCATGAAGACCGATCTAGGTATACCTTTAGACTCATAGTGCTCTTAACATTTTCATTAGTACCAGTTGTTACATTTGTTGTTTTAACTCTTACTTTAATTTCTTTACAAGAAGGAATTTGAGTTTAACACGATTTAATCTGTCACGGTTGTGTCACAATCTCGTCTTAAACGTCAAACTTCACACAGCTAGATAGTAGCCGATTCTCAGACCTACTGAATATGCATATATAATTTGATAAAAATCGGTCAAGCCGTTTCGGAGTAGTATGAAAACTAACATTGTGACACAAGAATTTTATATATCAAAGATATATATTTAATCGAACCAAGTGAGCAGTGTTGGTCTAGTGGCTTCAGCGTGCGACTCTCTTCCCTGAGGTCGTAGGTTCGATCCCCTGCTGTGCACAAAAATACTTTCTATGTGCGCATCGTTCGCTCGAACAGTGAAGGAAAACATCGTGAGGAAATGTTGCCTTAGTCAAAAAGTCGACGATGTGTGACATCTACTACACTATTAGATTTACAAATGATCATGAAATAGATAAAGAAATCTGAGGCCCAGACCTAAAAAAGGTTGTAGTGCATTTATTTATTTTTATTTTTAAGTTAAACCATGACACATAAAAACTAAACATAGTTAATAATTTAAATAATAACTTTAACACTATATGTATTTTAATTAAAACATTTTTCTAGATTGGGATTTGTCATACAACGTTCTAATGGGCGCTATGAGATGCAACGGTGAGTTTTTAATTATGTATTTAAACAAATAGATGGCGCCACGTGTTCCCAAACAGTGAGCTACCTTTTTTGCAATTAAGACAAGCATTGAAGCACAAGTCTTCTTTTTCAGATATGGGCGAGGCACCGGCCGAATTAAAACAATTATTGAACGAAGATGAATTCTCCAAGTGTATATGGTTATTAAAGGAGTTCACTGGACTTACGAGTAAGTCGAAATTCAAATAATTAAACGCAATAAAGTTATATTCTTTTTTATTTTGACATTTCGTATTGGTCAATCAATTGTGACATTTTACTAATTTGACATATTGGTTCCCGCTTTTATGGCGAATAAAATCTATTATAGGCGTAGACGGACTATGGTATAGACCAGGCATCAGCGTACAGCGTGTGAGATAGCGAATGATCGACATATGTCGTATTTACAGTTTTAATTCATTGAAGATTGCTTATTATTGACCAAAATACACATTCGAATGAATAATTCTTGAACAAAGTTACTGAGTCGTGACAAAATAAGCTACTTACCGATGAAAGGTTATGTTTGGTTCTTTACGTTCACTATAGCTTTCACAGCCAATTATGCAACAATTCACCATGACTGACACTTTAAATACACCTCTTATAAGGATAAAGTCTTAAAACATGGATTTGACTTGGGTTTCACAGATTTATCAGTAAGCGGTGAAAACTTGTTTACCACCAAGGGCTCGGTGGTAAACAAATAAAACCCGATACGCAAATAGAGACAGAAAAACTGATACTCTGTTTCGCTCGCACTTAAGTATTTCACGTTAATGCCTTCTCTCTTTAGTTATTATTGTTATTTTAGAAGCTCATCTAGTTCTATACTCTATCTACGATTATAGGTTATAATTAATAAGTAGTGTTTACGATCAAGAATAACAATGTTATTTAGGTATCAAAATCGTTAAACATTTATAATCAATAAATATAGCATTTATTCGAGTACTACATAATCAGGATTACATTAAATCTATTTTAACACTAGTACACGACCTCTGTCGGAGTGTAAGCGTCCAAATTCTTCCACTTGCCTTTCATCCTCACCACCAGTTTCCAATCCTACCCCACACACAAACTATTTATTAGATTGACAAATGATCATGAAACAGATACAGCCTTGCGATTCTGTAACTCACTTTTCGAACTCTCACAGTTTCATGGTTTCAGTCTCACAATGAACTACAAGCTCCCTCATCAGAATGCCAAATCGTAAAATAACTGCTTTACGATTGATTTGAGCGCGACCGCCGCTGCGAAAACCGCTGTGTGAGTTCGAAAAGTGATTTACAGAATCGCGAGGCTGAAATCTGAGGCCCAGACCTAAAATTTTAGTATACTAAAACTGTACTTAATATAGTTTTATAGATCACTGCCGTGTAATGAGTAAAGGTGATTAAATTTTTGAAGGCAACGTGCCTTTATTGCGTGGAGAGTATTTAGACCATAAGTTTTCTTTATTATTCTTCTTGTTATAACAACTGTTCTTATTATTATGACATTATGATTATTAATATGATATATGCATGTCTATTTTTAAATGACAGCTTGTGAACTTTCTTTGCAAATAAACGATGTATGACTATTATTTTATTAACGTCGTTCATAGATTTCAGATACGCTATTGAACAGATACTACAGGATACGGGGAGAGTCAGCTTGAAAGAAGTCGTGCGACTTCTATACAAAATCACTGGAGAAAATCGACTTGATAAAATTCTAGTTCTCGTACGACGCTTGTTTAAGGTTAAAAGTAAGTCAAACAACATTATTATGAAGCTTGAATGTTAAATAAATGTTGATAATGACGTTTAAAACAAGAGCTTATAACTAACATAAAATTAGGGGAAGGGGGGACGCTGGATTAACAAAAAACTAACTTGGCTTATTTAAGGGTTCTTAAATCTTACACTTATGTTATTCGACATTATCGGAATCGAGAATGTGATATTACAATTTATGAGTGTGGGAAAAACTAAAGGGCTCATTTTGGCTTCAAGTGTGCTATGATTGTTTACATTTGGTTTACGCTTAACTAATATATATAATGCAACTTAACGTTAGTTAAGTTACATAACTCTTGATACAAATTCAATGTTGGTGTTACAAAAGGAGCATTATTTCGACCAATTTTATTCTATCACTTTGTTTTGTTTCCTAATAAAGCATTTATTTCGGAAACAAAGATTACTTATTTACGTAATCAAAATATCATTTATTCATTGATTACTAATGTATATAAACTTCAATAAGAAAAAATGGATCTAAATCAACATTTACTGCCAGTTCTTAAATTATGAGCGTAGAACGGAAGAGAGGACCTGGCAATAAACTCCCAAATGTTTCTTTAGAACCATTCATGCTCATCATCGCTGCCAATTAATAATAAATAATTAAATTTCCAGACATAACGGATCTATTCCAACGCATCAACAACCTGACAAGGAAGCGGGATCCTCTCCAATTCCTCATCAGCATCATGGACCTCACAAAGCAGAACACGATCGAAGGCGCTTGCAATGAGATCACGGGTCTCACTACTGGCACAAGTTAGTCAAAAAACTTGAGTTGTTTAATACTGTCCATAGATGGCGTTGTGTGACATCTAAAGCGAATAACGCTTTATTATTATTATATTTATTTTTTATAATATGTTTAAGCTATACATCTATTGAAGTCATAATATAGAATAGCAAACTTTGATACGCTTTATTAGATAGCACAGATAAATATTTATATATATTATTGGTTGTATTTTGCACTCCTATTTAGTTCAAGGCTTTTATTTACCTAGAATTTTCTTGACTTAATAAACTTTGTCTCCGAAATGGGGCAGAGGATCAATGTGATTGAGTTCGAACTTTGCATTTTATTTCCAATTATTTATTAAAATTATTTACCAAATAAAAAAACCTTTCTACGCCAATAATAAATAAAATACTTAGGGTCGATTCGACCAAACTTCAATTTATACACGAGTAACTATACCCGGAATAATCTATTCCATGATTTTAATCTCGAGTAAATCTATAATCGATAGTATAATTGCGCTAGGAATAACAATACGCGAATAGCGAAGAGAATGGTGAACGATAATAAAACCCGGCAAATAAATGTTGTTCTACAACGGGACAGTGTAAGAGCATACATCATGTCAACTCGATTTTGCCGTATTATAGTGTGAAGAAGCTTTTAACAGGTGTCAAACGACAACAAAAAGTTTTTATTTCTTGTTTGTTTGAGGCTTTCGTCTAAAGGAACTTCTGTTGACCCTAGTTGAATTTCATTCTAATATTGTAGAAAATAAAAAATCTAAAAATAAATAAATAATAAATTGTTTAAACGTTTCATTATACAATGCCAAACTATTAATTTAGTGCGTTGCGTTGACTTGAAAATAAAACACAGAATACATATTTGTGAAATGACAGAAATCAGATGATTGGACTGACTGACGCCATGAAATTATTCTAGGGATAGCTGTTATTCCGCGCGAAACGGCGGTATAGTAGCAATTCTCGAATAGGCCCACTATTCTTAGAATTTGTAGTTGGTAAAACGTAAAATTGATTTACTCTCGATTAACTGACGATTTATTCTAAGATTAAGATTTACTCTTGTTTGGTCGAATCGACCCTTAATAATTAGGTGGATTAATACAAATACAATTTTAATCCAGGCTAAATGGTACAAAGCGACAAAATATATAAGTTGCAGAACACTTTATATAATACAATATATATTTCCCTAAAGAATTCAGATTTCTTATCAAAATATAATATTTTTTAACAATATATGTTTTAGCTGACGCCATAGCGGTCCTAGAACGAATACAGCGCGACTCGGCCCACGAAGATGTCGTCGACTTTTTGAGACAACTTATGATAAAAGTTACTGGAGCGAAGAGTAAGTATTTAAAAAATAATGAGAGATAACAATGTTTTTCTTTTAAAGAACAAGGTACGAAGCATCCATGGTGAATGTGAGAGCCAATGGATATCTGTGATCCTTTCGGCAAAAAGGCGTGATGATATAAATAAATAAATAAAAATATTTCTCATTACCTTAACGCACGCTATTTTCTTTTTAGCATTACTTAATTACTACCAACGAGCTGTGTTGGCCTAGTGGCTTCAGCGTGCGATTGTCATCCCTTGAGGTCGTAGGTTCGATCCCCGTGCACCAATGGACTTTCTGTCTATGTGCGAATTTAATATTCGCTCGAACGGTGAAGGAACATCGTGAGCTTGCCTTAGACCCAAGAAGTCGACGGCGTGGGTCAGACACAGAAGGCTGATCGCCTACTTGCTTATTAGATTTAAAAATGATCATGAAACAGTCACATAAATCTGAGAGCGAAAATGTATCGCCATTGCTGTTGTTGTTGTTATGTAATTACTATTTAAAAAATATGCATAATCATTCTAGTTGTTGCTAATTTTACTAATATAAATTAAAACTGTTTTAGATTTGACACAAGGCTGGAAAGTTATTATATCCGTAACGAAGGAAACAGGTAAATAGGCTTAAAAATATTTAATTAACAAAGTGAAGTATCGTAGAAGTACTTTCTTCTTAAAAATAAAATAAAAATAACAGAGGCCGTTGGCGGCTCATGAGTTCCAAACTCAAAATTTCGTATTTTTTTACAATATTTGATCAAAAGAAATCTTTGTGTGTCCAAAGTGATGGGAAATCTATGTGTTACAGATATCTTCGTGCTCATCAGGCGTTTCAAGTTATACACACACACGAACATAATAATCGTTGTATTAACGATTTTGCGTATTACCAACACATCTACATTGCCAGTCGCAAATATTAAAATGAATAAGTTACTGGGCATTGAAGGTAAGATTTTTGAAATTTAAATTCATGAATGTCAATTACCAATGTATCATTGGTTATGTTAGTCTCCAGTTCAATTCCTGTGGACAAAAAGCCTTTATTCTCCGCAATTGTTTAAAGACAAGTTTTTTGCAGGTTTCTTTGAATGGTTCGAGGTTATTCACAAAACATCTAATATGGGTGAGGAATTAAAAAATATTTTATTTTTGTTTAAGTAATTCAATGAAACATACAATTTAATAATGACAAATTATATACAATATTCTTAACCTACATAGTATTAATGATAATTAAAAATGGATTAATTGAAAATTAAAACAAATTATTAAGTTTGGCAGTAGTTTAATTAAGTAATATACTATATTATTTTTTTACTTAATATTAAAGATAATTAATAACATATAAACTTTACAAAAGAGAGAAAGGAAAGGTCTTCATTTAGATATAATATATCTATTAGCCATGGAGAATGTCTATCACGTCATTAAATTTGACAGACTACGCAGCAAATTTAATCAGGAATTATATTTTTACTTTTTATTTTATTTTTGCTCTCAATAGTTATTCATGTTACAAGGAGAACAATCAGATACTTATGAATATAAGTTAAATATATATAATGGATATACATGTGTGAAAATGACATGAGAACTCAAGAAGCTAACCAGATCTTACTTCAACTCTCTCTCTCTCTCACTCAACTTCCTCACAATCGAGTAGCCCGCAATATAGCACAACTCCCGAAAGGACTTTTTGTATTGAAGAAGTCGCATGGGTCCAAGCATCCGCGAATATATACACTGTTAATACATAATTATGTAGGAATAATAATAATAGCAAATAATTAACACAGGAATGTTTTAACTACTAGTATTATATTTCAATAGATTACACAAACAGGTAGACGACGTTATTAAAGAATATAGTAAAACACACAAAAACAATATAGAAAGCGAGGAAATGCTGCCAGCATTAAGCTCGCTCCATCAAGCCGGAACCCGCTTAGAAAAAACTTGATTTTTCTAAATTTACTTTTATCTACAAAACGAGCTAGTAAATGTAGTAAACTTTATTTTTTTGTAGTATCATTAATTGGCCGAAAAAATAATTAATACGCGCAAAGCAGGAAATATTACAAATAATTCGATAAAAAACTTCCGAAACAGGTGCTAAATTGATTGATTGAATTTTTTTTTACTCCACTTTATTTAAGAACTACGGGATAAATTTCTAAAATAACAGTTATGAAAAAAAAAAAAAAAAAAACTAACAAAAATATACGAAATCAAGTGAAATTATTATATTGGTCGTTATGCTTAAAACTTTTTTAGTCAAATAAATCAATTCTATTCACGCAATTTAATTGTACTACTTCCGCAAAAAAAATCCCGCATTAACGATATATGCATTAAGGCAATTACTCACATTGCCAGTACTTAGTATTACAATTATTTAAAAAAATTTGTCCTGTTAGTGTAATAAATTACCCGAAACAAATGTCTTGCTTGCTCAGCTAAAGTTATCAGTTGTCAATTACTATAAATCTCTGAAAATGTTCCATTTTATTTTATAGTAAGTATTTCAGTTTTATGATTAATTAGAATAATACATAAGTGAAATATAACGACTTGATAAGAAAAGACAATTTATTATTAGTGATAATTATAAAAAATTAACAAACAATAGTTCTGTGTTATATAACTCTTACAGTTAAATATAATATTATGAATTATTTTATTACATAAAATAAAATATGTATTTTTCTTTTTTTTATTAAATCTTTTTTAGGTACTACTTTTTTTTTTGGAGTTGCTGGAGATTCCATCATGAAGTTCCCATTTGTTGTTTGCTCTACGTAAGTACGGTCGGTAAGACCAGTGGCTTCGAAAAAAATATGTTCTATGGCGCCAATCAAAATATATGTATTATTTAATACCTCCAATTCAACGGGTATTTGTAATAACGAAAAGTCAGTATTTGAAACCTTTTTAACGGTATTATTATTGCACAAACTCGTGAATAGAACTTCAATATCAATCCATAGATGATTCCCAGGTTGAAAGTTAAGATCGTGTGTACAAGATGGCATCGCCGTAATGTGTTTAGGTATTTGAGTACGGATTGCTGTAGTTCTTGTAGTCCATTATTAATTAATGGTTCAAGATGTGTATCTATCACAGGTAGAATCAATGAGCTTAATTTTTTGCATTTCAAACAGGTTGAATTGACAGTTAACGAAGGCACTCCTGTAAACATTTGGGTAATTGTTTGCTTAAGTTTAAATTGCAGTCTACTATACCATTTGTTGCTTAACGGAATGATATTTGCTCTTTTTCGAAGACAATTGATTAACCTTTGCTCGATTATTTTATAATTTCAAATACGTCTGAGTGTTCATCTATGTTGAAGGTAAATCGATCGACGTAAGCGATAAGTACACAGTGTAGAGCTGAATCAATAGGACACGTATTACTCAGTTTCACTACTCCTTCTTTCATTTGTAACGGCTTCAAACAATTACCATTAATTAATAATCCTATTTTATTTTTGGATTTTGGTCTCTTGTGTTTATTTTTAATATCCGGGTCTTTCTTGGCATAATGACTAGTTTTTTTATTCTTTAAAATACCACCCCATTCATCTTGTAGATTTAAATAACTGTATTTATTATCGTCTTGAGTTATAGAAGTTGAATTATATTCACTCTTATTATTATCAGAATGAGTCAAAAGTTAATTAATTTATCAGAGTATGCTGCTATTGTTGAGTGGATAAAAAATTATTCAACATCGTGGCTTTTTGTTATGTCCAGCATATTTTCTTTTCTGTTCGCACTATTGTTTCATTATCATCATTTTCATATGTTGTACACAAATCAGCAACACTCATTTCTAAATCACTGTTACCAATGTTGAAATCTTCGATTTTTTTCTATTTTTATTATGCTGCTTAAATCATTGAAAAGACTGTTCGTTATTTTTGGAAGTGATAAGTCAATTGGATTTATTGCGGAGATAAGTAGAATCATTTACTGTAGTTTTGTAATCGGAAATAGTATTTTTATCACGACGCTCACATTCTAAACTAGCTGAAATTTCGTGATATTCACTTTGTTCTTCCTCAACGTCTTCCAAGGTTTTAGAAATTCCGCTTATTGTTTCAATGTCTTCATCACTCACAGTCGTATCACTTTTATCCGAATCAGCTTTAGAGTACTTGTAAATGTAGAATGGTATTTCACAATTTGAGTTTGAGTAAAATAAAATATACACTGAAAAATTTAACTTTACTCAAGAGCAAGAATCTTGAACCAAGAACACCACTTTGAAGAAAAAGAATTTTTGAGTCAAAATATAATTCTTGGTTCAAGAAAATTTTCTTGATTTAAGAATTTTTCTTCTTGACTCAAGATTTTATCTTCAATGTTTTGGTTCAAGATCGTGATCTTAAGTCAAGTTAAATTTTTTATCAGTGAAATATAATCTGAAGCATCAATTTGAAAATGTATCACTTTATCTAACAATTCATCTCTGTGCAGTTTAGAAGCGTTTAACAGACTTCACAAGCATACGAATACTGCTACAAGCATCCACATCCTTTATAGTTTCTGAGTATTTTTTTTCAAACTCTGTATTTAGAATTTATCCGTTCTTAAATAAAGTGGAGTAAAAAAATTCATCAATCAATTTAGCACCTGTTTCGAAGTTTTTATCGAATATTGTAATATTCCGCTTTGCGCGGTATTAATTATTTTTCGGCGCAATTAATGATACTACAAAAAAAAAAGTTATACATTTACTAGCACGTTTTAGAAAAGATTTAGAAAAATCAAGTTTTTTCTAAAGTTCCGCGGACCTGTGCGAAATTAAGCGCGGCACTATCGAACATTGGCCGGTAGGAACGGCACGGACTTTTGGTTTAAAAATAATTTATTTAAATCAACAGAGTGACAGCACTTAATTAAGAACTAAACAATAATCAACTTAATATTATTTTTCGTGCATTTATACATTCAGATTTACTTACTAAGATTGTCGGTACGACGACCTACATTCGGCTTAGTGCTAGCAAAGCAATATTAATAGGGTTGGTACTTTAACTCCTCCCTCCCTAAGAGAGAAATTATCCGAAGGGGCTAAAGGTGACTTGAGAATTTCTTTTATTGCAAATAGAATACAATTTAAACTTTAATAATAATATTAAAACAATTACTATTATTACTACTATAAAATAAAGAACTAATGTCCATACACTTATGTTATGTGTCACCACACTTTCCACCACTATTTCACTATTGCTATTTCTCAATTATTTAACATTTCTTTTACGTCACTGAGTCCAGTTTGTCAAATCTAACTTTTTATCTGCCGTTGCTAATCCTGAAGTTCGGGAATACCACCAGTGGATCTGTATATTCAATCCGATACTTGCTTGTTGACGAAGATTTCTGCCAATGATTGCACCCTTGATTGGGTCACGATGTAGTCCCCAGTAAACTGAATCGACGGACTGTTTCTGAGTGTTCCGACAAAATTGTCTTATGCTGTGAAATCAACCAGTATTGTTCATTTCTTTGGATTTTTAGCTTCAATCGTATTTGATGAGACATAGGTGTAATTATTCTTTATAACATTAATTCCTCGTAATCCTCGTCGCATATTTCTTCTGAACAAAGGGTTAACTCTGAAGGGCTCAACAATTTTGTATTTCAAACCATTCACCAATAGGTAAGGATATTTAGGAATAATTGTGTAAGAGAGGATTTGTAAGGAATAGGAGTAACCTTGTAATAGATAGTTTCTGATCTATCAGGAATTTCTAATACAAATACTAATTTATTCTTATCAATATAAGACTTTAATATAAAACGTCTAATTTAAGTAAGTTTTTTTTTATGGAAAATTGGCATTTTCTATCACTTTAAAAACACCTAAAACTCTGTAGAATTAATAAAGGGTGTAAGGTTTACTAAAGAAAGATTCATTCTTTGCCTCAAAAAACGAAGTTATTTAGAATTGGTAAATATCAATACGAATGAATTACTAATTTTATTTTTTTTCGACAACTTTATCAAACTCATTTGTTTTAAAATATAAATTTTCTAATTATGATTCATTATCTCGGATATTGGCTAAAGTAGCAAATGCTTGGCATAGAAGATACTTTAATTTCCGTCAAGTTTCAATTATCTTACTAATTTCCTCATTAAATTAAAGCACTTCCTCGTCTATCAGTTTGCTTTTACTAAAGAACCCAGGATAAAAAGCACGTTTCCTCATACTGTTGGAAGTAACTGGTGAAACTTACTTTCTACTATTTTAATTAATGTATCTATTTGAACTCTTATTACAACTAATTCCTTATCTAAGTGATTAACCATTATTAATTCATTTAATTTATTATATAGTTCTATATTATTACTTATTTGTATACCTAAAGTTTTAATGTCTATGTTTTAAAAACTGTCCAATAACTATTCTTCATTACTGCTACTCCAAATTTCATTGGGATGATTCCTGGATTCTGGTCCATCTTTCGAAGTTCCAGGCTGTGGACTTGGCTCTCAGTATCAGGAGTACTAGCATGACCTGGGGAGGACGTTTTATATTTTTAGCAGCTCTGGTTTTTCTTTTATTCAACTCTACCGGTACAATGTTATGATTCGATTTTTCCCACTACTTTTGCTTTCTCATAACGCGGCATTTCTTTAGCTTTTCTTGTAGTATTTTCATGAAAAAGTATCACCTTTTTAATAAGATATTTCTTCACCACCTCTTTGTTCCTAACTTTAATTTATCCTCTTTTAATTTGTCCGCGACATATTCGTAAAGAACTTTTAGACGTTTCCTATTTGACACTGAATTAGCGGTAGCACCGTCGTTGTATTTCTACAAGTCTTCGTTTCTCACATTCTGTGTCAGAGATATCCATTCGATTTTCATTTTCTAAATCAAACAATGACATATCGGGCTGAGACCTAGGTTTTTGTTCCTAACTATCACAAACTCGTCATTAAGTTTTGTATTACTTGTTGAGGTTTTCGTCATTATCGTCAATATTAACCAAAGTCGAGTCGAGGTCATCGTCAAGAGCATTAATTCTTATTCTAGACGATTCATTATTCTTATTCGGTATTGTTGTGGCTATCATAAAAAAATTTCTTATTGTCATGGTTTGAACTAGTCGGGTTCGATTCACAGTCATATGAACAAGACGGTTGAATATTACAATATGTATAATTAACGCGTCTTGAACTGGCTGTTCTCATCGTAAATCGGTATTGGAGGTCGAGGATGGGCGATCTTGGTATTGTAATCAGCGTAATGCCGACGCTGTGTGACGACGACTGTTTTACTGGTGACCTAAATACCGTGTTATAATTGTTTCGATTATTTAATGTTCTATCATTTCTAAATTGGAAAGAATTATTATTGAACTATTTTGATAATTGGAGCATCGAGTTCATTTGGACGTTATGGTTGAGAATTAAAATTATTAACTTGTCTCGGATAAAAATTCCTATTTTGGAACGAATTAAAATAATAATTAGGTCTAAAATTTTGATTGGACCTTGGGTTCTTACTATCATAAACCGTTTGAAAATTTTGTTCTTCCAACACGGTTTTTAAAGCATTTCAGGAGGTAACATTACGTAGTCTCACTAATCTTACAAGATACGCTGGTAAATTAAATAAGAAAACGTTTAATGCCGAATATTATATTTGTTGTTTAGCCTGTCTTATTTCGGGTTTTAATGGTTTCATTTATTTGGAGAATAAAATACTCCTTAAATGTTGAACACGATGACAGAAATCTAAATAACTTTCGTTCCTATCCTTTTTTAGGGAATCTAATTCCATAGCCAGACAATCTTCTGACCTTGATCGCCAAAGTGTTGGCTTAATAATAACTTAAGGTTATCCCAAGTATCTATTTCCCGTTCCCCAACTAGACTTGGGCTTCCCGGATAATCGACTAGTAATTACGTGAAACAGATATCATTTTGTAAATTGCCACCTTGAAATATCTGTAAAATGTATTCGCATTTCTTAATGAATAATGGTAATAATCTAGAATCACCATCAAAAACAGGAATAATTTCTACCATTTCTACAGGTACTCTTACAATATTTTCCATTTTGAATATAAAAAAAAAAAAAAAAAAAAAATTACCTATAAAATAATTGTATAAACCTAACTTCTATTAACAATATTTTGATTGTTTAATAAAAATATTTTTCCGGCGTTTTCCAATCCGAAATAAACGTATAACTAATACAAGAGGAAAAACAAGGAAAGTCACGGGAAGTGAAAAGTTTTACTCACAGTCCTGTTATCTTGACCATGCTCCTCCGATACTGCTAGTTTGGCTGCTCTTCCACCGATGCCGTGTGTCCTTAACTTATTTTTGTCGTTCGTAACGTTAAAACGTACTTACCCGGTTGGTATAGATACGAAAAAACGCGTATAACTTCTTCCAGGCAACTATGGAGATCCTACCGGCTGGCAGTAAAGGAACGGCAACGGACTTTTGGTTTAAAAAATAATTTATTTAAATCAACAGAGTACAGCACTTAATTAAGAACTAAACAATAATCAACTTAATATTATTTCTTCGTGCATTTATACATTCAGATTTACTTACTAAGTATTGGTCGTTGTGACGCACGACCTACATCGGTTAGGCAGCAAAGCAAATTAATAGGGTTGGTACTCTTAACTCGCGCGGCGGCCGCGCTCTATGTAGACGGGTCGCCGCGCGCGGCGACTCGAACATTGCCGCGCTCGAACGTGCCGCGGGTCGATCCGCTCGCTGTCGGTTTTGAGACCGCATCAAGGAGCTTCAGTCGTTGCTCGCGCGGTTGGGACGTTATAGTTTTGGTGTTGTGGCGCGAATACGTAAAAGGGTGGTACAAACAGTGTACAATATAAGTTGGATTTAAATATTGATGACAAAGCTATAACTTATAAAGTAACTAATATAACAATTATATATTAATTACATACAAAAAATGGGTGCGTGTACTTATGTACGCGGTAAGAAGTTATACTTCTCTGGCATTATTAAAAATAGTTTTTGATTGCATGCAAATAATTAATTACATACAATTAAATAATCAAAGACTGGAAAAGGAGTCATTATAGTCAATAAAGTTCAGCTTACATTTGAAAAATTAAATAAATAAATATTTATTTTTCTTTTTTTTTTTACAAATAAGAGTGAATCAATGAAAGCGGCAGCGCGACCACGCGTCCATCTCGCAGGTTTACAAGAGTGAACTGGTCTAACTACCGCCGCGCTGTTCGTCATGGGCCTGCCGCGCGCGGCAGTAACGTCCAACTAAATTTATCTACATATTGCTGCGCGGCAAATGAACGTCAACTCTGGTCGAAATTGGCTGGGGCTGCCGGCTTAATTTATACGCAGCTTTATAGGTACACTGCCACAGCGACCAAACTTTTTATATTTTATTGTTTTTAATTATGGTTATTATTATTACTATGTAGGTTAAGAATATTGTAAGTACTGTATATTTGATTGTTATGATTACTATAAACATTATCTAATTCATAGTACACTTATATCTTTCTTTATACAAATCTGTTTATGTAATGTCTAAAATGTTTTTCTTTTTCAGATGTAATTAAATTCTTCGATTTGTTCACTACATTGAGTAAACGATTGCGTGAGTATTAGACGATTTATTAATCCCTTTATTTATAATTTCAATTGAGTTTTAAACATATTTCTTTTCATCTCAGCGTCTACACAATTTGTAAAATAAAAATAAAAAATATTTTTATGACAAAGACATGTATCACTTATTCCACGTCATTAAATTTGAAGGCATCCCTACTCTCGGCAAAGAAAAGAGGGTTAGGCCAGAGAAAAAGCCGGCGTAAAAAACTCTCGGTACTCTTTTAAAACAGCAAATCATCAAACAACACTTATTTAAAACAAATATCGCAAATTATTAGAAGTAGCCGTCGCACTAGTCCAGGCCCTTTTATCAATAAATCGTTGACTTTAAGTAAGCTTTTACACAGCTTTTCTTTAATACATTCTTAAATTTATTGAAAGGCAGTGATAAAAGAGCCTTGGTTAAAAGAAGATATCCCTTTCCCCAAAAAGAATTACTAACTTTAGAAGTCTAGTACGGGGAAATTGCAGCCTGGTTCCGTGTATTAACATGTGCGAGTTCTTTTAGTAAACTTATCACTATTTTTGTAACATACAATTTTCAAAATAGGAGGAAAGGTAAGTATATTAATTTCTTAATTTATCTTAAGAATTTACATTTTAAATTATAGATTGCACGAATAGCCCTCTTCTGCAGGATGAAAAATAGTTTCGACATCAGCAGCATGACCCCATAATAATAAGCCAAGAAAGATACGCATTTAGTTTTTATGAATAGCTTGAGTTATGGTTGGTATGACGATTGTTGAAGGGATGTTCAAACAGTTTGTAGTTTGTTAATTACTTATTTATTTATTAATTTATAAGTTGTTTGCATACAATTATACAAGAAAATATGTTGGGACAACAATATTGTTACCATACCCAATTGGTACCTAGACCAAGAACTAGGAAGTAACCCGAGTTCTTGGAGAACACTTGGGTTGCTCACAAGCCACCAATAATGCATCCATATATTCGTAATTATTTTAATTAATATTTGATTATATTTTCAGTTTTGGACAACGCAATAACGAAGTTATTAGCTTTTACGAAAGAAACAAGTAGGTATCAAAATAATATTTCTTCCATTTTCTGAAAAGCATGAAATTAATTTTCTATTTTCCTTACAGCTTTCATTGACGCCCTTAAGGTCCTAACTATAGCCACTGGACACAAAGGTATTGTTTAACTGTGAACTTTTACTTTGTCTTTCTACTCTTATATTTATGTTAATTCATTCTTTTTCAGATTTAACGGGTCAAATTATATACATAAAAGACAACAAACCAGCACTTAATACGACAACAACAACGACGACAACGACAACAACAACAGAAGCGCCAAAAACAGAGATATTAGGTCAAGCAACTATTACCTCCGAAACAACAAAAACCGAAACGGAAAATGGTGCAACTATAACTATTGTAACAACAACAAAAGAAACTCCTGTTGTTATACACACAACTCAACAAATAACAAATGAAAATGCACCAGAAACTGTCATAACTCAAGGTCCGCCAGGATCCAACCCAGAGGGCAGTAATCCCAATGGACCAGAAGTGACCCCGCAAGAAACCTACCCGGCAGGTACCAATCCCAATGGCCCAGAAGTGACCCCGCAAGAAACCAACCCGGCTGGTACTAATCCCAATGGATCAGAAGTTACCCCGCAAGAAACCAACCCGGCGGGTACTAAGCCCAATGGCCCAGAAGTGACCCCGCAAGAAACCAACCCGGCGGGTACCAATCCCAATGGCCCAGAAGTGACCCCGCAAGAAACCAACCCGGCGGGTACTAATCCCAATGGATCAGAAGTTACCCCGCAAGAAACCAACCCGGCTGGTACTAATCCCAAAGGATCAGAAGCTACCCCGCAAGAAACCAACCCGGCGGGTACTAAGCCCAATGGCCCAGAAGTGACCCCGCAAGAAACCAACCCAGCTGGTACTAATCCCAAAGGATCAGAAGCTACCCCGCAAGAAACCAACCCGGCGGGTACTAAGCCCAATGGCCCAGAAGCTAGCCCGCAAGAAACCAACCCGGCGGGTACCAATCCCAATGGCCCAGAAGTGACCCCGCAAGAAACCAACCCAGCGGGTACCAATCCCAATGGATCAGAAGTTACCCCGCAAGAAACCAACCCGGCGGGTACTAAGCCCAATGGCCCAGAAGTGACCCCGCAAGAAACCAACCCAGAGGGTACTAAGCCCAATGGATCAGAAGTGACCCCGCAAGAAACCAACCTAGAGGGTACTAAGCCCAATGGATCAGAAGTTACCCCGCAAGAAACCAACCCAGAGGGTACTAAGCCCAATGGATCAGAAGTGACCCCGCAAGAAACCAACCCGGCGGGTACTAAGCCCAATGGATCAGAAGTGACCCCGCAAGAAACCAACCCAGCGGGTACTAAGCCCAATGGATCAGAAGTTACCCCGCAAGAAACCAACCCGGCGGGTACTAAGCCCAATGGCCCAGATGTGACCCCGCAAGAAACCAACCCAGAGGGTACTAAGCCCAATGGATCAGAAGTTACCCCGCAAGAAACCAACCCGGCGGGTACTAAGCCCAATGGCCCAGAAGTGACCCCGCAAGAAACCAACCCAGCTGGTACTAATCCCAAAGGATCAGAAGCTACCCCGCAAGAAACCAACCCGGCGGGTACTAAGCCCAATGGCCCAGAAGTGACCCCGCAAGAAACCAACCCAGCTGGTACTAATCCCAAAGGATCAGAAGCTACCCCGCAAGAAACCAACCCGGCGGGTACTAAGCCCAATGGCCCAGAAGTGACCCCGCAAGAAACCAACCCGGCGGGTACTAAGCCCAATGGCCCAGAAGTGACCCCGCAAGAAACCAACCCAGCTGGTACTAATCCCAAAGGATCAGAAGCTACCCCGCAAGAAACCAACCCGGCGGGTACTAAGCCCAATGGCCCAGAAGCTAGCCCGCAAGAAACCAACCCGGCGGGTACCAATCCCAATGGCCCAGAAGTGACCCCGCAAGAAATCAACCCGGCGGGTACCAATCCCAATGGCCCAGAAGCTACCCCGCAAGAAACCAACCCGGCGGGTACTAAGCCCAATGGCCCAGATGTGACCCCCGCAAGAAACCAACCCAGAGGGTACTAAGCCCAATGGATCAGAAGTTACCCCGCAAGAAACCAACCCGGCGGGTACTAAGCCCAATGGCCCAGAAGTGACCCCGCAAGAAACCAACCCAGCTGGTACTAATCCCAAAGGATCAGAAGCTACCCCGCAAGAAACCAACCCTTCGGGTACTAAGCCCAATGGCCCAGAAGTGACCCCGCAAGAAACCAACCCAGCTGGTACTAATCCCAAAGGATCAGAAGCTACCCCGCAAGAAACCAACCCGGCGGGTACTAAGCCCAATGGCCCAGAAGTGACCCCGCAAGAAACCAACCCGACGGGTACTAAGCCCAATGGCCCAGAAGTGACCCCGCAAGAAACCAACCCAGCTGGTACTAATCCCAAAGGATCAGAAGCTACCCCGCAAGAAACCAACCCGGCGGGTACTAAGCCCAATGGCCCAGAAGTTACGCCGCAAGAAACCAACCCGGCGGGTACTAAGCCTAATGGATCAGAAGTGACCCCGCAGGAAACCAACCCAGCTGGTACTAATCCCAAAGGATCAGAAGCTACCCCGCAAGAAACCAACCCGGCGGGTACTAAGCCCAATGGCCCAGAAGTTACCCCGCAAGAAACCAACCCGGCGGGTACTAAGCCCAATGGATCAGAAGTGACCCCGCAAGAAACCAACCCAGCTGGTACTAAGCCCAATGGCCCAGAAGTGACCCCGCAAGAAACCAACCCGGCGGGTACTAAGCCCAATGGCCCAGAAGTGACCCCGCAAGAAACCAACCCAGCTGGTACTAATCCCAAAGGATCAGAAGCTACCCCGCAAGAAACCAACCCGGCGGGTACTAAGCCCAATGGCCCAGATGTGACCCCGCAAGAAACCAACCCAGAGGGTACTAAGCCCAATGGATCAGAAGTTACCCCGCAAGAAACCAACCCGGCGGGTACTAAGTCCAATGGCCCAGAAGTGACCCCGCAAGAAACCAACCCGGCGGGTACTAAGCCCAATGGATCAGAAGTGACCCCGCAAGAAACCAACCCAGAGGGTACTAAGCCCAATGGATCAGAAGTTACCCCGCAAGAAACCAACCCAGCTGGTACTAAGCCCAATGGCCCAGAAGTGACCCCGCAAGAAACAAACCCAGAGGGTACTAAGCCCAATGGATCAGAAGTTACCCCGCAAGAAACCAACCCGGCGGGTACTAAGCCCAATGGCCCAGAAGTTACGCCGCAAGAAACCAACCCGGCGGGTACTAAGCCCAATGGATCAGAAGTGACCCCGCAAGAAACCAACCCAGCTGGTACTAATCCCAAAGGATCAGAAGCTACCCCGCAAGAAACCAACCCGGCGGGTACTAAGCCCAATGGCCCAGAAGTTACGCCGCAAGAAACCAACCCGGCGGGTACTAATCCCAATGGATCAGAAGTGACCCCGCAAGAAACCAACCCAGCTGGTACTAAGCCCAATGGCCCAGAAGTGACCCCGCAAGAAACCAACCCGGCGGGTACTAAGCCCAATGGCCCAGAAGTGACCCCGCAAGAAACCAACCCAGCTGGTACTAATCCCAAAGGATCAGAAGCTACCCCGCAAGAAACCAACCCTGCTGGTACTAATCCCAAAGGATCAGAAGCTACCCCGCAAGAAACCAACCCGGCGGGTACTAAGCCCAATGGCCCAGAAGTTACGCCGCAAGAAACCAACCCGGCGGGTACTAAGCCCAATGGATCAGAAGTGACCCCGCAAGAAACCAACCCAGCTGGTACTAAGCCCAATGGACCAGAAGTGACCCCACAAGAAACCAACCCGGTGGGTACTAAGCCCAATGGCCCAGAAGTGACCCCGCAAGAAACCAACCCAGCTGGTACTAATCCCAAAGGATCAGAAGCTACCCCGCAAGAAACCAACCCGGCGGGTACTAAGCCCAATGGCCCAGAAGTTACGCCGCAAGAAACCAACCCGGCGGGTACTAAGCCCAATGGATCAGAAGTGACCCCGCAAGAAACCAACCCAGCTGGTACTAAGCCCAATGGCCCAGAAGTGACCCCGCAAGAAACCAACCCGGCGGGTACTAAGCCCAATGGCCCAGAAGTGACCCCGCAAGAAACCAACCCAGCTGGTACTAATCCCAAAGGATCAGAAGCTACCCCGCAAGAAACCAACCCGGCGGGTACTAAGCCCAATGGATCAGAAGTGACCCCGCAAGAAACCAACCCAGAGGGTACTAAGCCCAATGGATCAGAAGTTACCCCGCAAGAAACCAACCCAGCTGGTACTAAGCCCAATGGCCCAGAAGTGACCCCGCAAGAAACCAACCCGGAGGGTACTAAGCCCAATGGATCAGAAGTTACCCCGCAAGAAACCAACCCGGCGGGTACTAATCCCAATGGCCCAGAAGTGACCCCGCAAGAAACCAACCCGACGGGTACCAATCCCAATGGATCAGAAGTTACGCCGCAAGAAACCAACCCGGCGGGTACTAAGCCCAATGGATCAGAAGTGACCCCGCAAGAAACCAACCCAGCGGGTACTAAGCCCAATGGCCCAGAAATGACCCCGCAAGAAACCAACCCGGCGGGTACTAAGCCCAATGGCCCAGAAGTGACCCCGCAAGAAACCAACCCGGCGGGTACTAAGCCCAATGGCCCAGAAGTGACCCCGCAAGAAACCAACCCGGCGGGTACTAAGCCCAATGGCCCAGAAGTGACCCCGCAAGAAACCAACCCGGCGGGTACTAAGCCCAATGGCCCAGAAGTGACCCCGCAAGAAACCAACCCGGCGGATACTAAGCCCAAAGGATCAGAAGCTACCCCGCAAGAAACCAACCCTGCGGGTAACACTCCCAATGGCCCAGAAGTGACCCCGCAAGAAACCAACCAGGCGGGTACCAATCCCAATGGCCCAGAAGTGACCCCGCAAGAAACCAACCCAGAGGGTACTAAGCCCCATGGATCAGTAGTTACCCCGCAAGAAACCAACCTGGCTGGTACTAATCCCAAAGGATCAGAAGCTACCCCGCAAGAAACCAACCCTGCGGGTACCACTCCCAATGGCCCAGAAGTGACCCCGCAAGAAACCAACCCGGCGGGTACTAAGCCCAATGGCCCAGATGTGACCCCGCAAGAAACCAACCCGGCTGGTACTAATCCCAATGGATCAGAAGCTACCCCGCAAGAAACCAACCCGGCAGGTACCACTCCCAATGGCCCAGAAGTGACCCCGCAAGAAACCAACCCGGCGGGTAACACTCCGAATGGCCCAGAAGTGACCCCGCAAGAAACCAACCCGGCGGGTACAAATCCCAATGGCCCAGAAGTGACCCCGCAAGAAACCAACCCGGCGGGTACCAATCCCAATGGATCAGATGTGACCCCGCAAGAAACCAAACCAGAGGGTACCAATCCCAATGGCCCAGAAGTGACCCTGCAAGAAACCAACCCGGCGGGTACCAATCCCAATGGACCAGAAGTTACCCCGCAAGAATCCAAACCAGAGTGTACCAATCCCAATGCACCAGAAGATACACCGCAAGAATCCAACCCGGTGGGTACCACTCGCAATGGACCAGAAGTGACCCCGCAAGAATCCAAACCAGAGGGTACCAATCCTAATGGACCAGAAGCTAATCCTCGAGGACCTTCATCTCAAGAAAGTCCCGGAAGCATTGCTGGTACAGACGGAAACAGTCCTGGTGGCAGCAAAGTGGCTCCAAGTCAAAATCCATGCCCTGATATTAGTCCAGTCGAGAAACCAGCTTCTGGGTCTCAACCTACAGCACCCGGACAAGACATACAGAACATAGGTAAGAAACCAAAAATTTTGACATTGAAATTATCTGACGTAAAAATACTTCTGATTAAACTTGAAAGTTAAAAAGCTAATTCTTCGATTTTTTTAACTACATTATGCATGTAGGAATAGGCCCAGACATCAGAAGTAAACCATGAAATACAATTATTAATAATTTAGTCAATATAACGCAATAGCAGTGAGGGAGAGAGTTAAGACTGCGGTCCATGCACCTCGACGCATTCAGAAACAAAGCGTGTCGACTGTCGATACAGCGGCGAGGCGGGTCTTCATATAGTGAGGCAATGACGTCAGGTCCTGGTGCGAGCGCACCTGTGCGCACACGTGCGCTCGCACGTGTCGATACTCAATAGCGCTCGATAACGCTGTCTCATTTGTAGCAACTACCAACTACCGCCGACATACACTTAGTTTTTACTATAGTAAATTATTTCGTGTCGTACTTTTTATTATTTCGGGCGATCGAACTAAATAACGCTACTTTGAGATTTGACCCACTGTATTGGATGTAAATATATATACAGTAGAACCTCGTTAAGTCGAACCTCGATAAGTCAAAAACCTCCAAATCTCGAAAAAAATTTTTGTTCCCTTCCCTTAAAACACCAAAACCTCCATTACTTGAAATCTTGACCCTCTGTTAATCGAAATAATCACCGAGTCCCTCCAAGCCATTTTGGTACATATTTTCACTCTATAACTCGAAAAATTAAATTTGACCTCTGTATCTCGAACATAGGTACGTTTTATTTTACAACCTTTACAACTTGATCATTTGGAATTTATTATCTCTATTGGTCTAAGATCCCGATATACAACGACCTTCACCGAGATGCTTATTTAATGAAACGTATTTTATATTTCATTTAATATGTCAATAAATATAATCCATATGGGTTGCCTAGCAAATTTCAGTCCAGAGTATTTTAATTAATATTTAAAAAAAAAATATTTTGGACAACCCATATGGATTATATTTATTGACATATTAAATTAAATATAAAATACGTTTCATTAAATAAGCATCTCGGTGAAGGTCGTTGTATATCGAGGATCTTATACTATATTGTTCGAACAAAAATAAGTTACCGACTTTAAGAACTTGCCGCCAATGTGAGTACACTATTGTTTCTTAGAAAACATTTTAGGAGTATACAATAATAAACTCTTTATGTCGAATCAAAATCCGCCTAAGTCGAAATCCTCCATAAGTTGAAAACTCTATAACTCGAATTTTTTGGCGTCTCCCTGATATTAGACTTATAGAGGTTCTACTGTACATCCAATCAATGTAACGCCAAAACATCTTATAAAATGTTGTTTTTAATTTATTTATTTCAACCAGGCAATTATAAGATCATATTGTTATTATTGTGGTAGTCCCGATAGTATATGGAATACTATCATATGATATTTAAAAATGTAATTATGTATACCAAAATACAAGGCTTGTACAATATACAATAATAAATTATTTTAACATCATCAGAGGCATTTTACGATAGTTTTTGACGTAAACGATAATGTTTTGACGGTAAAGTATCGACTGTCCATTTAATTTGTATACAACAGGGGGAGTGGTCAAGATTCTTTAACGGTAGTGTATGCAGTCCAAAACTTAATTTGTATGAAAATTACAGTTTGTGTCGACAAATTTTCATACAAATTTAGTTATTATTTTCGAACAATGTTTCCGCTTCCGCTTAGTTCCATTACGCTCACAGCGCTCTTTAAGTTTTCCACACATTATTCTATGAAAATATATTTGTTATCGCTGTGTATGTATAAAATTGTTTATATTTTCAGATAATCTTCAAGCATTACAAACAATTGTCGATCTACAGTTTGTCATCCTGCCCCGAGGACCGAAAAACACGAAAAATTGCTACTGCACTTGTGAAAGCCCGTCCGCGCCAAAATTAATTAAAATGAAAGACCTACCACCCGGTATCAAATAATACCGCGATTTCATTTAATAATTGTTAGAATTATATCTACAGTGTGTTTTTCTGTGTTACGAAAATAATTTACTCTATGATTCAAACTTCAAAAGTCACAGACAGTTGACATGACATGTCTACAGGCTGTCATGTACAAGTGGCGCTAACTCTAATCTGTTTCGGCACTATCTTTATTATTTTAAAAGCTTTTTGTAAATGATACTACATAACAAGCTTTAAATGTCAGTTTTCAAAATTAACCCCAAACGATTCTTCCAAGATTACCAAACGTTGAGAACTGTCAATTGTCAAAATCATTGTCAATTTTTACCACTCACTCCTTGGTAGATTGAACTTTGGACAAAATTGTGATAATCGTCACCCAATATCAAAAATAGTAGTTAGATCCCAAGTTCGGATCTACAACTTGCATCAAGGGGGCACAGAAAAAAGATATTCTTTTCGATTTGTTAGGTCCGGTCCGTCGCATATATTTCTTAAATAAATGGAAATACTCGCTGAAGCCTCACAAGACCCCCAAATCGCGTTAACAATGCATTTTGGAGCCTTCGGGCATTAAGTACTTATACTGACGTGAGCCTTAAGCTACGGATTGTTCTCATAACATCAGTTGTCAGTTTGACAGATGAAATAAATGTTTTTTTTTAATTTGGCGCGACGAAAACCTTTTAAAATTTTATCTTTGATTGTCGTTTGATTAATAATTTGTAACTAACAGTGTTTTAAATTTATACATTTGTTTAATTTCTAATAAATGTGTGTTTTATATATTGTTTTTATTATTAATTCCTAGTTTATAGACTAAACTAAATTTATTGTCAAGTGCTGTCAAACCATTACTGTAGTAAAATTTACTTTTGAGATTTGGTTCCGATTGTAATAGCCATCTGTCGATACAAGCTATCCATGGGAGGTCGTATCGGTGCCTGTGGATAGACCTTTGTATGAAAATGACAGTGGATGAAAGCTCGATTTCAACAGTTAATTATTTTAACAGATTTTAACTTCAAATAATTAAAAACTGTTTGTTATGTTTTAAACATACACATGTATATTTTAATTTTATTTGTACGGTTTTATTTACTTTATTTGGTTTACATTGATTATCAAATATGAGTGAAAACTCGGTAAAATGGAACGACAAAGAGCATTTTATCCGTCGCCAAAAATGGATTGTCTTCGTAGGGTTTGGTTATTGCGATGCATATAGGAGATCGATCGACTGTCACGGTCTGAGATGAGATTGTGGATTGATTATTGGGTTCGGGCGTAACTCTCAGCCGTCGTAAACTTCCGATTATATCTCCGTTATAAAAGTAGCGAAAACAAGCAGAAACTAATGTTGAAAAGCGCGCGGAACTTCCGCACTTGCGGAAACAGAAACAGAGATCCGTTGCATCACTAATTGGCATGCTATAGTCGTATTTTTAATTAGACGAAGCCAACTGACAGTAGCTAATGTCACTTTGTAAAATAATGTTGCCATATTTAAAGTAATAGTGATGCGTTCAGTTCTTGTTCAATCAGATGAATGAACATTGAGTGTGAATAGTCAATCATTTCAAACAATAAAAGAATATTATTTCTATTTCAAAATTGTATAAAAGTGCTCTGATATAAGTTAGGTACTAGTACTATGTAACTACAATCAGTTTTTTGACGTCTTATTACAAAGCGCGGCGCGGCGACTAGTGCCATCACCGATCATTAATTCACGGGTTTATACTTTGTCACAACACTATTTTTATTTCATTAAAAACTGACAACACCGTAAACGTCAGTTGACTTCGTCTAATTAAAAATTCGACTATAGTTCGGTATGATCTAAATAATACCTACGACCGGGACGTAAATATTATCACTAAGTTCACTCATAACCAACACAGGATACGATTGTTTCTTTTTGAAATGTTTAAACGTGATATATTTAAATAAATGTACCGAGTCGAGCTACCTATCAAAACGAAATTTTGTTGCAATATACATTATTATTTAAAAACTAAGCAATACAAATATCGATTCAATCCTTTCATAAATTGTGTTTCAATTATAATTATCAAATAAATTACACAGGTATTATAGTATCTTTTTTTTTATAGAACGGGGGCAAACGGGCAGGAGGCTCACCTGATGTTAAGTGATACCGCCGCCCATGGACACTCTCAATGCCAGAGGGCTCGCGGGTGCGTTGCCGGCCTTTTAAGAATTGGTACGCTCTTTTCTTGAAGGACCCTAAGTCGAATTGGTTCGGAAATACTTCAGTGGGCAGCTGGTTCCACATAGTGGTGGTGCGCGGCAAAAACTGTCTTGAAAAACGCTCAGTTGTGGAATGGCGGACGTCGAGGTGATACGGGTGGAATTTCGTATTCTGTCTCGACGTCCGATGATGAAACTATTTTATAGTAAAGTTCCTTTAAATAATGAATAGAATCACAAAACGTGTCTGTAGCGAGGAGCCCCATAAGAGGCTTTTGCCGTTTCTAAAATTGTATGTATCACACATACAATAAGCTGGAATAAGCGGTTTAAATAACTAACTTAGATTAATATATCTCACGTTTGATACAGACAAAATTATACACCACAATAGACCAGATATAAAACTTATAAAGTCAATAAACAGCACATTTATAGACATCGCCATACCCAACATCTATTTACAAGAAACAATAGCTCAATAGCATTATGCAGATCATAAAAATTAAATTAATAGGATTCGAACCCTTAACAAAGTATCAATAGTCCCTATGTCCACCACCGGAATAACCCCAAAACAGTTACACTAAGCTATCAAATTGTAATACCTCCAAAAGGCCATTTATATCATCCTTCAAAAAGAAGTTTCGAGAAGAAAACCTCGCAAATTTTTACAAGATAATAACCCATTAAAAACTGTGTTCACTTGGGTTAGGCCCGTGTGCAACAGTCTACGACGATCATGAATCGATCCTAAGCTAAAGTGAACAGTTACCAAACATAATAATAATAATTTATTTGCAAGAATATGGTACAAAATTATAATTTACAAGCTAAACTTTGCATATTCTGCCTCACATAATAGCGTGCAAATTTGTCTTAAATTTTACATAGAAGTTATATACCTATGTATTACATAACATAGTGAAATCTTAGATTATTTTATCACATTATTAAAATATATTATTTTATTATTAAGTGAATATTAATAATGTTACACTCATATCATAATAGTGTAATGGTGGCTGTACACACTCGGCGAGAGCCTCTCGCCGAGAGTCTCGACCGAGAGGACCGAGAGAAGAGCACAGCCTGTACACACTCGTTACGTTATTTGTATTTAAAACACCGTTAATAATGGACGTGGAAACCGCTGCTGCTGTTTGTCTTTGTGCAATAAGTTATTATAATTTTCTTCACGTTTACCATAAAAAAAAATTACGAAGCCATGGCGAAGAAGAAGATGGTGGATGGTTACTATGCACCGCAACAGAAATAGGTAATTAGGTTCATAAAGTTTTAATATTATCCAAAATTGTAAATTGCTACTTGTATGTATATTTTACCTTTTGTATGTCATTCATTTATTTTGTACTTTATTTCAGCAGCACCATGGAAAATCAATTGGCAGAGCTAGTGGCAGAACCCTCTGGCCAATTTGATAATTTTACAAGAATGTCTTTAGTCGACTTTCAATTTTTACTGCAAAAAGTTGCTCCGTTGATAACTAAGAAGAATACTCTTATGAGAGAAGCAATACCAGCCAAAATTCGCGTTCGTTAGACCACATTGTGCGATACGTCTTGTCACAACCACAGTCATCGAGCAAGTGATTGAACGAGTGTGTACAGGTCGCTCTCGTTTTACTCGCGAGACCCTTTGACTCGTGCGCAAAAAACCGACAGGCGACCGAGAGAGGCGAGACCGACTGCGAGGAAGCGCGGCGAGACGAGAGCTCTACTGTACACTCTCGCCCTCGGCCTGTCTCGGGGTGTCTCGCCGAGTGTGTACAGCTACCATAAGGTTTTTAGATCTTTAGGGATTACGGATTGGTGGACAGTATCCCTCTAATCTTTATATGTATAATTCTTCTGTGAGTGTGTATGTCACTGAACTTCTCTCAAACGACTGGACCGATTTTGATGAAATTTTTTGTGTGTGTTCAAGGGGATCTGGGAATGGTTTAGATTCATAAATTAACCCGGCAGATGGCACTGCAGTCGGTACTTGCATACTTTGTTTAGTATCCTATTCGCTTGAAACATCATGCAGGACAACGTCGGTCCGGTCCGCTAGTATTCCAATATAATAAGAAACTTGACTATTTCTTCTAACAGAACCTAAATTCTATGATAAAATTTGAGTGCTAAGCAAAACCTGTAAATTACTCCCAAATCCAGCATATTAGTTACCTCTCCTTAATAAAGACAATTTAAGTAAGAAGGTTTAAATTTGAATATACAAAATCGTTATTCTTACCAACAGTTTTAAAAACTTTATATGTGGGGCTTCCCCGAAATCATAAAGAACAAAAACAGCTAGAAATTAGTGTTGCTAGCTTAGGAGGAGAAATACCGCTTTTAATTGACCAAAATATTGCTGACTTATAATTATCTACACCGATATCAGTTTTAAGCAATATAAGAGGGATATTATTAATTAATAAACTCAAAACTAATAGATCGATTTCGCAAAATTGATTCTCTATTAAGGCCGGCCTTTATTATTTCCAAATTATGAAAAAAACCACAATGGGACAATCATTAAATTATGTTTTTGTTTTTTTATCAAATTTCAATACAAATCTTATATTTTATAAATGCAATGCACCCGGCTGTTCACCAATGGACTTTCTTTCTGCATTCGCTCGAACGGCGGTGAAGGAAATCATCGTGTGGAAGCCGGCTTAACTTAGACCCAAAAAGTCGACGGCGTATGTCAGGCACAGGATGCCGATCATTTATTAGATTGACAATCATGAAACAGATACAGAAATCTGAGGCCCAGACCTTAAAAGAATGTAGCGCCACTGATTAAATTTTATTTATATTCCAAGACAAGTATATTTTTTTATATTTCGTTTTAATTATTAATTTTATTTTCATTTTGTTTTTGCTATTTTTTTGGTGCATAATATTTTCGGGCAACACTGTTTAGCTACATCTAATCTATGTAAGCGCTTTATGATGTGTTTTGGTTTTCATATAGACTTAGTGAACTAATTATACAAATTTCATATGCATACCAATCTAAATTCATATTTGTTTGTTTAATCGAGATAAGTATATAGTTTACCCTCCTAATTTTCTATAAATCTCTTAAAGCTTTGAACGAAATAATGAAGCGGTTTATTCAACGGCCACACAGCGCTTGACCGCTGAGTTATCAAAAATTTGTTATAAATACTTGAAGCGCACATTTTCGTTACTTTTTGGTACTCCAGCATCTTGCGTTTAAAGCTTAGCTTAAAGTTCTCTGTATTCAAGTTAAAATGGTTCGTTTCTACGCTATCGATTGTGAGATGGTTGAAAATGATTTGGGTAAAAGCATGGTTGCTAGAGTGTCCCTCGTGAATGAAGCTTTAGAAACTGTTCTGGATGAGTATATTAAACCTACTCATCATGTAGCCGACTACCGGACCTCGATATCCGGGATTAAACGCGGCTACGAAACTGAAGCTAAACCGAAAGATGAGGTAGTCCGTCGTTTAAAGAGCATCATCAACGGGCATGTGCTTGTGGGGTTTGATGTGGAAAAAGACCTCGAAGCTTTAGGAATATCGCATTCTAAAGTCAAGGACGTGGCGACCTATCAGCGTTACCAAGTAAGTGCCATTACTTATTTCAGAAAAAGTACAACAATTAGTTATTATATTACAATTTCATAAGCGTGTTTCGATTGGCGTATTTTGCGGAAAACACAATTTTCGTTTCTTGTTTTTGATTCAATCTGTCTATGAAATATTGACAATTCTAAAAGGTTCTGTTGGTTAATTTTTCAATGAAATTGACGCGAAAAGGCTGTTATAACATGAACCTAATTATCTCTCTTAACCAATTTCAGTACGGCGTTTAGATGACGCAATTTCATTATCGATTTCTTTTTCAGATATCTGGCCAGAAACAGTCGCTTAAGAAATTGGCTCAACAAGAGCTTCGCTTGTCCATTCAAAATGGACCACATGACTCTGTTGAAGATGCGAAAGCTGTGATGAGGATTTACAACAAAGATCGCTTTTAATTATTTATGTCAATACCGCTTCAATGATTAATTAGCATTTTACATAAGTACAATTTAAAAGTTTCTATTCCGTAAAGTTTCGTAAAATAAACGTATTAATTGAAAAAGTTTTTATTCCGCTATCTCCCACCTTGTCCTGTAGGATGTATTTGATATATTTTAGTAGGTATCTTTCTTTCAAACCACTTTTTCGTAATATTTCATTCATTTATTTAACAAATTACATTAACTCTTCACACATATTACAGATTACTCATGAGGCAACTATTTACATTTTCATCACATTTAAAATTAAACCACTACATTTAACAGTAATAGATTCAAATGTTCACAAAAAAGAATCGACAAATAATGTCCCACGTTACAAATTTTTGAAGTGAAACTTCTTTATCGGGGTTGGAAAAAAAATTAGTGTAACATTTTTCGGTTACGCGTCACATTTGACCGTTACGTGCGTCTTTTTCTTGTCCCTACCACGGTTGATTCGAAGAGATTCTAAACCACAAAAATTTATAATAACTATGATACTAAAAATTCTGTTACAATTTATGAAATTCTGTAATAATCTTAGTGGTAATAAGGTAAAATGAAATATTTGTATTCATGTCTATGATAATAAAAGCCTTTTGTTAAACTTTATCTAATTTAACTTTATTTAACCAATTTCTGTAAAGTTGCATATAAGTAGATAATTTTTCGAAAAATAAGTTATAAGGTCATAAAGAATTTCACTTCTTACGTGTGTACACTAGTACACGCACATTTTTATTTATTTTAATGACAATGCCAATAAGAGTTAAAAAATAGCATAGTTTCAACTGTATTTGATGTCTAGCCATTTAGGACTTCCAAGATATTAATTATTTTCATGTTATAACCATTTAATAATGCCAACCCTGAGTGAAACTAAGAAAACTCACTTTGAGCATTTCGAAATTTAAATATTTTATATTATTCGTCTTCATTAAACAATTAAATTATAGTAATAGACCACTAATTGCAATATCCTACGTCATTGTTGGGTCTCTTGCTTTTGAATAATTCAATAAATCTTTAACTTACTTGTCGCATCTTATAGGTATTAGGTACATTTGCGGCGTTGCCGCACTTGCATGTTGTAGTCGTTATTCAAAGATTGGCAACCTCGCCCACGCACCTGGCCGTAGGAAAGATTTTTAAAGCGACATCTCGCGGCTGTTTTCTAAACATTCCAATGATTAGGTTAATATTTGTTATTTTAATACAGCTTCTGACATCCATCGTCAAAATTTGTAATTACCACGAGAGTTACGGCTATTTTAGCATTGATTTGTCTATTTACTTTCATTGTCTTTGCTAGAGACGATGGCACGCGGCCGGACGAGATATCTTTGATTCCTTGGGTGATGGGACAGACTTTGGTATGGGATGCTACTTGTGTGGACACGTTAGCCCGTGTGGCAGTTTACCTTTAATGCTGGCAGCATTTCCTCGCTGTTTTGCGATACCTACTTTTTCGTTGAGCGAGCTATGCACCAGCTCTGGGTTCACCGATACTATCTATATATTATATATACCAATTACCAGGCGCCAACTTAAATCTTCCATTACCACCTGTGCACAGGACAGCCATTTCAAATTATTATGTTAGTTTTTTGTCAAAACTCTTTTAATTCATATTCTGTTATTATGAAAATTGGCATACAAGCAAACAAAAGAGTTTGTATTGAAACAACATAAAAATAATAACATTGAATTAGTTTCGTTTTCTAGAAAAATCACATGCTTCTATGAGCGTCTATCAAATCCGTCACTTTACCGACTGATTACTTTGAAATGTAAAACACATGGTTTGTTTTTTAATGTAGCCGTAATATTTAGTCAATGTAGTATCCAAATATGATAAAAATATGATTTTGGATTTTTTCAAATCCGCCATTGTTCTACGATCATGACGCTATTTCTGTATTGGAATTTATAAATGATATCATTCTTCCTCTTGAATAACATTGTTTGATGTTGTACGGGCTTTGTTACAATGTTTCGGTTGAGTGTTTCTCTGAATCTTCTTATCTACGAGTTTATATAACGGAAGCGGGAGTCCTGTTAATCTTAATATATATAAATTACGCGTCACGTTGTTTGTCCGCTATGGACTTCTAAACTACTGAACCGATTTCAATCAAATTTGCACAGCGTGTGCGGTTACTTAAAAGATAGGATAGCTTACATCTCAATTTATACAGCAATATTATTTTTTTGCAAAATATTTGTTTATTATTTAATAGTCACAATTCTAACAGATGGTGCTGTGTTGAAAGTACCAACGTTTCACATAAGGTACAATTTAATGGCATATCTACCCATTACCCACCAAAAAAGCAGGGTGGACTCCATGACTGGTGTTCTCCTACCGTTTCCCTTGCATAGTTTACTACTATGTAAGTAATACATTTATAACAAAAACCTTAGCCACAGCAGCGCTTGGCCGGTCTGCTAGTAAAATATATTATAATATAAAGCCACCACAACAACTGGTCATCTCTCGTTTCATCAGTGTTTAATGGACAGTATTTACAATTTTCTTAACCTAATTAGTCATAAACCGTGTACTTGAAACAACGGCCCAAAGAGTCTCCAAAGGAAGTATTATTAATTATATTTTTGTATACAATATAATGTATATACATATTTAATAAAGGTCAGCCAACAGATCTTACCTATCTTATCTTACATATTTAAAAATACTTTGCACATTAAAAGGTACCCAATTGCAGGCTGACACAGCTTGCTTCAAGTCTAAGCACTGACACACCTCCGCCTTGGCCTAATAATAATAATTCTTGAAATTCATACTCATAACTTATACCAAAGTATAAGTCAGGGGTATGATCTATCAAAATAGAGCGATATTAACAGAAAAAAACAATACCAGATATAAAACTTATAAAGTCAATAAAACAGCACATTAATAGACATCGCCATACCCAACATCTAGTTACAAAAAACAATAGCTCTATAGCAATATACAGATCATAAAAAATTAAATTAAAAGGATTGGAACCCTTAACAAAGTATCAATACTCCCTATAATTGTTCACCACCGGAATAATCCCAAAACAGTTACACGAAGCTATTAAACTGATAGACCTCTGGAAACCCATTTCTATTACCTTTCAAAAAGCAATATTAAAATACGAGAAGAATAATTCGCAAATTTCTACAAGATAAAAAACTGAGTTCACTTGGCTTAGGCCCGTGTGCGAGTCTACGAGGATCATTCCAAACATAATAATAATAATTTATTTGCAAGAATATGGTACAAAAATATTATGGTGGTACAATGCGAAGGCAGCAAGAACAAAAAGACTGCATTTTTGCCAAAACCGATTTTTTGCCTTATATTGTCTTATATTTTTTTTTTCGAAAAATGTTGTTTATTACTCCAACTTTTCAACGTACCTATAAAAAGACATTTACACTGTTTCTTAAAAATGATTAAGTACAAACGGATACATAAGTGATCAGCTGTTATAAACAAAGATATCAGTTACTTGACCGTTTCGTCTTGGGCGTCCGGCGTTTTGAATATATAGAAACAACACGTTTTAAGCCAAAAAACGAAAGCAAAGTAATGTTTTTAAAAGTGTCACCAACATTGGGGATTCGAGTGAAGACATATTCATTAACTTATTGAATTTTCACAAAATAGTACCTAGCTGATAGCAATCCATTCGTAATGGCAGTTGACTCCAGTTTCTTTGTTATTTCGATCGGAGTAGAAAAAGACATCTACCGAATTTCGAAAATCGGTTTGTTTATAACCTCACTATTTTTCTATAAATCTCTTAAAGCTTTGAATAAAATAATGAAGCGGTTTATTCAACGGTCACACAGCGCTTGATCGCTGAGTTATCAAAAATTTGTTATAAATACTTGAAGCGCACATTACTCCAGTATCAGTCATCAGATATCTTGCGCTTTAAGTTAACGTAACAGTTTTCTGTGTTCAAGTTAAAATGGTTCGTATCTACGCTATCAATTGTGAAATGGTTTATAATAAGGTTTCTAGAGTGACCCTCGTGGACGAAAAATTTAACCGGGTTTTAGATACGCGCAACATGCCAGGCTATGCTGTCCTTCTTTTCAAGGAAATCATCAACGAGGAAGACGTGCTTGTGGGATTTAATGTTCAGAAAGACCTCCAAGCTTTGGGATTTTCCCACTCTAATATCAAGGACATGGCGACCCACCCTGCTCTCCTAGTAATTGCCATTATTTATTTCAGTAAATTATAACAATTAGTTTATTTAATTATATTTTAAAATATCGTGGTCTCGTTTGGCGTGTTTTACAGAAAACATTATCTTCGTGACTTGTTTTTGCTTTCAAATATTGAAATATTGATAATTTTTAGAGGTTCTATTGGTAAATTTTTCAATGCATTCGATGCGTAAAGGCTGTTACACATAATAAGTACCTAATTATCTCTCTTTACTAATTCCAAATGCAGTACGGCGTTTAGATGACGTAATTATAATATATTATTATATATTTTTCAGGAATCCGGCGAGATAGAGTTGCTCAAGAATTTAGCTTTTCAAGAGCTTGGATTGCACATTCTTGAAGGAGATAAGTATAACTCTGTGTATTATGCGAAAGCTGCTATGGACATTTACAAAAAATATAGCTTTTAATTATTCATGGCAACACCGATTGAATGGTCCCCATTTACGTGTTTTTAAATGTTTATTAATATTTTACTATGTTAAGTTTCCATTCGGAAAAGTTTCGTAAAATAAATGTATAAAATAAAAAAGTTTTTATTCCTCCTTGTCCTGTAGGACACCTACTCTTCATAACTTTTAGATATTTTAGGTATAGATTTTTCTGATATATTTCCTTACAATTGGTCGCAGTTTCATTATCCTATCGTAGTTTTCTAACATCCTTCTTTCAAACCACTTTTGAAGTCTGCGTCATATGGACATTCATTCATTTATTTAACAAATTACATTTATTATGAGACACATACCATTACAGATTATTCCATTATGGCAACTATTAAAATTTTCATCACACACAAAACAATACTGTATACACATAGATTAAAGCAACACTACATTAAACAGTAATCTTATATATATAAAACAAAGTCGTGTTTGTTACAACACTTATAACTCGAGAACGGCTGGACCGATGTTAATTATCTCTTTTTAGGTGGATTCTTCTCAGCTCCGAATAGCAGAATAAGTAATAAAATATCCGATAAGTTATCGAATAACAATAAATAAGTAAATTAATTTTACGCATGCAAACAGCATGTGGTGCCACCCGTTGACAAAACTACGCATCATTTGACGTCGAATTCGTGTCAGTTCAAGAAATTCCGATATTGATGAATGAGGAGATGCATAACCAGGCTTTCATCTTGAGTTGGGTTACGTGTTAATGTGTCGCACGAATTTGATGATACTGATTATGCAGGAGTCTCGGGGGACATCCACGTGATTTTTGATGCCGGAAACGGGTCTAAGTATTTCAAAAAAAATTTTTTTGTGTAATATATTGAAATTTGTAAACAATCCGCCATTTTCTACTTTTCTATTGGTTATAAGAGATGTGACGTTCACTTTAAAAAATCGTGTTTATAATTAAACGATTGTTAATCTCATCAAAAAATTTTGTATTATATCAGAAAGTAATTTAACATGCAGAATCGCAATATTGGCGCTAGAGAGAAGAGGCCCAATGTGTAAAACTGCCAATCTTCTTTCGCAATGGCAAAAACTAAAACATTTATGTATTTGCAAAAAAAGTTGTATTGATGTTATTACCTTAATGAAATCCTAAAATAAATTTAACTAAAGTAACAACGATATTATTCAACTGAAAGGCGGAACGAAGTTAGCCGGGTCAGCTAGTAGATTAATATATTTACAAAAAACAATCGACAAATATTGTCCCACAATACATATTATAATGTTTTATTTAATTACAATGCCAATATAACAGTGGCGGTACCACTACACACCTGATTCCGCAACGGATTAGTAGAGGCTACAGCGACCTTGGGAGGAAATAATCCCTTAAAGTCTGGGATAGAAGGCAGCGGGAAACCACTGCTCAATATCTTTCCCTAGTAGTCAGTAATCCTGGAAAAGTCTAATAAGGGCTTTTTCACACGTACCTACCACAACCACACCACGTCGCAACAACAAAATGCTGTCAAGCAGTGGTTACGTGTGAATAGTGTCGCTGCAGCTTTTTGTAGTTGCGTTGTGGTACGGACAAAATGTCGATGTGGTTGGATTGTCGCCAGTAGTTGCGATGCGGTAACGTCGTGTGCACAAATCGACTCCGTCTTTAATTGCTGAACGTGTTTCCGCTATAAAAGCCGGAGTTGACTGACCAATTCCAAGAGGAAACTGTCACCTCAGTCGAACGTAGAATGAATGAACCGGAGGAGGGAAAGGAAGCGTGCGTGCGTAGACGCAACGTTTTGTTTGCGATGTGGTCGGCCACTGGTTCGCAGTGCCGCTGGTGGTTGCGTTGTGGTCGCGATGTGGTCGGTATCACACACACGGTCGATAATGACTGCAAAATGTGGTACGTGTGAATAGTCCTATTCATTTTCAATACAAAATATACGCTCGGCCACGTGGTGTGGTTGAGGTGTGGTTGTGGTCGTGGTGTGGTTGTGGTGCGTGTGAGCAAGCCCTAAAACAAGACACGCTTCAAGAGACTGACGGCCAAGCTCCAGTAATGGAGATGCACTAAAAGAGGAAGAAGAAGAAGCCAATAAAAATATAACTACGAAATAACATAGTTTCAACTGGTCCAAGATATTTATTTATTTCCATTTTATAAACATTTAATAATGCCAACCCTGAATGAAACTCTAATAAAACTCACTTTGAGCATTTTGAAATTAAAATATAACACTCTTCTTATGGATGGTGGGGTACAATAAATTATAAACAAGGCGGGATTACAGTTGGCCTAATATCTACTTAAAAATCTTGCGGGGGATAGGAGATATGTGCGACGGCGAAGGCTGTTTGCGATACCATAGTTCTGCGTTTAGGTAATCGCCACGCTACTAAAACTAAGAAAGCCTAAGTGAGCAAAATGTATAGCCTTGGCTCGTACGGACATTTTATTATGAATAGATTTGTTTTACCAGCATGTAATGGATTACATAAAAAACTTATTTCACAAATTTTACGCTAAACTCATATTTGTTTGAGAGAATTAATCATATGTAACTGAACATCTAAAGAACTCGCCACTTCACAAATGTTTAGGGATTTATCTACAGAATGGAATAAAAAACTTTTATATCATAAAAAATTTATTAAAATCTAAATACAATTGATGATGTTTGCATGTTTATTACCCTTAGAAATTTTATTTACATTGTCAACAGTTGTGTCAAAAGTTAAGAGAATCAAAGCTGGTCACTATTTTTTCATTCTATATGTGCAATTAAGGCTTAACTAAAAGATTTCACCATTATTTTATAAATAGACATATATTTAATGAGGTAAATAAATAAATCAGATTGTATAGTCAAATGTTCTCTTACAATTAAGGCATTGTAAAAAAAAGGTGGATAGAAGAAATAGAAGTGGTAGCAGGAAGCGAATGGAGAAAGAGAGCCATGGATAGAGTCAGTTGGAAAAAGCGGGAGGAGGCCTAATTACCCGTGAAGGGGTTCCGATGGTACTAAAGGTAGCTTAACTCATTTTTATTGCGAAGAATTCTGACATTAAGTGTTGCTACTAAAAAGTTGTCCCCCAAAAAAGGGACAAATTTGACTTATCTGAGGACAATAAAAAATAAAATACTACGTATTTTTTATGAATATATGTTATTTTTATTTGTAAAATGTGCCCGGCCAAAAAGGTTTGTAATCTCTGACATGTCAAAAAATTATAGCATTCAGAATTCTACGGAATTAAAAATCAGAGTATAGGATAACAAAAAAAAACAAGTATAAAATGTAAAAAATCTAAGCAGTATATTTTTTATACCACTAAACAGGCTTTTCACTGACACTTGACATTGACATTGACGCTGGACATGTAAATTGTCAAAGTTCGCTATGACTGTTAATTTAGAACTAGATTATACATATGATTAATTGATTATATAAATATATGAACACTGTTTCTTGGCTTTTTTACAAACCACTTTTTAACTGAAAACCTTTTTTAATTTTCAAACAAAATACACTTATTTATATAAACGGGAATGTAAAGGAAATTAAAAAATCAAACGATTCCATTCAATAGTTACACTTAGCGCTAAGTTTTGACTGAAGAAGAAGAAGAAGAGTTTTCTTTTTGCAAGTCCTGTTTATCTCCCGCGATGGATCTTCAAGTGCCGCAGCGCACACCTGGCCGCGGTGCCTTTGGCGATGCGATAGTTCCGGCCGATCCCCTTGAAGGTCCCTCTGCCGAACACTTCTACGCACACGCGGACCCGTCTGCCGTCTGCGAGGCGTTCGGGTTTTCTAAAAAAAAATTATAATTATAGCTGAAAAATTGGTTTGGTTGAACTAATAGGAATTACTGGTTTGAATTTAATTCTTTTGTAATAAATTGGGCAAACTGCGGGTCCTTTACTATCAATTTGGTAATATTGATAATATTTAAAAAAAATGTGTGCGTGTACTAGGTGTACACACGTAAGAAGTGAAACTTCTTTATGATCTTATTTTTCGAAAAAATGATCTACTATATGCAACATTACAGAAATTCGTTAAATTAGATAAAGTTTAACAAAAAGGCTTTTATTATCATAGACATGAATACAAATACAATTATTTCATTTTAACTTATTACTGTACTACTATGTAGTACTAAGATTATTACAGAATTTCATTCTCTCTCTCATTGTTATCGTTATTATATATTTTTGTTACTCATGGCTTCGAATCTCTTCGGATCAACCGTGGTAGGGACAAGAAAAAGATGGCGCGTAACGGAAAAATGTGACGCGTAACGCAAAAATGTTACACTAAATTTTTTTCCAACCCCAATAAAGAAGTTTCACTTCAAAAACATAAAAAGTGAGTCAATCTATTCAATAAAGGTGAAATTTGTATTAAGAAATAAGTACATCATTTTAAATGTTGATTATAAAATCGAAAGCATTCTAAATAAAATTTTATTTACATTGCACAATCGATAAAACAGATAATTTCAATTTTGTATGAAATAAATAAATATTAATTTAACAATACGATGTCATTAATTTTATTAGAATGGCAACACTATGCAATATAGAGATCATAGAGACTAGAATTTGTCAATCTATCATTAGTGCGGACCGTTCGTCAAATCTGTCTGCCAAGTCACGCCTGCGCACTGACTGACGTCAAAATCAACATATCGAACGACAGTAATATCTCATCAATTCTATCATACTTATAAATATACGACACGAACAGAAATTTATTTTTATACACTCTTAATCCGACTGAGGGTTCTTTCTACGCCGGCAACGCACTTACGAGTCCTCTGCCAACGTGAGTATTCATTGATACTCCGAACGGACACATATGTCGGACACTCACCCAAACTTAGCCGTGTCCGGTTCGGCCTCCAACAATTCTCTGACTGGAGACTTGGGCGCTGCGGCACTGAAAGCTTCCAGTTCTGCCATCATCAGACGGGCGTACGACCGCCAGACGGCTCCAAGAGACATGCCTGGAAAAAAAGTTTATACTACAGAAAAGTATCCAACTTTTTTAAGTTATTGCATTGATTTTTGGGGCTTTGAGGCGGCGACCGAATAAAGAAATTCCGTAACGAAAATAAAAACCACGATGACGTAATATAGGTGTGGCCAATACGCGTTAGAGAGGGACAGAACGCATACTGCGTATTCACATCTCTGACGAGATCGGTGACGTAACGTAAGCGCGGCCGGTGCAGCAGGTACGCGTTAGAGTGAGACAGACTATATAGACGTGTTAGTCTGAGTCTGGTAGAGTGGGAGATTAAATTAATATCAAAGGAAAAAATACTGCATAAATAAATAATTATAATTTCATAAGTTGATAAAAAATGCTAGGCAATAGCTCTACCGCGGCAGTCTCCGAGTGCCACACGTTTTGTTCAAAGATACCGGTGGCGCTACAACCCTCGTTATTGTTCGTTACGTCATATTGCTGGGTTTGACACGAATTGAGTAGTGCCTAGCTAGTTAGCTAAAGTCTCCTCAAAATAGGATAAATTAGAAATGCGGGTAGTTCTAAAAACTTATGTATTTCCACTAACGTCCACTTTTAATATTTCGTAATGATTCCAAATACTTATCGAAATTTGTAAATTTATAAATGTTTGAAAATTTTGCATATTTTGGAAAAATATAGCCTATGTTAGTCAGATTCTTTTTTAGCTTGAAATTTTAGTACAACAGGTCGAAGTGTTAAGTTTTTAAGTTAATGTATTCAAGGAGTGTTTTTTTTTAATTCGTTCTTATTCGTTGTAAACTCGGAAAGCTTTCCCATTTATCATGTTATCCAGTTCAGAAAAAGTACTTTTTGTCCCATACCCCATTGTGAGTACCTTATAACTCGCTCCATTAAACAGAATGGCTAGAATGTACAATATGCTGGCCAATTTTGACATTTATTTGTATCGCTAATCCGGTTTTTTTAATATATTTTGTAATATTTATATATATATATATGTGCACGCACCTGTAATTTTTGTTAATTACTTCTTATTTTTTTTAATAATAATAAAATAAAAAATATGTGTGTACTTATGTACACGCTTTAGAAGTCTTTGGCGTAACAAGATAAAAATATATGTTCAAAAAAAAAATTTCTACGTTTGTAGAAAAAACGACACTAACAATAGAAAAACTAAAATGTCGACTATAACTTCAGGGTGTCGGTTTTTAGTGACGGTGTGCACGCATCGTAAAATTTCACTCTCATCATTTTCCCTAACGCACCAAAAGAAGTATAACTTCAAAAATAACTCACCGGAATCGAGGAAAATGGCCCCCGCTACGGATTCAAAGAGATCCCCGAGTGCCTTCGGAACCTCTACATCTTCAGCTTGCTCCATCTCATCTTCTTGTATTAAATAGTGCTGAAAATAGAGTTCAAATAATTGGTAAAACAAATAAGAATTATATGTTCGCATAACTGTCCGTTGAGTTCGCTCAGAACGACTGTCGAGGCTTTTCAAAAAGGACAAAATTATTCAAATTAGTGCATTAGTGTTAGTGCAGGTTAATCTTAAGTGCTAAAAGAAGTGAAAAAAGTTCACAAGAACTGCATCTTTCCCTTGATAGTTAAAAGTGTCATTGGACACTTTCTTATATTAAACTAGAATTTTTTTCAAACTTTTTGAAACTTTCAAATATATTTCAAAAGAACAGGTTTTTTTGGAAAATTAAATTGTCCTTTTTTTATTATTATTTTTCTTCCGTTGAAACCTTCCTTAATTTCCACAAATATTAAAATTATCCAAATCGCTTCAGCCATTCTCGAGTTTTAGAGAGACAAACGAACATCAATAAATTCTTATATAAAGATAGTAAGAAGTCATTTTAAACTCTACCTCTTCACTAATAGAGTGACCATTCTCCTCTTGTATCTTCACGTACTTCGTCAACACTTCGTTGAGTCCGGGGGACATATGACGGAAATATCTGAAAAAGTATAACACAAACTTGAAATGCATAATGGAGCGTTCAAGTATTACGTCACGCAATTGTTGGAGATTATTGACCACCCCCCCGCATGTAACGCGCCGCAACGTTTTTCTGTACCCACTAGTAAAACGTTTCGTGACCACCTAGTGACTCTTTATAGTTGAAAGTTACCATAATGTGGTGTAAAGTACTGGAAAGTCGAAAATAATATTAATAATAACGCGTAATTTAATCCCCACCCCGCATCGTAACGTTTTACAAAAAGACATCCCCCCCAAAATTCGTTACGTAATACTTGAACGCTCCCTAATGGGAAATAAATATACAATAATAATATTTGGAAACTGTTTTACCAATAAAAAAGTGCGTAAGTACAACATGACATGTGTACAACAAAGTACACATGCCAGAAGTGAAACTTCTTTGTAAATTAATTATTTCTAAGGTAAAAGCCCCAATAGATGATCTTGTACTAGTATATCTATATTCACACTGTTTACACACTGTGTACGTGCTAATGATAATATTAATATATAAAAGACGTTATGCGACAGAATTGCAATCTAAAGTTCTAATATGTAACTACAAAACGTATACATCTACAAATAGCGTGTTGCTTCATGCTACGTTGGCCCTTTCTCACTCTCTCTCAATCGGTCTCAATCGCTCTCTCCATTTTATTCGACAAAAACGCTGCACATCTTCGTAACGTTCCGTAAAAATTTTACCCTCATGCGCCTAAAGAAGTTTCACTTCAAAAAATCAGCATTTAAAATATTTTCCTTTAAGGGGAAATTAAAATTAAATTCTATACAAATTGGAAAATCACGGGTTACCACGACATAGAGATTTCAGAGTTGGCAACACAACAATCAAACGTAAAAAAATAGATTTCTAGCTGTTTTTTTATTTAATCGTTTATTAGTAGCAGAATTGTCAGTCGATAAATTTTATGATTTATTTTGTACTTTTTTAATAACTGACCGGGCAGTCTGATCGGATAAATAAACTAGATAAGTTAAGTTCTTGTGACGTTCTGGAATACGGGTTTAGCAGCGTACAATTTTATGAAGTGAGGGTAGGAAGTAAAATTTTTCACCTACCCTCCAAACTGAAATTTTTACTTACTTATGAAAGCCGTGCCTAGCAGCCAAGGTAGCGAAGATTGTGTTATTCACGAGTGCCGAACGTAGGTCTGTGAGGGCGCCGGGCGAGTGACGCCGGGGGTCTTCATATAAGTGTCGGGTTATTAAATAATCTGAAAAATAGTTTCAGGATCTATCAGTTCTTTTTTTGTTTTAACTAGTACCGTCCCTTTTTATTACAGCATAAACACAATTTGACAGAAAGAGACGATATAGTACTTTAACAGTGTACAATAGTTTTTACGGATATGGGGAGGGGGGAATAGGGGATCTTTCCTGGATTAAATATTATAAATCAACAGTGCATGTTATTTTGAAAAAGAAATTAAAGCTGCACCCGTACAAAATGCAAATTGTTCAGTATCTCAACGAAAATGACTATCCTTTGCGAGAATCCTTCGCAAGAACAATGCTGGGACGTTTTCGGACAGCACTTACGCTTAGAAACATTTTATTCAGTGACGAAGCACATTTTCATATTGATGGCTATGTTAACAAACAAAATATGCGATACTGGTGCCCTAACAACCCTAGAGAGCGCCATCAAAAACGTTTACATTGTTTAAAAACGACAGTTTGGTGTGCCATTTCAGCGAGCGGGGTAATTGGCCCTTATTTTTTTAACCAAGGTGAGACGGTCACTGCTCCGGTGTATTGCCGTATGATCGACGAGTTTCTGTTACCGCAATTGCAGCAGTATTCAGGGTACAACAACCGAACACAATTTCAACAGGACGGTGCCACTCCGCAGACAGCTAGGGTGTCGATGGAAAGGTTAAGGACAGTTTTTCCGAATAAACTGATCAGCAAGTACGGAGACATTCCATGGTCGCCTCGGTCACCAGACCTCACATCTTGCGATTTTTTTATGGGGATACCTCAATTCAAAGGTCTACAACAACAATCCCCGGACAATTCAGGCCCTACAGGAAAACATTCGCCATGAAATTCAAAGCATTACTCCAGCGCTTTGCCGTCGCGTAATCGCAAATGTAAGGGTCCGACTGCAAGAGTGCATTGAAAAAAACGGCCATCATTTGAATGATATCGTTTTTAAAAAATAAAATCCGCATTGTTATTCTGTATTTAATTGAAATAAAAATAAATAAAAACGATGTAGTTTTTTTTTATATTAAATTCTAAAGTTGAAAATATTCCGCTGGACACCCTTTATTATACGAGGCATGCCTTTTAAGTTCTGTCGTTTCCATATTTCCCGGCAACTTTGAATTTGGACCTGTACTATATTCGAATGTGTTTACATTTTGAATCTCAAAACAGTTAAAAGTATTAGGATTAATGCTATTGTTTAGTCACAGCGTCGATTTGAATCTGTCAAGTTACGTACGAAAATGAATCTTTCTAAGGAAAATGTTCGTGCAATAATTTTCTACAACTTTAGAAGAGGCCTGACACGGCTTCAGTGTTTTGAAGAGCTAATATCTGTGTTCAATGATGAAGCCCTATGTCTGCGGACTGTCGAACGCTGGTATTTAGAATTCCAGCCTGGACATACTAGTGTTAGTGACCAATCTAGCGAAGGACGCCCAAAATCCGCCTTCACTGAAGAAAACATCATTGCTGTGAGACAACTAATTCTCGAAGATTGTCATGTGACGTATCGAGAGATAGAGGCTCTATTAGGCATCTCAGGTACAACCATTCAGAAGATCTTGCATGAAACGCTTGGTGTGAGAAAGCTAGTTTGCCGTTGGATACCGCATCTGCTTTCCGACGATCACAAGGCGGCCCGCGTCAGATGGTGTAAGAAAACTCTGCAAAGGTTCAACCGAAGAGAGTCAAATCACGTCTACGACATCATCAGTGATGCCGAATCTTGGATCTATGCCTACGATCCTGATTCCATACAACAATCTACAATCTGGGTCTTTCAAGACGAGCCAAAGCCGACTAAACTCGTTCGTTCTCGAAGCACTTCAAAGAAGATGGTGGCCACGTTCGTTAGAAAAACCGGCCATGTTGCGACTATTGCACTTGAAGATCGTAGAACAGTTAACGCAGAGTGGTATACCACAGTTTGTTTACCACAAGTCATCGCCAAACTTCGAAAATCTTACTTAAAGCGGCGCATCACCCTGCACCACGACAACGCAAGCTCACACAGCGCTCGTCAAACAATTCAGTATTTGAAGCAAGAAAAAGTAGAAATTCTTGACCATCCTCCATACAGTCCTGACCTCAGCCCTAACGATTTCTTTACATTTCAAAAAATTAAGAAAAATCTTCGTGGTCAAAGGTTCCAGTCCGGAGAAGAAGCAGTCGACGCTTTCAAGTCAGCCATTTTGAACACCTCCACTTTAGAGTGGAATTAATGTTATAATAACTGGTTTAAGCGAATGGAATATGTATTAAGCTACGTGGTGAATACTTTGAAAAACAATAAAAAGTACTATGTATAAGGTTCTAGTTGTGTTTTTTTCTGCAAACGACAAAACTTAAAAGGCATGCCTCGTAGTAACGAAGTGTAAATAAGTGTATATAGTAAACTGAACATATACTATATTTAAAAGACTTATTACCCAAAATGGCATCTCCGAGGAACTCCAGGCGCTGATAGCAGTCCGTCAGTCTATTTTTCTGATGGGACGCGTGAGTTAGGGCTTGGAGTAACAATGACCTGTCGCGGAATCTATATTGAAGGGTCTTCTCCAGCTCTTCATAACCTGAAACAGCCCCGTTACAAAAAACCGACATATCTGTTCAAACGTCGGTAAAACAGTCTGGGCCGCTAGTTGGCGCTCGCTCTGTTTTATGGACAAGTTGCATTGTCTGTATTGCGTTGAGTTCAGAGTCGTGTTTAGTTAAACCAAAACAATGATTTCTATACGAGAAAAGCCGTTCCAATGAGATAAAAAACATAGTGTTTATTGTAAAATATCATGATTAGTACATATTATATCGTTTCGATTGGAAGTGTCCATTAAAATCGACAAGAAAAATGCAGTTCGACGAGGGAAACATCCCTCTAAAGCGTTCTAAGAAAATTATTACGCCAAAGTATAACTTATCACGCGTGTACATAAGTACACGCACGTTTTTTTCTGAGTCTATATGCCTAGTCTAAGATTGTGTCTGTTTGATTTTTGGCACTTATCCCTAATATAGGAAAAAAAATATTTTAGGAGTCTATGACGCTTCAATTAATTGTGTTACATACATACAAACACACAAATAAAATATATGAAAGTTAGTGTTGCTAACAGAGTTGGTCCCATTCTTGAATGGGATTTGGTTTATGTAAAATATTTCTGCTATTATTAGTTTCAATTGCGATATTTATTTTTTAAAGTAAAAGAAAACTGGTTATACCTGACAGCATTTGTTCAAGTTCTCCTTCTGGATCTTCTATATATCGCAGAAGAGGTGATGGTGGCGCTTTCAGCTCCCCAAATACAGGCTAATAAAAAATAATAAAAATTAAACAAAAACATCTGTTCAAAGTGGTTTGCTATGTTTAAAGTATATATAGTATGTAAAAGCCTCAAAGCGGCTGTTACCGACGAAGACATCAAAAAAGTCCACAAAATAATTTTGGACAACCGAAAAGTGAAGTTGAGATAGCTGAGACAACAAATATATCAAAGGAACGGGTTGGACATAACCTAGATGCATATTTGGAAATGCGAATGCTCCATTCAAATTGATGATTCTGCTTGTGTTTGAAGCTCGAAAGGCTCGAAAGGCGATCGGTCTGATCCGTCCAACTATCGCCCAATAGCTATAACCTCCTTGTTCTCCAACATAATGGAAACCATTATTAATTGCCAGCTCTTGTGGTATCTAGAGGGCCACCAGTTGATTAGCGATTCTCAGTACGGCTTTCGTCGTGGTCGCTCAGCTGGTGACCTCCTTGTATACCTTACCCATAGGTGGGCAGAGGCAATTGAGTCCAAGGGGGAGGCGCTGGCGGTAAGTTTGGACATAGCGAAAGCCTTCGATCGGGTGTGGCACAGAGCACTGCTCTCGAAGCTTCCAGCCTATGGGCTTCCCGAGAAATTATGCGATTGGATCTCCAGCTTTCTGGCCGATCGGAGCATCAAGGTCGTCATCGACGGAGCATGTTCCGACCTTAAACCTGTGAACGCTGGGGTCCCACAAGGCTGTGTTCTATCCCCGACCCTATTTCTTTTGCATATCAATGATATGTTGCAACTTAGCAACATTCATTGCTATGCGGATGACAGCACTGGGGATACTTTTTACACTGGCCGGGCAGGTATTTCTCGGGCAGTTGTTGATGAGTACCGGAACAAACTTGTGTCTGAAGTCGAAACTCTACTACGTGGAGTCTCAGACTGGGGCAGACAAAACCTAGTCCAATTTAACCCCAAGAAGACACAAGTTTGCGCGTTTTCCGCTAAAAAATCACCCTTTGTCGCTACTCCTCTTTTCGAAAACACTCTTCTTAAAGCCACAGCCAGCATTGGAATACTTGGCGTTGACATATCGAACGACGTTCAGTTTCGCGGTCACTTGGAGGAAAAGGCTAAATTAGCCTCCAAAAAGCTTGGTGTGCTCAGCAAGGCGAGGCGGTACTTCACTCCGGGCCACCGCATGCAACTATATAAAGCGCAAATTCGGCCCCACATGGAGTACTGCTCTCACCTCTGGGCAGGGGCTCCCCAGTACCAGCTCCTTCCACTTGACCGTATACAACGCAGAGCGGTTCGAATCGTCTACGACCAATCCCTCTCCGAGCGGCTTGATCCTTTGGCGTTGCGTAGAGATGTGGGGTCACTCTGCATCTTCTACCGCATTTACCATGGAGAGTGTTCAGAGGAGTTGTTCGGATTAATACCTGCAGCTGAGTTTCATCATCGGACGTCGAGACAGAATACGAAATTCCACCCGTATCACCTCGACGTCCGCCGTTCCACAACTGAGAGTTTTTCAAGGCAGTTTTTGCCGCGCACCACCACTATGTGGAATCAGCTGCCCACTGAAGTATTTCCGAACCAATTCGACTTAGGGTCCTTCAAGAAAAGAGCGTACCAATTCTTAAAAGGCCGGCAACGCACTCGCGAGCCTTCTGGCATTGAGAGTGTCCATGGGCGGCGGTGTCACTTAACATCAGGTGAGCCTCCTGCCCGTTTGCCCCCGTTCTATAAAAAAAAAAAAAAAAAAAAAGCTGTTCAACCGAAATAAACGGAATTTATTCCACCGACTTCCCAGCGACATTTTCCTGTTCTCAAACAAGAGAGGGAGAATGCTAGCTGAACAGACATTTTGCGCTGATGAAGAGCTCGTTGTATCTCTCTCGAAGGCAACTATATTGAATAGTCAAATTCAATAAAAAAAAATATATGTTAGACTACGAACTTTTTGGCCCACCTTTTATGTGAACCTGACCTGTCAGTCACTGATTACAATTACACACAAATCGTATGTAATAAATTCGCATTTATATCCATTAAAAATGTATTCTTGAAGTTTAATAGTAAAATAAATCGTAAAACAAATACGCCGGTTAAGATTTTTTTTTCAATGGACGGGGCGTATTTTAGCGGATGCGTTGCTGGCGTTTGAGGAGTATGCTTTTTTTAAGCAATTGGATATCCCAGGAAACAATTTTTTAATTTCATTATTTCATAGTAATAATGTGTCAATCTTGATTACAGAACTAAAAATAGTTTCGGGACTTACTTGGACCCATTTCCCATCAGCATCCCTATAAGGCCTCAAAGATCCAACCGGTCTACCGGCCCAGCTCCAGTCTTCTGGCGGAGGTTGGGAATCCGGAGTACCTTCCTCATCAGACGAACAGCAGCTCTCCGAGTCACTCGATAGCGGTTCGAAGGTTTTTTGAGGCGGTTTCTGGAATGTTCATTATACTTACTGGAATCCCTTGACTTCCAAAGTTAAAAAATCAATATTCAAAATATGCTGGCCCGGAGGCTCTATCGCGCCCCGGAAGTCAAAGTTGTTCTGTGCATATTGTCAATCATATTACTCGTGTAGCCTACGGGTCTGTTTTACCCAGTTTTTTTGAAGTTATACTTCTTTAGGCGTGTTATGAAAAATTGATGAGAGTGAAATTTTACGATGCGCGCGCACCGTGACACAAAATTAACAGAATAAAGTTGCCCACTTATTGAAGTTATACTTCTTTAGGCGCGTTATGAAAAATTAATGAGAGTGAAATTTTACGATGCGCGCGCACCGTGACACAAAATTAACAGAATGAAGTTAGTGGCGCATGTTGGCACGCACGCCGCCTCTGTTCACTGTACGTGTTTTCATTACACTAGTGCGAATTTATATGTGCGTCTGAATTATAATCAGAAGTGATTTAAATTGAATATTTAAATCAATACTAATTAATATTAGAAAATATTTGTAAAAAACTGTGCTCATCAACCTTCCTAAGTGCTTCAATACAATTGAGGTTAACTATCCGTATGTATTATTAATAATGCCAAAGAAGTATAACTTCTTACGCGCGTACATAAGTACACGCACCCTTTTTTTATATAACGCGCAGGAAGCTCACCTGACGTTAACAATCACATTTCCAGAAAGTTCGCAAGCGCGTCGGTCTTTTAAGAATCGGTACGCTTGTTTCTTGATGGATTCTAAATCAAATTGATTCAGAAATACTTCAGAGGGCAACTGGTTCCACAAAGTGGTGGTGCGCGGCAGAAATTGCCTTAAGCAACGCTCAGTTGTGGAACGACGAGGCAGAATACGAAATACCATCCGTATCACCTCGACGTCCGATGATGAAACTCAGCTGCAGGTTATCCGAATAACTCCTCTGACTACTGACTGATCACCTACTTGCCTATTAAGAAATATAAAGATCACAAAACAGATTCTGAAGTCTGAGGCCAAGACAGAAGCAGGTTGTAGCAATAGCCGAACTAAGACTTGCTAAAAATCAGCGCAGCGCACCTCTTCAACACTGCTGGCCGGCTGGTAGTTCTGGCTCTGCACATAGGGATGCTCCAAAGGCAGTTCCAACAGATGACACGGCAGAACACGAATGCCAAGCCAAGACATGAAGAGCAGGGCTCCGCGGGGTCCACATTCTAGTAGATAAGCCCCGATTAAGGCTTCCACGCAGTCTGCTATGGATTTATCTGAAAATATAATAAACACTTTACCCCTTATCCTAAAACTAACGTCATTCCGTCTCTTTGTGTCAAGCTGTGTTGAAAAGAGACAGAAGAGTCTTCAATTAATTTTTCACGATAATAATAACCCAATAGGGACAAAACCACATAGTCTTGGCTTTCTCTGACTCTTAGATTTTTGGGTTTAAAAGCTAGTCAGTAGTGAGACAGAGTAACGTATTAAATGCTCAAATAAAAATACGATTTCTTAGCCAGGATTCGAATCATCTTCATCTCTTTCTTTCAATTTGCATTATCGCTGTGATGAAAAGAGACAGGTTTATACTTTAAGTTATTATAAATAACGAGAGTTAACATCATCGAAAACGAGAATGAATTACAATTTATGAGTTTGGTAAAAACTAAAGGGCTCATTTTGGTTTCAAGTGTGCGATGATTGTTTACATTTGGTTTACGCTTATAATTATTAACTAATATACATATGTATATATATATATATATATATGTAAGGAAAACATATTTTCCTATACAAACTCTTTTTATATTTTACTAGTGGACCCCACAGACGTTGTCCTGCATGATATTTAAAGCGATTAGGATATTAAGCAAAGTATGAAAGTACCGACTGCAGTGCAATCTGCCGGGCTGTTTTGTGAATCTAAACCATCCACGGCTCCACCCAAACGTATACAAAAAAAATCATTCAAATCGGTCCAGCCGTTTAAGAGGAGTTCAGTCACATACACACGCACACAAGAAATATATATATTAAGATTTTTCTTATTTACCGTCTGATCGACAATGTTTAATTTGTGACTTGACATAATAGATGTAAGATGTTTTAATTTTTTTTCATAACAATTATTTTATTTTATAAAAACCTAGAATATAGGCTTTAAATGTTGTTTCTTTTATATTAACAGAGAAACGCAGTTGCGCCTTATTTATTCCCAGTACTCGTATAAGCGATTAATACCATTATCGCTTATAATATATATATATATATGTAACTTAACTAATGTTAGGTAACATAACTCGAGGTAAAACAATATTCTTACCCGGTATACTATGCTGTGTTATAAGATTGTACGGAATGAAACATCCTGTATTATCTACCGGCACTTTCTTTTCGCCTTCGTCTTGATCATGCTGTAGACAAAACATTTAGTAATATAATAATAATGTAGATCTTCCATTTGACCACATCTTTGGATAGTGGAAGCAGCCATATAAGGCCAAATGTGGCCAAATTACGACCTGATGCAGCGTATAATGATTGGTAAGAGACGGGCTGATAGAAGGAAGAAATCGCAGCAGTAAAGTGCCACCAGAAAAAGAGAAGAAATTTTAGTACATAAGTCTAGATGTTAATGAATTTGACTTTTAGTTAAGCATGAACATCCAACAATAAATCACCAGCGCACAAGCGCACGTACGTTTGATTACGTGCACGCACACACACGCGCGAAACAAGCAAGGCCAGTTTTTATGGTTGCGAGAGAGTGTCGATAATAAGATGATATTTGTATATTCACAAAAGAACATATACTAATCATTTATAATAAAAAATAGGGGTTGATCGTAGAGGGGTGAAAATTAGGGGTTTTATGTATTTTTTAATTTTGTATCATAAAAAAATAAAGAATATTTTTTTTATCTAAAATTAAAAAAAAATATGGGTGGACTACCCTTAACATTTAGGGGGATGAAAAATAGATGTTGTGCGATTCTCAGACATACCCAATATGCACACAAAATTTCATGAGAATCGGTCGAGTCGTTTCGGAGGAGTTTAACCACAAACACCGCGACACGAAAATTTTATATATAAGATTATTATTATATGCTACAACTCTACTAGTTCGATTTATAAAATTCACTATTAAAACATTATGAGTTGGCACATAGGTATATTAATAGTGTTCAAGCCAGGCCAGAAATGCTTACCCCAGGTTGCATTGTATGTGGTGGTCTGTGGCAGGGTGGCAGCCAATTGTCATGGGGCTCGAACTTCGAGGCGATCATGCGAGCACCTAAACGCTTATTGCGACCCAGGCGGTACAGGTTCAGATTCGACACCTGCAAACAGAGACAAGTCACAAATATTAGAGGATAGAACGTTTAATGAGCTGTTGGTCTGGAGATACATTCCCTCCCTTTAGGGTGAGATTCAGAAATATTATGGTGGTACAATCTAAACTTCGTATATTCTGTCGGGCAAATTTGTCTTAAAAGGTAAAATTATACATAGAAGTTATATATTACATTATCGTCGCTGTAGAATGATAACCTCGTATGTCCAGAGAACCAAACATTACAGGAAACGAAAATATTATTATGTTTTTGTTCATAGCTTTGGATGGTAAAAAGGACTCATTTATTAATAAAATAAATTAGTCTTTACTTCATGATTATACCAGTTAAATGACATAAGAGTCTAAGAATAAGATATAAATGGTTTTTTGACATACGAGGTTATCATTCTACAGTGACAGTCAATTCTTATATTATTTTATCACTACAAGACTATTATCACGGTGATGTATTGACAGAAATTTTCAAATAATATTCGAACGCTTAAACCATAATGGTTTAAATAAAAAAATAAAAAATATGCCCAAGTTTAATAAACTACCTTCTTTTTCGATAAAACCTAAAACATTCTAACTAAAAATAAACTGTGAAATCAAATTTAAAAACAAGTTTTTATCAAAAAGAGGGTAGTTTATAAAAAAATATGCCGAAGTTTTATAAACTACCTTCTTTTTGATAAAACCTAAAACATTCTCACTATTTCAGAGAAAGGACGGAAGAGTGAAAAGTGCTTTATGACGGATTTAGTGTTTATAAATAATTTTACCTGTTTACTTCTCATATGCGACAGTTTCCCTTCGTGTACGGCTGGGTGTGCGCAGTACAAGTACGCAGTGATGGCGAATTTCAGAAAACTGTCTCCAATCGTCTCCAAACGTTCCAAGTTTATACCGTCATTTGCGTTCGACATCGTTAAAGCCTGAAATTTCAAAATATCAAATTTATTTCTTAAGTTTTAGGTCTGGGCCTCAGATTTCTGTATCTGTTTCATGATCATTTGACAATCTAATAGGCAAGTGGTTGGCCGTTGATAGATACATTGGAATCGTTTTTTATTCCAAATATATAGTGGTTTATGCACCTACGACAAAAACAAAATCTCAATCGAAACACATCTTTATATTAGACCATTAAAAAATAACGCAAATTTCATTTCTCCTTTTTTACACAAACGTAAATGTGTAATTGCTTGGGAGATAAAACTTTTTTGAAGTTATACTTCTTTAGGCGCGTTATGAAAAATTGATGAGAGTGAAATTTTACGATGCGCGCGCACCATGACACAAAATTAACAGAATGAAGTTGCCCACGGAAGATGCTACGGCATTGGACATAATTTAAAAACAACATTCGAATAATAATAGAATTTATGTTACACGTAATGTAAGAGAATAATAATAAATATTTATTTATTTAATTTTTCAAATGTAAACTGAACTTTATTGGGTATAATGACTCGTTTTCCAGTCTTTGATTATTTAATTGTAATTAATTATTTGCATGCAATCAAAAACTATGTTTAATAATGCCAAAGAAGTATAACTTTTTACGCGCACCCTTTTTTTATTTATGCAGTATTTGCTTTAATATTAATTCAATCTACCACTCTACCAGACTCAGACTCACACGCCTATATAGTCTGTCTCACTCTAACGCGTACCGGCTGCACCGGCCGCGCTTATGCTACGTCAACGATCTCGTCAGAGATGTGAGACGCAGTATGCGTTCTGTCCCGCTCTAACGCGTATTGGCCGCACCTATATTACGGCATCGTGTGTTAGGTTTATTTTCGTTACGGAATTTCTTGATTCGGTCTCCGCGCTCAAAGCCCGCGATAAAATCTATGCTTAATAATATTTTTGACAATAACCGAAACTAACCTGCAATATAACACTAGGACTCGGCCCCGGATGTCCTTCCAAACTCGGCTGATAATCGAAATCAAACTCTTTACCACTCTGACTATGGTCCAAGTAATACGGCTTCAAATCCCTCGAGTCCCATTTGTTGATCAATTCCTCATATTTATCTTTGGAATCAAAGCCGACATTGGCAACTTTTTCGTTCACATAATCTGTGGCATCGATATCTATATCGACCATAGAGAAGCAATTCAACTTTTTAATTTCCTCATCCGTCAATGTCTTTTTTAACTCCGAGAGAAGTGTCCGTTTGCTTTTCTCTATGGCTTCTAATGTTATTTGACCACTGTCTGTATCGATTCCACTTAGATATGGAAACATTTCTGATATTTTATCTTTAGATATATCTGTTTTAGATATTTCTTTATTATCAGAATTGGCTTCTTCACCATTGGGTGAATCAGATGATTTTTGATCGACCAAATTATTCTTAGACACTACTTCAAGAACATGAATATTTTTAGTTATGTTTGTATGTTCATCTATTTCTCTACCCTCAGATAGGAGATTTTTTACCGGATCACTTCTTGTAATAAGATGACCAGCAACAATTTCTTTTTCGTGTGATATGACCGAATTTCGGTATTTTGTCACGTGCTGAAAGCAAAAAAACATTTTTTTAAATTACATATTGTATTGCAGTCAATATATATCGCGAACCTTGAGATATCGTCAGTATTTATTGATGCGTAACGGCAGATTGTTATTATTGACATATTATCAATTTTTGTGATCCATCAATATCTGTCAATATTTATTGACTGTGTGTGTGTGGATTTAGATGAGCACTCAGAGTAAGGTGTTTTTTTGTTCTTTATTTTTTTTTATGGCTCTGGCACGGTTTGTGCATTGGCCAGCGTCAAGTATAAGATTTTTATAATTCGTGCTTTTTGCCTTAGAAATTTGACCATGCCCTCCATGTACGGTTTAGGCACTCGCCCGGTACCGCACAACCCTCCCAACGGCCGAGAAAAAAAATTAAATTAAATTAAAACTTGCCCTCGAACCGGGAATCGAACCCATTACCCCTCACCTAGCTGCCACTTAATAAGACCGCTAGGCTATGAGGCCCCGAGTAAGGTGTTGGATCACTGTTTTTACAAAATAAACCTACGTAAAGTATGTGTTTATGCTTATTAAAAAATGAAAGTACATAACTACTCAAATTTATTATTATAATGAACTTACCTTAATATAGCATTAAGGTAAATTAAAGTTTGGCCTGTATTAAAAAACAAAACACGTCTACTCGAAGTATGATCTTCTACTATACGAAGCCAATATCAATTAAACGTAGTACGACCAGTTGATTCAATATATATTAAGACAGGTTTTTTTTCTTTATAGAACAGGGGGCAAACGGGCAGGAGGCTCATCTGATGTTAAGTGATACCGCCGCCCATGGACACTCTCAATGCCAGAGGGCTCGCAAGTGCGTTGCCGGCCTTTTAAGAATTGGTACGTTATTTTCTTGAACCTAAGTCGAATTGGTTCAGAAATACTTCAGTGGGCAGCTGGTTCCACAAAGTGGTGGTGCGCGGGAAAAACTGATATGGGATTCGCAATATTTATTGACCGTCTGACTACCTATCACAGCTACAAGTTTTTTTATTGAAATGAAACGTTTATTTTCTAAGATAGTGGTATAATTAATTATAAAAAATCTTCACAATCAGCCATATATAAATAGGCATGCAAATGTCATATTAATTTTTATAATGTCGTATAATAAGAACATTAACATAATAATAAGTTAAGTTATTTAGAATTGGTGTCAAACTTACAAAACTTAACTTTGCAAAATAACTAACACACTTAAATTATAAAAACTAAAATCTCCCAGAATTTCTGAAACCACAAAAAGATTCCCCGAAAACCTCTTTATTCTCACCTCTTCCGGTGGTGTGCCATCCTTCAAAATCTCCTTATAGGCCGCCACATCTCGCATATCGTCGTCCCTATCAGGCATAGGCGCGGGGGCTACAGGCCGACGGCGTTCGACGTCTACGGCTTCAGCCTCGTGGGCTGTCTTATATTCTATACGTACGCCCATTGCAGCTACGACAAAGAATTTCTGAATAAATGCTTTGGAGGAGACCTTTGTTAAAGGAATACCAAGAACGAAACGGTGAAAAACCGGCTTTTTAAAAAGCATATTTATTCCTAAAACAATTAAAATGACCAGGGCTCTTCAATTGTTAGGTTTTATTTTACTGAGAAGTGTCAAGAGATTATGGAAAAACCATACGGAAAATAATGACGGAACAAATGAGAGAAAGAGAAAGAGTGAAAGAGAAAGAGAGAGAGAAAGAATAAAAAGTGTAGTTATCTTATACATTATGTAAAGAAAAAGATAAGGTCACCGTTGCGATTGAAATTTGTTAACACGAATATAGATTGTGTTTAATAATTTGATTTAAGATTGTTGTGTATTAGTATCGAGTTTTTGGATATGTTTGAAGCCAATGGAACAACTAAGACACATTTCTGCGACATTTATTTAGTACATCATCTTTCTTAACTATCTTTAACATCAAGAATGACATCAAGAATAAATCGTCAGGCGCTAACGAGCGGTTGTGTGAAGTATTGTTAAATTCAATAAACTAGTAAATACAAAGTGAATCCTATTGAAAAGTGCATCCATTACTTTAATAAGGTACTGTAAACAACATACATTGGAGTTCTTTCTCAGGCATCCCGATTTATTGAGAAATTAGTGAAATACATATACTGAACAATTTATATTACAAAAATACCCTCACAGATATTAATTTGGCGACAAATTTTTTTTTGTTTTTACCCGTCATTTCTACCTTTCTCGTTATCTTAATCAAACTTAACTATGGACGGTGTCATCTGGGGTTGTTGTGTGCCCATTGAAGGAAACAATGATTCTAACCTTGCTTGTTCTCAATGCGTAATGAGATACCATTATGCGTGCATGTCTCTTGATGATAGCACTTTTAGTTCTGAGATGAAAAATGTATGGACTTGTCCTGAATGTGTGCTAAAATTATATAAAGGGTTGCACAATGACAATACTCCAGTCCGTAACGTCAACACTTCGAGAGTGACCAAGCGAATGGCATCCCAGTCGCCAATCATAGTTGGTGAGCAAGGAATCACCCGTGAGGATATTCATAACATCGTTCAGGACGTTTTTAAAGATACCTTGAAGGACATATTTTGTAAAATTAACGAAAGCATAACAAACGTCCTCCAGAAAGAAATGGCTCCCTTCACGAAACAATTATTTGCCATGAGCGAGTCAGCTAAACTAATTTTAGAACAACAAGTTGAACTCAGAAACGAGTGCGAGATCCTTAAGTCTAAAGTAACTGTACTGGAAAGGGAAAGAGAAGATCTTCAAGGCTGCATCAAAGATCTTAAGCTGCGTTGCGATAATACAGAACAATATCTGCGTCATAGTAATATTGAAATACAATGCATTCCTGAAAACAAAAATGAAAACCTGTTAGAGACGGTCTCTATGCTTAGTAAGGCAGTGGGCTGTGAGTTGCATGACAAAGATATTTTAAGCTTCACACGCACCGCAAAGGCTAGCCGTACCAGTACTCGCCCGCGATCTATAGTGGTTCAATTATCGTCCCCGCGTATTCGTGACAACCTACTGGCTTCAGTGTCGAGATACAACAGGAACAACTTAAGTAATAAGCTTAGCACAACAGTTCTCGGCTTGCCTGGCAAACCATCACCGATTTACATCAGTGAGCACCTATCGCCAGCTAACAAAGCCTTACATGCGGCTGCTAGATTGAAGGCGAAAACCTTGGGATATAAGTATGTGTGGGTGCGCAATGGCCGCATATATTTAAGAAGGTCCGATGATTCGAGTTACATCTTGGTGCGCAATATGGACACTATTAATTGTTTAGAGTAGGTTGCCTTAACGCCCACAGCAACAATAACAAATAAGATCTGTATGTTTGGTTTAAGTTTGTATTACCAAAATGTTAGAGGTTTAAGAACAAAAACGCATTCCTTTTACTCTCAAGTGGTTTGTAACAATTATGATATTATAGTTTTAACTGAATCATGGTTAAATGACTCGGTCTGTAGCTCAGAGCTGTTTGATGAACGGTATGTGGTTTACAGGCGGGATCGGTCTGAGACCTTAAACTCTCACAAAAAAGATGGAGGTGGCACCATTATTGCCATCTCAAAGAAAATTAAATCTAAAAGAATGATTAGATCCGATATCGAAGAAATTTGGGTTCGAGTGGAACTGCCGGCGCCGCATTCCTTTCATCAGATTGATTTCTGTGTAGTTTACTTTACTCCACCCGTCAACTATTCTATGTTAAAAAATTTACCACAAATTGCAATAAAATTTTCGAATACTCTGTACATCATTGTATTGTCGGTGACTTCAATTTACGATATACGCTGGAGCAATTCTAGTGGTGAATTTTATGTCCCTCCCTCATGTAAACCATTTATCGATTTCATAGATACTAATAATCTAAAGCAACACAATTCTATACTTAATAATTGTAACAGAATTCTCGACCTTGTACTTACTAATATGCCATTGGTGGTGTTTTGAGCGTTATAGATAAACTACATCCTCCCTTGGATATTGAAATCTCCCTAGCCAGCAATCCTGAATTACCTTTTAACATAGTCACGACTAAACTTAATTTCCGTAAAGCTAACTATGACAATATCTTTATTGAGTTAACAAAGTGCGATTGGGAGATGCTTTTCGCTGGAATTGACGATGTCGACTTGATGGTAAATGTTTTTTATTTGAACATACGAGATATAATCAATAAGTACGTCCCTTTAAGCAAACCTAGTAAAAATCACTATCCTCCATGGTTTGATCGAAATTTAATTCGAACTTTAAAAGAGAAGAATAAAATAAGACTACGTTATAAAAAATATAAAAACGCAAGGGACGGGTTAGAACTGACTTTACTAAGTAAAAGATGCAAGAAAATGGCCAGTGATTACTATAAGCGGTATATTTCAGATATAGAAAACAAAATAGACACAAATCCTAAATATTTTTGGTCATATGTAAAAAACTAACGCTGCGGCACTAGTTCTTACCCCTTGGCTATGTCTGATGGATGTACTTCTACCTCTGACGGTTACCAAGTCTGCGAACTTTTCTCCACACACTTTAAAACGGTTTACACTCCTAGTAACAACATTAATTTTAGCCAAAACAAGGAACAGAAATCCTTATTGTCTAAACTGGATAATAGTGCTTTTTACCTGTGTCCGCCGGTTTTGAATTATGAAACTCTTCTTAGGAAACTAATGCACTTGGACCAGTATAAGGGAGCTGGCCCTGACGATATCCCGCCCATTTTTATAAGCAAATGTGCTAAGTATTTGGTTGAACCTCTACTTACAATATACAATAAATCTCTTTCCTCAGGAGTTTTTCCTGACAAATGGAAAACGGCTAAAGTGGTACCTATCCATAAGTCGGGGGAAAAAGAGCTGGTAGCGAATTATAGACCTATTTCTATTCTTTCCTCCCTTGCTAAAATACTTGAGTCTCTCGTATGTCCATATCTTAATAAACATTTTGAACAGTTAATTGCTTTATCACAACATGGGTTTATGCGACGTAGATCAACCACAACTAACCTAGTTGAGTATACTGAATTCATAAGTGATGCATTGGATCGTGGTCTCCAAGTTGACACGATTTACACAGACCTCAGCAAAGCTTTCGATCGAGTTCCTCACTCTATACTTCTGAATAAGTTATCTAGCTACGGCTTATCACCACCTTTTCTTAAATGGATTGAATCTTACTTAAGTAATCGCAATTTTTTTGTTGTCGTTAATGGCTTTAGCTCCGTTATACAGAACATAACCTCCGGTGTACCGCAGGGCTCTCATCTAGGGCCAATACTATTTAATATATTTGTAAATGATTTAACAACTTGTTTTAAGCATTCTAAGGAGTTCATGTATGCAGACGATCTCAAGCTTTGTCGTGTTATCAGTGGTTTCGAGGATTGCTCGATGCTCCAATCTGATCTGAATGAAGTGACTTCATGGTGTGTCTCCAGTGGTATGGAACTGAATGTCCGAAAGTGTTATTTCGTTCGTTTTGCTAGAAAGAGGGATGTTATAGTTTACAACTATCATATGGGTAGCTCGTTACTTCGAGAGGAAAGAGTGGTTCGTGACTTGGGGGTACTTTTTGACAATAAGCTCACTTTCTCAGAACACCAGGACTTTATAATTCAGAAGGCTTCTAGAGTGCTTGGTTTTGTCATAAGGAATACAAAAGGGTTTCGAAGCACCAAATCGAAAATTCTAGTATACAACAGTCTCGTGCGGAGCATTCTAGAATATGGGACAGTTGTATGGAGGCCGCATTATGCGACGCATATGCTACGACTCGAGAGAGTACAAAAGAGGTTACTGTGGCATCTGCTTTTCTCCAGTGGCATCTCGAAAAAAAGTTGCCAACGTACGAAACGAGGCTGGCGCACTTTAACATGTTGTCACTGGAGAATCGCAGAAAATCAATTGATATATCGTTTGCATTTAAGATATTCAATAATCTGATTGATTGCCCGAACCTCCTATCTAAATTTAATTTTCGTGTACCCTCTCGATACCCCCGGCATCCCATTGTTCCATTTGTCCCTCCTTTCCGTAGAACGCGATTTGGTCAAAACTCACCGATGTCCAGATTAAGCATACTTATAAACGAGCTAGGTCTGGATATACATAGTTGCTCACCTCACAGTATAAAATGGATTTTTGTTTAGTTTTTTTTGTAATTAGAATTTTTTCTTTGCTAAGTAATTGTTTTGTTTTTTTTGTTTGGTTTTTTGTAATCAGAATTTTTTCTTTGATAAGCAATTGTTTTTGTTTTGTAATGTTTGTTTTGTTTAATAATCTCTTTATGATCTCTATATATGTATGCTATGTTTGCCTATAAGTGCTTGTCACATTAAAAATTGTATTTTGTGTTTGTTTCTACCAATGTCTCAGTGTGCCGAGCGTTGGCAAGCTTTATCAATAAAAAAAAAAAAAAGACCAGCGCTGTGGAACACGTCTGCTCCTCAGCATAATGCTGAGCCAGGGCCAGTTACAATCACAACACACACACATTACTCACTTAAAACTTACCTTATTCTTTAAAAAAATACCTTTTGTTATTTTTCTTATTGATTATAATTATTTTGTGTGTTTCTCTCTGTGTGTGTTTCGTTAGTAATAAATGTATGTTTATACTCGCGTGAATAAAACACAAATGCTCCTATAATGGTAGAAATAGTTAGTTATTTTATCTGTATGTGTGTAAATACTTGCCGAATTGGGTTGACCAGTAATGGACAAAACTGAATTTTGTCTTGAAAACTTACCATTCGCATTCTTGCTACTTGAGAAACCGTCGGAATCTTCGTCACTACCGTCAGAGTTGAAGTCTGAATCGTCTGTATCAAAATCGCTGAAAAGTAACATACACTTATTATATCTATAGTAAAATACACACAAACTAAATGGAAACTTCCATTGTACTTCTTTAATATTTAATTATTTGGTCCTTCGAACCGGAATATTTTAACATTTAGCACCAATAATTTTATTATACAATATTTTTACCAAACAAATACCTGGATAAATATGAACAATCGCTTTCAGCCATAGAGAATTTCCTACCAGGGTAATTCTTCGGCTTATCTATTGGATCCGACCAATTCGCTCCACCTGAAAAATACATTACAAAATAACATTTCCTTATCTGTACTAATATTTCTAGCAAGTGATCAGGCACGACTGACTCGTCTCTTCGGTGCCACGCTAAGTATGACTTTCGTATGTTATAATAATGATTTTACTTAAGATAAGGTAGATCTCTTCTGGTTCATAAGTTCAACTTAAAACTAACATTAGAATTGTCATAGAATTGATATACAATCAATCAAGTCAGCGTGCGTTTAAACTCGCACCAATTCGACTTAAGGTCCTTCAAGATAAAAGCGTACCAATTCCTAAAAAGCCTTCTGTCAGTATGAGTGTCTATGGACGGCGGTATCACCATCAATATTTTTGGCCCGTTTGCCCTTTGTTCTATAAAAACGCACCTATACGCACTATATACAATTTAGCATATAACATTAACTTCCGTCACGGGATACTGACCTGTAGCAGACGTGCAGAATGTAAGGTTAGGCGGAAGAGGCTCCATGAAATCGTCGTACTCCATTGTTTCTGGTATTGACGACGCCATTTCATTGCTCCAAGTGCCGATTTCAAAACCCTATAAAAAAAATAAACATTTTCATTGCCTACCCTCAAATTCGCTTTAAAAAAATGGATAAATAAAAAAAAACTATTCCGTCATTTTCGCAAAGATTTTTTTTAACTAAAACTACAAAATAACGTGTAAAATGATTCTGCATGTTTAAAATTAATTTAACAAGGGTTTCCCCATTCTATGCTCGACCAAAACCATCAACTATATGAAAAAAGATTCAAGCATAAATAACAAATAATAAAAAACTCACACTCTCCGCTTCCTCCTTCTCTTGCAATATATCATTGATCGTCTTCTCCTTCTGCTCCTGCGACTCTTCTTCAGTCTTCTGCAAATTCTCTTGTACTTCTTTATCCCTAAAATATAACTTATATTATAAAAAAATAGTACGTGGAGTCCCTCCGCGCGGAAGAAGTGAAACTTCGTAATGAAATGAAAATAGGAATCATTCCCTCTCGCTCTGTCTCTTTCTATTCCCCCTCCCCAAGGGCGTTAAACTTTTTTCCTTGTTGAAAGTCGCATTAGAAGTTTCACTACAAAAATATTTGTTTTGTATGTTTTTAACATACTGTAAAACTACTGGACTGATTTCAAAAATTCTTTTTTTAAAATGAGGTGAAGATGCGCGGATGCAGCCTACCTGATAAGGGGACTGTGGGGCTTGGTTTACACTCAAAGCCCTCTGCTATTATTAGAAGTAGACATGGGGAGAAATTGGCTGTGCCAAAAATCAATCTGGAACTGTTTAGGAAAAACACCTTTTGTATGGCCATTAAGGTTTACAAAACTTACCAAAAGAATTAAAAGATCTTCCGACTTGAGTCTTTAAAAATCGACTTGGTGTATTACTTTTGGAAAAAAAATATTATTCAATAAATTTTAATTATTTGCGTGAGACACTGTAGTTGATATAAATTTAATAAAGTATGATATGATATTTACGATACAAATAATATAAGAATTGACGAATTCATGAGACTAATAATTGTAAAATTCCTTTAAAGAAAAATTTGCGCGCCATTGTGTATGGCAGAATATGCGAACTTACGATTGTACCACCTTACACATTTTTGTACCATATTCTTGCAATAAATTATTATTATTATTCATAGGGGTAGCGAGAATAACTCCACACACCCTTAAGAAAGGCCCTCGGGGTTCGCCTGGGCATTCAACTTAATGCGCCATTAGAATACTACATTATCCCTGGGTTCAAAGGCTATATTTATTTTCAAAATATTTAAAAAAGCCAAAAATACTGACATTTACACTTTGACATAACGCTTTATGTGCACGAGACAAAATCCCCGGAATTCAAATCTAGTATCTCTGATGCTTTGCGTCAAAGATTCAATTTTCTTCATTACCCTAAAGTTAAAGATTTTTCTCACCTCTGTTCCTTTTCCAGATCTCCACTCTGATTCCAGTCTTCTATCTCCTTCTTTTTGTCGTGTTTCTCTGAGTCAGCACTGAGTACCTTCAAAAATATAATCGCTGTTACTTGTGTTGATTGTGCTTCTTATATATTCGTCCCACATTATTTGTCATTTTAATCAAACAAAATCCTGTAGAAATGATATCTTTAATAAATCTGACTGGCGTGTTTGTAATTAAACTCCTTAATGGCTGGATAGATTTTGGTGTAATTTTAGTTTCAAGTGGATTCGAGAATGGCTTAGATTAAAATTTTTTCATTAAGACATGTAAAATACTTAATTTTTGTAGCTTAAAAGTTATTTCACTCCACGGAACAATTTAGTCACCTATAACACAGGGATGTCAATATTCTCAAATAGAAACAAATTTTTTTTGTTACTAAAATATATGACAGAAGGAAGAAGTCACAGTTGGGTAACATACGGGTGTGGATATCACATCCGACGATCAACTTTTTAGACTCGCACAAAATACCTGGCAATTCAAACTGTTTACAGCCAATTTTTTGCAATATCACCACCAGAAGAAGAGAAAGAAAATATTACCGTTATTACTGCAATTAAAAAAAATTTAATTAAAGAAACAAAGATTACAGAAATAATTAACCTCTGCCAAACTCCAGCCAAAGTCCAGAGCCGGCCACGTGAACCCTGGACACGAGTCGTCATCAATTCTGGGGATTCCGAGCCCCACGTCCAAGGCTACGGCGCGACGGATCTCATCCGCTATTAGCAAGGCGTTGATGCTGGAAAAATAAGTTTTAAAGCGTGATAAAGTCAAAAATCATTTATTCATATAGGTAACAAACACAATGTACACTTATGAACGTCAAACAAGAAATATAGATTTAATGCTTCTAATTTTACATTCACTACCAGTTCTCAAAATAAGGGCGTAGAACGGAAGAGAAGAACTGGCAATAAGCTCTCCGCCACTCTTTTTACTTGGCAAGTTTTTTGTTTTACTCAACGTTTGTAAGGAGCTGCAACCATTACACCATGTTCCACATGAAATCTTTAGTAATTAATATTAATAAAATAAATTGAAAACAAAGATTTGTCTTCTATCAGCAGGAGGCATGGTGAATAGGAGCTCGCACTTAGATTCTCGTCAACGTCATAATATGATTTGACGGCTTTTGATATTATACTTAATTTCAAGAGCTTTTCCTTGAGCGTTTAAAAAAATAAAATGATTAAGACAGATTTAAAACTACACATTAAATCAAAATACGATTCTAAGTGGACTTGAAAAGAAATTATAGTGAGTGAGTGAGTGAGTGAGTGAACGAGTGAGTGAGTGAGTGAGTGAACGAGTGAGTAAGTGACTGAGCGAATAAGTGAGTGAGTGAACGAGAGAACAAATGAATATCAACAACTCACCGATACAACACACAGGGCAAAGCAACTGTAGCGAACCAAAGCGGAGCCGCAAAAGGATGAACTTTGCAGAGTTCGGGAACCATTATCTGCTTCTGGTCGAGACGATCGCGCTTCGCTCTGCGCGTGCGCTCCGACGACACTGGCAGCGCTACGCCTTTGCGGTTCACATATCTGATAATATACATTACAAATATATATGAATTACAATTGGTCTGTTACTTTTAGATAAAAAAAACGATTTTAAAACAAATGGTATAAATATTTTATTACCATTTGTTTTAAAATAGTTTTTTTTTTACCTACAACAAGGCTTCAAGAATATATTGACCAGATGGTGTCATAATATTTAACTCCTAAACTTATTCCGTACCGACTCTCGTGGGGAAACTCACTAACAAATTATACAATTGGGGGCAAAAATATAACCCAAGCAGAAAAAAAGGTAAGTATTAAATGTGACGATTGGCAGAATTAAAATATTAGGGATAAACCTCATCAAAATTTATGAAATAAAAAATATGTATTTTGAACAATTAATAAGTCGTTATAATAGAAGAGTCAATGAAAATTCAGAAATCAGGGACCAACTACACAGAAGAAAGAAGAAACTCTAGAAACTCACCTAGGCGTCAAAAGGTTTAATCTGGCGCTGGTGTGATCCACATCCAACAATGGCTGATCGTTCTGCGTCAGATCAGCTCCGTACTTGGCTTTGTAGTAAGAGCGGAAGGTCGCGTGCTGATCCGAAGGGAATGCCGAGTCGGGGGTGAGGTGCCAACATATCTCTGCTACCAGGAAGAACTGAAATCCAGTTATCATTCCTTTAATGACACATTTATTATTAGATAATTAATATGACATAGAGAATAATGAAGTTGTAATAGTAAACAAAACTTTACTTGGAACGAAAGAAGGAACATATATTTAAAAGGCCGGCAACGCTCTCGCGAGACCTCTGGCTGAGAGTACATGGGCGGCAGTATCAATTAACATCAGATGGGCTTCAGTTCACCCTCGTTAAAAAAAACTATAAATTTTAATTAAATTGCTAATTTTTATTTAACTCACGATACTAACTTAATAAAAATGTGTCAAAACTTCTAATTTAATAATAATAATAAATCGTTTATTTGGAAAGACCATTTGTCCATACAGATTGAATATTATAAAAAAAAAAACACCGTCAAATCATTTTTAATCACACATATAAAAATAGGCATACAAATGCCATATTGTTTATTCCGGCCGAGCTATGCTCGCCAAAACAGCCCGACCTGAGCTGTAAAGGCCAACAGCGAGATTCCATTAAAAAACACATATTAATTACAATAAGAACAGTTATAAATTGTCAAATCTTATTGTCTAACGCCCGAACCCAATAATAATCTCAATCCATAATCTACCATCGGAGATAGTAATCTTAATCCAAATGTAGTAACAAATGTGCCAATAACCAAAGGACGGATTGTAATAGCCATCTGTCGATACAAGCTATCCATGGGAGGTCGTATCGGTGTCTATGGATAGACCTTTGTATGAAAATGAAAGTTGACGAAAGCTCGATTTCAACAGTTAATTATTTTAACAGATTTAAACTTACACCAGTTTTTTAAATAATTAAAAAAACTGTTTGTTATGTTTAAACATACACATGTATATTTTAATGTTATTTGTACGGTTTTATTCACTTTATTTGGTTTACATTGATTATCAAATATGAGTGAAAACTCGGTAAAATGGAACGACAAAGAGCATTTTATCCTTCGTCAAAAATTGATTGTCTTCGTAGGGTTTGGTTATTGGGATGCAGATAGGAGATCGATCGACTGCCACGGTCTGATCTGACAATTGTGGATTAATTATTGGGTTCGGGCGTAAATACTCTCCTACGCTATAAAGGCACATTTAAAAATTTCATTACCTGTGGTTGATCCTGATTCCTATACCAGGGCGTAACAACCGCCTCGTTATACTTCTCCGGGTCAAAAGCAAACACATCACCCGGCCTCAAGAGTGGATTTTCTATCTGCCCTTTCTCCTTCTTCTCCCATAACGCGGAGTTCTCCTGCTCTTGTATCTTTTTGCCTTCCGTATGTTTGAAAATTAGTTCTAAGAACGCCCAGTCAATATCCACCGCCGTACCGGTGTCCGTTGTTCCTAGAAAAAAGAAAAAATTGAGAATATTTTGATTATTGTGTGGCCTTATCGGAAGGCCACCTGCTGCTGCTATTAGTGCTGCGGCTGCTGATAACTAATGCTTAAGTCAAAAATTATGTTAATGTATGTATTTTATAGAGAATAAAGTCTTTTATTATTAAGCTATTGCATAGATCTTATCGCGGGCTTTGAGTGCGGCGACCAAATCAAGAAATTCCGTAACGAAAATAAACCTAACATACGATGACGTAATATGCACCTATATTACGTCATCGTATGTTAGGTTAGTCATGTTAGGTTAGTTAGCCAATACGCGTTAGAGCGGGACAGAACGCATACTGCGTCTCACATCGGTCTGACGAGATCGGTGACGTAGCGTAAGCGCGGCCGGTGCGGTACGCGTTAGAGTGAGACAGACTATATAGGCGCGTTAGTCTGAGTCTGGTAGAGTGGTAGATTGAATTAATATCAAAGAAAAAACTTGAATTATAATTGCATAAGTTGATAAAAAATGCAATAGCTTTACCGCGGCAGTCCCCGAGTGTCACACGTTTTTTAAATTATATATTATTTTACTTTATAAATACCATTACATATCACATATATATCTTTCCTTAAAACTTACTTCCTAAGTTCCTAAGATAAGAATATTAACACAAATACTTGAAAATACACCTTTAACAAAAAGTTATCATGGCAAATGATGACACCAACAAGCCACAACTTCTGCGCCAGAAACGAAACGCCGATTTTCATTGCAGCTCAATTTCAAAAATTTAGCAATTCATTCTGAATTAACCGACATGGATCTATCTCACTTTGACTCACTTTGAATGGAAGAAGTACTGAGTAGCGAGACTTGGTTATGTAAGTTATGTTTTTGATAGCATTAATTTTTGCTACATATGTTTAAGTTTATTTATTTGAAACGCCTTTTTTATATGAAAGCGATTATAGATACTTTCTTTTTATTAGATAGGGGGCAAACGAGTCTACGGGAAGCCCAAAAAGCATCGCAGCTTGAGAAAGATTAATCGGGAAAGATAAACTGTAAAGAGATAATAAAATAAATATGAAAAGTACTTACGTTTAACAGTTGGTACGATGTAATAATTGTTTTGCGTCGATCCCTCCGTTTGTAACTTCATGCCGCGACGGCGCACGCGCAGCACGTCCGAGAATACGAAACGCATGAAGCTGAAATTTTAGTTAATTTTGTTTAAAGACTCCATATTATATTAAAAAATTCATGTGACGTGTGTCACCTAATAATTAGAAGCGCAAACAAAATGTGTGAAATGCAAACTTAGTTTTTTGTATGCGTCGCAACCCTATTATTACCCATGATTTAAGAAAAACGCGTTAGAAGTTACGCGTTAGTTATACTTTTTGGCGTAACAAGATAAAAAACATTTGTAGAAAAAATGACACTATCAATAGAAAAAACTAAATTGTTGACTATAGCTAACTGCAGGATGACGGTGCGCGTGCGCATCGAAAAAATTTACTCTCATCATTTTTCCCGCTTGGTTATTAGTAAAAACTAATGGTTCTTAAAACAAGTGCATAAAACGTATAACAGTCAAAACGAAGTCTCTCATTTTTTATCAGCAATTTTATTATATTGCTACGAAGACGGGTTGACTGAATTGTTTCTCGACTTTCTACATCTTAGAGACCTTTTCAAGCTGTTGAAATGGGTTTAATGACCGTTTCAAGAGATTCTCTCTCACATACAAGGAACTTAAATTTTTTATGAAAATTCCAATTTTGTTGTTTGTTATTTTCAGGCTGTTTCAGAGCAAGTTCAGTCTAGTGGTACAGTTTTCAGGAAACCTGTATACGGGCGTTTTCAGATACACATTTCACTTCCCTTCCGAATGATGCGAAAGAGAGGGAAGATCGGAACCTTCTCAAAGCCGTACGATAAGGACGGAGCGATAGAGATTAAGATTGTGCGACAAGGATAGAACAGCAACCGTACAATTTTAAATAAACCTTTGAAGAGATCTTCGTCGTTTTCTATGCGATCCCTTAGCTCGTAACAATATACGTATACATACCGACGTACAAGCCGAGCTCGTCGTGGCGACAGACGAACGTCCGCATCTAAGGCCGGCTCAACACTGATTCTCACTTCCCCCGAACGCGTATATACTGGAAACGCTGGAATTTGCAACCTGAGGGAATAAAAATACAGCATTTGATAAACCTTTAGCCTGCTATAGTCGACGCATTTTAAACCGTCGTCAGGCAATAAATGTCACTGACAGTAGGAATGTGCATGCAATGCAACCCGTTATTGATTAGCTACCAGCGCACGCGCTCTGACTCCTGATTGGTCGTTATTACTTACGCTTCGTTACGCAATACGCGCAATGGAGAATTTATTTTCTAACGTGGTTTTGAGGAAATTAAATGGTGAAATTTATGTTACAAATTAAAAACTTCTATTTTTAGATAGCTAAAAATTATTCCTATGAATACTTAAGATAATTTAGAATATCGATCGTACCTATCCCGTTATCGATATATACCTCTACAATTCTTACGCACATCACTATACCTCTCCATAAGACATGTAAGTGCGAGCGAGACAGACAGATAAATATGATTATGATAAGCCTCAGTTCATAATGCGTCGACTTTAGCACACTTTTCACACTTGTGAAAACATATACTTACGTCATCTCTTTTTATCACAGCGTAAACACGATTTGACAGAGACGAAAGAGGTTTATGAATTTCGTTCTATGAAGGTTATTTTTTAAAATATTTAGAAAACAAATATAGGCTAATAATAATAAATAAAAAATGTTAAACGTTTAAGAATTATAGAAATGCAAAATAACAAATGGTAGGGAGCCCAGATGCTAAATGGGGATTTACTGAGGTGTAGAGACCTATTGGGATGAAAGTTAGATAATAAGAAGAAAAAAATGTTATATGATATATACCTTTATGGGGGGAAGGGCTATAGATTATTAAATATGTAAAAAAATGTTATGGACATCTGAGGGTCAGATATTGATAGCATAATGCCCTAGTATTTTTAATAATGTAGTATGTTAATTATTTATGATGTGGTTTATTTAAGGGTTGAAAATGAAAAAAATAAATTATAGGGTCAATTTTGGAGTTTAAGTGACAAAAAAAGTTAATAACTAATCTGACGTGTGGGACGCCAACCCACGGCCATTTTCATAATTTGCAAAAAAATCACAATTTTGAAATACTCAAGCGGTCAGATTAAGATATATGTGGTTATTTTATTTTCTAAACTATGTCTCATAATCTGACGATTATCTAGAGGATTGTATCTGACAAAAAAATTTAGAAAAACGTTACCTAAAGGGATCTAACTTCCCTAATTCATTTTTAAAATTGATATTTTGAGGATTAAAGAAATAATATTTTATATTTAGTTAGCTGAAATTATAAAGTTTCATAGAACACTATTTTGAATTTTCAAACCCAATAACTTTTAATGGATCAAGAATTTTAGGTTGATTGAGTTTTATTCCTATATGTAATTTAATTGTCGACCAAAATTTAATAAACCCTTTTGGTTTTTTTTCACATATCTCTAACGAATCATTATTATTTTTTAAGGATAGGATGAAAAAACATTAAAAAAATATTTTTATTTTTTAAATTTTTCAAAATTTCTAAAATCTATTCGAATTTATAAAAAATAATTTAGAAATATTTAGAAGCCTTTAGTAATTATAAGATAATAATTTAATTTATAAAATTTTTATTTGTTGAAATTAATATATATTTTATTATTTTGAATTATTTCCTTAAAATAAAAAAAATTAGTAGCTGAGAATAATAGTAATATATTTAATTATATGAAATAACTTTTAGGATGTAATTAACTCACTATAATATTGTAATATTGTTATATGGGGGGAAGGTCCCTATATATTATAAAAGTGCGGTGACGGTTAAGAAAAGGAAACTTGATTATTTCGGAGGGTGGAGGAGTATATGCCAGTTCTTCTCTTCCGTTCTACGCCCTTGATTTGAGAACTGGCAATAAATGTAAAATTTCATATATATTTTTTGAGGTTCATAAGTATGTATGAATATATTATATTGAATTTTGAATTATCGGACACTTTTACGTAACTCATAGAAGGCAAAGTGGCAGGTAGAAGAAGACCTGGCCGCAGACGCACGTCTTGGTTGAAAAACCTTAGACAAAGGTTTGGTCGAAGCACCAAGTCATTGTTTAGAAGCGCGGCATCCAAAATTAAACTAGCCATGATGATCACCAACCTTCGCAAGGAGATGGCACTATAAGAAGAAGAAATCTAGTAGTTTTTGAGTTTATAAACTTACTTGGTAGGTTCGCATCTTGCGACAAGTATCCCTATAGCTTGATCAGCGTGCTGCGGGAGATGCAACTTCCTTCCTCGAGTGTTATACCTCTCTGGTAGGGCACACCATAGATTCGAGACTATTGCATAGAGCATATTTCTTTTTGTACCTGTAAATAAAAGTCTATTAGGTTTTTAAATGAAACTTCTTTAGAATCGTGATTTCAAACCGGATGCAACGGAAAGCGACAGTAAAAAGAGACAGACGCATGAATACGTGGGATTTGGCGTGGGAGAGAATGAGATGGGAAGCATTGTGTATAAACTTTAAATTAGTGTGTATTTGATCATTTTCTGAATTAAAAAACCATTGATGTGCAAAAAATTAAATAAGTTAGTCAAGTAAGTTGTTCAATTATAAAATAAGTTGATATTTATCAATTTTATTTACATATAATTAATTATAGAAACTTTTTTAAGTAAAAACTTCTTACTACACTTAATTTAAGGTTTATACACAGTGTAAAGATAAATAAGTGTATCATCACAGAGTAAACACAATTTGTCAGAATGAGAGATTATTTTACAGCATAACATTCGCTTAGGAACGTTTCGACACAGCACAGAAAATTGTATTAAAATTTAACTTCTCAATGTCAGATATCAGCTGTCAGTTGTCAAACTTTATTGTTCGCGACACTTTACATTAGCTAATTATTTCGTAATCTACATTATTGGGGGCAGCTAGGTGAGGGGTACCGGGTTCGATTCCCGGTTCGAGGGCAAGTTTTAATTTAATTTAAATTTGTTCTCGGCCTTTGGGAGGGTTGTGCGGTACCGGGCGAGTGCCTAAACCGTACATGGAGGACACGGTCGAATTTCTAAGGAATTATAAAAATCTCATACTTGACGCTGGCTAATGCACAAACCGTGCCAGAGCCATAAAGGAAAAAAAAATCTACATTATTTCAAAACTTACCAGAAGGTAGAATGGGTCTACTCTTTGGTATCGGATTCGCTTCGATATCAGCATCGCTCGTGTCTATTATCGGCTGACAATCAGTGAACGCCCAGGCTGTCTGAAAAACCAAATCAATTAAATCTATAATAGGAAATAAAACCATTTGTTAATATTTTTTTAATAGTGAAAGAGATCGCCTGTTAGCGAAAAGGCCGACCGTTGCCTTTTCAATCATTCAAAATTCCTGCTTTATCTTTTAATGCAACGAAGTGTAAAAAGACCCCTTTTTTAAAATTGCTTATGAAAAAAATGGATAGCAAAAACTCGCCGAACATTTGAATCTCGAATCATTTTGATTACAATTTGTCAATCTAATAGGCAGGTGACATTACCAGAAGGCTCGCAATTTGCCGGCCTTTAAAAGAATTGGTACAATGTTTTCTTGACGGACCCAAGTCGAATTGATTCGGAATTACTTCAGTGGGCAGCTGGTTCCACATAGTGGTAGTACGCGGCAAAAACTGCCTTAGAAAACGCTCAGTTGTGGAACGGCGGACGTCGAGGTGATACGGGTATTTATTATTCTGCTTTAACGTCCGATGATGAAACTCAGCTACAGTCCGTAAAACTCCTCGGAACATTTTCCATGGTGAATATATACAGGGTGGTCAAAAAGTCGTGGATAAAACGCAAATAGGGGATAGATGAGGTCATCAGCTGCAAAAAATTGTTCTGCTGGAGGTCTCTAAGCTCAACCCCTGCAGAGTTATAATTTATTTTGCGTTTTTATAAGAAAATTGACTTTTTTTACTAATTCTTATTAAAATTCGAAAATATCTACATCCTGTATCTTTTTCATAATATCCACTAGATTGGTACTGATGAGTTCTTGCGTTTGACATACTATTTATAGTTGTTTATTGAGTGTATTGAAGATAATATTAAGTTATACGATATAACATTTTTTCAAATCATAACTTTTTGTTTACTTCGGACCCCACTGTGAAAACAAAATACTCTACCGAAAAGTGACCCTGTATTACAAGTTTTGGCGCATTTAATATGGATTCTGAAAAGGTATTACACATGGCCATGAGTCGCTCTAATATCAATTATAACTTAATCACTTACACGTTTGAAGTAATATTGCCTGCGTTTTGTGGTCCCTGGGCGGGCGGAATCATTATTGTCCAACTCTTGGGTAAGGTTCGAGTCCATTTCAGCTGCTTTGAAGTTTTCTTTGCCTGGAAATATTTTAATGTTGAAAAATCCCTAATGGATTATAGAATATATATATTTTTTATTAAGTTAAGTAAATGTTTCTGTTCATAAAAAAGTACGTGCGTGCAAAGTAGGTAAACATGTTAATTAAAATTTAAGTTAATTTACCTGATTAAAATGCCACATGTTTTTATTATCGAAGAAAAAAAATTAAACTTTTAAATTTGCATTAATTTTCGACAAATTTAATATTTAAATGACAATTAAATTCATTAAATTCCTAACATATCTTCCTTTTTCCCTCCCTCTAATTCTCGGAAATCTAAAGTTTTAGATTTGTATAAATATGAACAAGACTTAAAAATTTGTTTGCCAAAGAAGTTTCAAAGTACAAGTACAAAGTACACGTCATGTCAGAAGTGTGTTTGTTTTTTTTTTATTATACTGACACGCGTAGCCGAACCAGCGCAAAGTATTTTACCGAGGGAAGGGACCAGCCTGGATATAGTTTCCGGATACCCAGGCAGTTACTAATTGCCCCAATTTTTATACCTGTCATAAATTGGCAACACTGGTATAGGTATGTTATCTAAAGCTGGCGGCTTCAACACATTTACACTTTGTGCTTGTGTAGTGTCTGTGAATAAGCGCGAGACGTGTTGTCAAACTGAAATACAATCACAAATACATCATGAAAAGATTGTCCGTCTCTCTCGCATTCGGTCAAGCTTATGAGTATAAAAGAGACAGTTATTGTTTTTCTTTTGCTACTGTTTATGTTGATCTTTACTGTACATTTTGATCTTTTTTCAAACATTACCAGGGCAATCTCGTGAAATGGTGCACAATGTTTTTAATTATTTTAAGCATCTTAATAAAAACAGTGTAATGAAAAAATATTATATTTAATTTGACATCAGATGCGACTCGGGTTTCTAAGAGGAGTATTGAACATTTTTTTAGTGAAGTAAAAGTAAAGTGTGTTGAGCTAGATGGAGCTTATGTCGGAAAATGAAAAATTATTTACACAAACTACTCTTTTACATTCTTGGTCGGGCTTAGAACTTTTGGATCCACCCTCGTATGCAAATAATATTTATATGTATTTGACACATTTTTATTTATTTACAACCCACCCAACCTTACTAAAACCAGAGTAGACTAAAATATATAGCTTGGCAAAAAAGTCATATTTTTAAACATACTGTATAGTGAAATTGCATTAGTGTGAGTACTGTGAACGCGCTAGCTTTCGATAACCGATCTATAATTAGTTTAACAGTAGTAATTTATCAGATCACGAAGGACTCACCTATGGGCATCAACTGATCGTCCAATTCCCCTGACTTGTGTAAAATCCTACAAGCCTGCAGCGCCACCATGCGCCTAGCCAACACGCGAGTCGGCATCGGATGGCCCTAGAGATTAAAAAAACATCGAGATAGGTCAAACAATGGGGTCAAACGGACAAGAGACAATCTGATGTGTGTACAAACGTTGTGTAGACAAAAAACTTGGCGATTAAAAACAGTGGCGGAGAGTTTATTGTTAGTTCTTCTCTTCCGTTCTACGCCCTTGATTTGAGAACTGGCAGTAAATGTAAAATTAGAAGCATTTATATGTATTTATTTTTGGCGTTCACAAGCCATACTGATAATAATAATATTATATATATAATACTAGCAGTCTCGGCCAAGCGTTGCTGTGGCTAAAGTTTCTGCTATATTACATAGTAGTAAACTATTCAAGGGAAACAGTAGGAGAACACCAGTCATGGGGACCACCATGCTTTTTTGGTGGATATGCCATTTTGTAGCTTATGTGAAAAGTTTGTACTTTCAACACAGTGCCATCTGTTAGAATTGTGTCAAATAATAAACAAATAATATGCAATAAAATAATATTGCTGGTATAAATTAAAATGTAAGCGATCCTATCTTTAAAGTTAGATCAAACTGCACACGGTGTGCAAATTTGATTGAAATCGGTTAAGTAGTTTAGGAGTCCATAGCGGACAAACAACGTGATGCGTAATTTATATATATTAAGATAATAATAATAACAAATAATATAATTAATCGCCTAGTTTTTTGTTTTACACAAGTTGGTCAGTAAATAGTTAAAACCTTCTCACCACAATATTGTATTTAACGGGACAATTTAATGGCATGCGTAGAGTGCAAATATACGCCGTCTTCATTTCGTTCCCTGCTGGGAGTCGAACCTCCTCCATCCACCATTGAGGTGCCAGCCGAGTGAAGGTATCTGATGGAAGCTTGCCACAATACCTAGAAAATTATCTACAGTAATTCAAAAATGTAATGAAATACTTTTAGGTCTTGGCCTCAGACTTCTGTCTCTGTGATCATTTCTAATAGACAAGTAGATGATCAACCTTCTGTGCCCGACATTTGCCAGTTTCCTCACGATGTTTTCCTTCACCGTTCGAGCGAATGTTAAATGTGCACATAGAAAGTCCATTGGTGCAAAGCCGGGGATCGAAACTACGACCTCAGAGATGAGAGTCGCTCGCTGAAGCCACTAGGCCAACACTGCTCATCATTTTCTCGAAGCAGTTCGGACCATTTTCGACCCTAGATAACTTCGTTAAGGATAAAACTAGAAGCTTTCATTTTCAGTTACTAACGTGGGATTGTATAAATACGGTATATTTCAAATTTCATTCAATTTGAAGTCTGTTTAAGAAAATGGATAAATAAAATATATTGAGTATAAGTCGGGCAAAAGAGATATATAAACTTGGCAATCGCACTAAACAATCCAATTTAATATTAGGTTCTTACATATGAAATTGGAGTTTTGTATGGGAGGAACAAAAAGTAGATTTAAGTTGCGAGACTTGGTATTATATGGATCACACTTTGAACGGTAGAAGAACTAAGTTGCCAGACTTGGCATTGTATGGATCTCACTTTGAACGGTGAAGAACTAAGTTGAAAACTTGGTATTACATGGATCTCACTTTGTACGGTAGAAGAACTAAGTTGACAGACTTGGTATGTTACATGGATCTCCCTTAATGTACGGTAGAATAATAATTACGAGACTTGGTATTACATTAATCTCCTTTGTACGAAGAACAAGTGACAGACTTGGTATTACATGGATCTCCCTTTGTACGGTAGAAGAACTAAGTTGCCAGACTTGGTATTACATGGATCTCCCTTTGTACGGTAGAAGAACTAAGTTGACAGACTTGGTATTTCATGGATCTCCCTTTGTACGGTAGAAGAACTAAGTTGCCAGGCTTGGTATTACATGGATCTCCCTTTGTACGGTAGAAGAACTGATATGCTAGACATGGTTTTTTACAAGTTATGTTTTTGATGGCATATAATATCTTTGTTTAAAGAACTTACCTATTAATTAAAGCGATAGCACTATTTAAATCAACACTGGCATCTTCACTTCTCTCAACACTGTATGTTACTGTCACTTCACTATTCACTTTATCACTTGTCTCTTGTATAGTTCCACTTGCCCACACTTCTCTAAAATCTAATATATTGTTTTCACTTATATTCATTGATTTTTCTTTTACATTAACTTTAATTTTCTCTGTATTTTCTACTTCAGATTTCTCATTTAGATTATCAAAAACTATTTTGACATCTTCACTATCTATTTTATTTTCAATACATTCTGAACAATTTTCGTTACTTCTCTCGAGTTCTTCTGAATCTCCTCCTTCTTTATCCTTATTTTTCTTACTATCTCCACCAATATCTACAATTTCTTGACTTTTTTCCGTGTCTATGCCATTCATATCATTAATGCTTGTATTTATTTCATTAATTTTGTTAATGACATGTCTATTACTTGGTTTATAGGCTTTGATACATGAAGTGTATGTATCTGCTTCTATTTCTTCTTCTTGAGGTGGTTCATTTTGAATACCACACCCACATTTTCTTGTGACAATCTGAAAAATATAAATTTATTAAATCTTAATCTATTAATGGACATTATATTTATATTTTTATGTAATGTAATTAAGTAAAAAACTAAAGGAACTACTACTTAAATATTGTTAGGATCTAATTCAGCAATTAACAAATGACATACAGACTTTATTGGCACCCCTCTACATTCCTATTTTTTATAGTAAAATTTTGTTTAAAGCATTGTTTCCAGGACAGCTTGTATAAACAATTTTTAGATTGAGTATTCTTGTGTAAAATTATCTAATATATAAAATTACTCGTGAGATCGTTCCCATTTCCTCCGTAATTGTATGTGTTTGTGAAATTTTGTAATGCATATTCAGTAATTCTGAGATTTGTGCTACTATCTATGTTTCAAACCCCTAAATGTTAAGGTCCACCCCAAATTTTTTATTTTAATATAAAAAATATATGTTTTTTTTTGTTATGATGTAACAACATAAAAATACATACAACCCCTAATTTTCACCCTTCTACGATCAACCCCTATTTTTTATTATAGTAGATAGTTATTTTTATTGAACAAACGTTGTTTCCTACAAAAAAATAGCATTACAAAACAAACGTTTGCCGGGTCGCTAGTTATATTGTGGAAAGTTACCTAGTGTAAATATATTACACAATGATTACTTTTAAGGTTGCTTTTATTTTATTTTGTAATAGTATATATTTTTTTAATTATTTATGTAATTTACCCTTAATCTTTACTAGGGTCGCCTGGATGAGATCGCTTGTTAGCGTTATGTTATTTGATTGTATATAAGTGTTAATATATAATAAGAGATCGACCTGATCCAACTCCTTGTACACAGCAAGATTGTGGACTAATAATCTGCTGTGTCTGTCAGCATTCGCCAGCAATGATACCGAGGACTTGGCAGCTCTTGCTCGACTTCGACAGAGGCCGTAGGATCGATACCTGTAAAAAAATATTTTTATATAGTTTAGTTACAATTAGTACCGCACAGCTTAATAAAAAAGTACACATATTAACAAAAAATGTTACTATATATAAATCATCTGTACAAATTTGTAACTAAACACCTAAACAGCTGGATTGGAACGAACTTCTAATAAAATGTTGACATATATATATATTATCTTCTGTGCGTGTGTTTATAATTAAACTCTTAAAAAGCTGGGCTGATTTTGGTGATTTTTTTAAGATTTAGAATTTATTGATTTTTTTAAGTAAGAATATTTGTATTTAACTAAGTAGTTAAAAATTATTAGAGAAACTGTCAAAATACCATAAAATTCGGTTCTGTAGATTTTGAGGGCTACTGGTGGCTTTATATAAACGTTGACAGATATTTAAAATTTTCTAAATAACTGTTTCTGTAAACAATACCAAAAATAATATCCCCGAACTCCTTCAAATTAAAAGAAAAACCATTGGCGCTACAACCTTTTTAGGTCTGGACCTCAAATTTCTTTAATTATAATTTGTCATTCTAATCAGTAGGTGATCAGCCTCCTGTGCCTAACACGTGTCGACTCTTTGGGTCTAAGACAAGCCAGTTTCCTAACAATTCCTTCACCGTTCGGGCGAAGGTTAAATGCGCACACAGAAAGAAAGCCCATTGGTGCACAGCCGAGGATTGAACCTACGACCTCAGGGATGAGAGTCGCATGCTGAAGGCAACACTGCTCCAAATATAACTGTAAGGAAATAACTTACGAGGGAGGCAAATCCCATCTGACCACCAAGTTGCATCTTGGCAGATCTATGCCCTCTTCCAGAGCTGAAGTCGCCAGCAACAGATTGCATTCGTGCATACGAAACCTGGAATCAATATAAAATTATTTAAAGTAAAGAAATCAGTCCTAAGTATAATAAGGGCTAGTTGATCTATAGTCGTATTTTTAATTAGACGAAGTCAACTGACGTTTACGGTGTTGTCAGTTTTTAATGAAATAAAAATAGTGTTGTGACAAAGTAAAAACCCCTGAATTAATGATCGGTGATGGCATTAAATTGGTAATAAGACGTCAAAAACCGCGCGATACTGTACCTTACTGTAATCAAGCACTTACAAAAAACTTTTGTTATCAGTATAATAGTACTAGTATCTAACTTATATGAGATCACTTTTATATAATTTTCAAATAGAAATAAGGTATATATTTTATAGTTTGAAATGATTAACTATTCACACTCATTGTTCGTTCATCTGATTGAACATAAAACTACATTATTATTACTTTAAATGTGGACAAGGACATTATTTTACAAATTGACATTAGCTACTGTCAGTATGGATTGTTTAATTTTAATATTTACTATTTTATTTTTTATTTAGGAATTTAAACAATCAATGATGACTTGAAATTCAGTACTATAATTCACTTAACAGATTTTACGTAAACTGTACTTATTTCAACACATCTTTTGCTTCCTTGCGCATGTGTTTCAAGTCTTTTGTATCTTGCATGTCCCTACGGCGAGTACTGAGCACCGAGCATCGAATTTCGGGCACTTGTGGACAATCCTCGAGACATATATCGTTAAACAACCGAACGAGTCAAATGAGTAAATATTGCAACATGTTGTTTGTTGTAAAAAATGCTTCAAAATTTAAATAAATAAAGCCGTATTAAAAGCTAGCGGCCTGAAAGTAGTCAGCTAATAATAATAATAATATTGTATTTACTATGACGAAAGCTTAGGCAAGTGTACGGTAGTTTATTGCCAGTAAATAACATATAGCCGTTATTTAAAAATTAAATATATATAAGATTCACATTAATATTGATCACAATATTATTCATTGATAACAAAAGTTTTAAAAAAAATTGTATAGTATTAGACAGTATTTGAGCTCCCAGAATATGGAAGGAATATTTTAATTACAGTAAAAGTAAATCTAAAGAGAACATAATAAACTTACTTCTTTAAAACATCTTCTTGCTTCCTTCCGTTGTCTTTAAAAGATGTAAAATCTTGGATCAAAATTTTACTTTCAAAATCACTGTCGAGTCAGTGAGCAGCAGAGGTGGGACAGTGATGGACAGAACACTACATATCCTGGGAAAACTTATATTATTTCATTAAATTTGAAAGACAACAAATATTTGCTGTTTGCCTATTGCAACTACAGTTGCAGAGCTTCGTTTCGAACTAACAGCCATGGACACTAAATTTAACAGTAAACAGTCGTAGTTATAACTAGCGGCCTCAAGATTTCGATCAACGATACTTTAGCCGTTTTTGTAAGCAACAGTTTAATAAACTGATTGACTAAAGCTTAGGATTCGTACGATAGAATAATGTGGATGAATTAACAACGCATATTCAGAAATATCTATAATTAAATTGCTTAAGTTAGGATCAGTCTAGTCTAAAGTTGAAAATGGTACAATATAGTCACTACAGCTCTTCCATTGTACTTGTTGTTTTTCATTAAACTTTGGAAAGACACCTATCAAAATGTGCCATTTGCGTGTACGCACATATTGAAATTTGAAGAGTTTTTAAACGAATTGAACAGAAAATTGAACTAAATTTTTGCCAATAGTCTAACAGACTAGGTCATATTTAATAAACGTCATCAAGATTCTGAAGTCATTTGCCTCGCTGATTTAGATCACTTGATATCTTTAAGGCCGCTAGTTAAACGGAGCTGTTTAGTTAAAAGGCTAGCTGTTAATTGAGGACGGCGTATTAAGCTAGTTCGCTGCGATTTATGGTATTTAATAATGTAGTTTTGTAAAATTATGACTTTTGACCGCATTTTCAAAATATATGTAAAGTGGGTAACGAAGTTCACCTTTGGTCATCTAGTTATCTAAAATTCACGAGTTATAAAGGGGCGTTAGAGTGTTACGAAGAACTGCACGCAACTTTTTAAACGCCATTATTGACCCCCCCAATTGTTTGAACGCGCAAACGTAACGATTAGGATCATTTAGTATTCCTCAAATATAGTAAAACGTTTTGTTGATTAACCTTCGTGACTCTTCTATACACTAAAATTACCATTATGTGGTGTATAGTACTGGAAGTCGAAATATATTAACAGTAACGCGTTAATTTTTCAATCCCGCCCCGAGCATCGCCTAACGTTTTAAGAGCAAATCTCTTTGTACCCACCCCCAAGATTCGTTAGTTATAAAAACGCTCCCAAAGGTATAGCATACTTACAATAATAACCATGAACATAATCTTCGCCATCAACGGTTCATTCATAAACACAATGCCGCACAAGGAATCACTTGTCTGCAGTTGACTTTTCACATTCAGCTTCCTTCTGCCCCGACCTCGTCCTCTTTTAAATGTCTTTGGATCGTCATTTTCACTGGTTTTCACATCACTTTTCACTAGAGCACTGCTATTTCCTGCGACTTCACTGTTTGACACTTGTTTGACATTCACTTGATTAGATTCGTCACTGTTATTTATTTCATCCTTATCATTGTTACTTTTCTCTTTAATTGTATTGCTAATCTCTAAATCATTTGTAGCATTATTATTACTTTGAGTATCTGTGAGTCTGTCACTTTTAATTTCTACATCTGTGGAATTGCCTTGTTCCAGTGTGTGTACTGCAATATCATTATTTTCAACTTCGTCTTTTTGTATATGTTCAAATATTTTAATCTGAGTTATATCTTTGTTAACTGTTTTATTACTTTTATCAATATTTTCATCATTTTCATTAACACTATTTAAACTTGCTTGTTCGTTTAAACTACTGTCAGTCTCCATAGTTTCGTTTCTATAGTTGGCATCAAATTCTTTTAAATCACATTGTATAACATTAACTGTGTCTTCAATTTTATCACCTAAAGACGTAAAATCGCATTTATTAATTTCATCTAATAATTCTATTGTTCTAGATCTTTTCAGGCCTGTATTGTCAAAGGCAGTTGCATTATCTTTATTAATAACTTTCGGTTCAAGAACTTCATTATCTGTATGTTGACTAGTAACTTCATTACAACCCGATTGGTTGGATGTTGCTTGATGACTTTCAAATTCATTGTTTAGAGGAATTTCACTAGCATCATTGAATTCACTGTCATCATTCATTTGCACATTGGAGACTTTATTCCCTTCATTATTAGTATCAGTTTTGTTATTTTCATTTTCACAAATTGCCTGATTAATTTTAACTTCTACTTTATCGTGTTTCGTATCATCAGGTCGAAATTGTTCTAAAATCGCTGCAAATCTTAATACTTTTTGTGTTGAGAACACGGCAAGTTTCTCCCAATCCGATTCATACTTGGAAAATATGAAATCGGCATAGCATCTTATTTTCACGAACACAGACGTACAGAGGCATAGAAGAAGAAAATGGCGTTCATATGGCACTTTTATTTTAAGTTTTTCCAGTTTCGTTAGTAAAGAAAATGCAGCTTTGTCGGCTGCATAGGGACCTGAAAATACAATACTATGAATATACAGTTAAAACCGTTTACGAAGACATCGTGTAGAACAACATACCGGTTATATTGACCAAAATCAAGAATGATGAATTCTATTGTATAAGGTTCTTAACAATCGGCTGTTACGACTATCGGTTTTTACGACCAAATATGAGTAGTCCCTTCGATGTCGTTAAAACAGATTTTGACTGCTTATGTAATAATTGAATACCAGTTTTAGTTAGTATATTAGACAAATACAATAATGATTTAATTTCAATAGCGTAAACCTATCGATAATATATTTCACTGCATGTTTGTTCAATAATACATGCTCATACACTGGGAAAACATTCTGAAGAACCAATAGGCATATGAGACTGATCATCTACTTGTACTAATATTTAGCAGTTTAGCCACGCAAATTTGTCAACTATCAACACACAAAAGTATTAACAGTATACATACCCAACTCATCCAAAACATAGAGAAACTGGCAAAATATATCTTTGGGTTCGATAGTGGGGTCAGGAATGTTCATAAATTCCTCATAAAGTTCATCACCATATATTTCTGTGGGGTCGTATCTGGATATAAAAATATTAGTAATTATTTTTACTATTTATAACATACTAGCACACTCGGCCAAGCGTTGCTGTGGCTAAGGTTTTTGTTATATTACATAGAAGTAAACTATTCAAGGGAAACGGTAGGAGAACGTATGTGAAAGGTAGATAGCTTATGTGAAACGTTGATACTTATAACACAGCGCCATCTGTTAGAATTGTATCAAATAATAAACAAATATTTTGCAATAAAATAATATTCCGACTATAATTTGAGATTTAAACTCTATCTATACTATCTTTTAAGTTGGATCAAACTACACACGGTGTGCAAATTTGATTGATATCGGTTCGGTAATTTAGGAGTCCATTGAGGACAAACATTGTGACACGAGATTTATAAATATTAAGATATCTAAACTATATTTATAGATAAGGTTTGACTCGACACAGCTGAGATTAAAAACACAATCATTTTTTTTATAGAACAAGGGGTAAACGGGAAGCTCATCTGATGTTTAGTGATATGGAAATGCCCATGCCCATGGAAACTCAAATGCCAGAGGACTTGCCAGTCCGTTGCCGGCCTTTTAAGAATTGGTACGCTCTTTTCTTTCAGACGAATATTGGAGGCGCGCGACAAAAACTGCCTTAAAAAACGCTTAGTTGTAGAACGATGGACGTTGAGGTGATACCGGTGGAATTTCGTTTTCTGCCTCGACATCCGATGATGAAAATCAGCTGCAGATATTAATCCGAACAACTCCTCTGGACGCTCTCCATGATGTTGAGAAATGAGCAACCTAACCTGACCGTCTCTATGGCCTAATTGGCAAAACGCATATACACATTATCAATCAAACAACACTCAAAAATGTGTTTGATTCATGTCATACCATGTCACATAAATTCTATTACTATTCAAATTGTTTTTAAATTATGTCCAATGCCGTAGCATCTTCCGTGAGCAACTTCATTCTGTTAATTTTGTGTCACGGTGCGCGCGCATCGTAAAATTTCACTCTTATCAATTTTTCTTAACGCGCCTAAAGTAGTATAACTTCAAAAATTGAGCTTAATACATTACTACCTGTTACCTACCCAAGTAACCACTACCCAAACTCTATTGTCTCTGGTCGTTCTTACCTGTATAGGGGACGCGCACAGAACTTTTAGCTTTTATTAAATAACGAAGGTCTCGAACGAATGAACCTTCAATTTCTCAGCGGTGATTTAAATTATAATAATTTATTCAAAGATGTTAAAAGCTTACCTATGCTCATTAATGAACTGAAAAGCATCATTGATTGTATTCCTCATGAATGATTCTAAGTCCTTATATGGATCGGAGATTTTGTTACAAACATCACCATACTCCACTATCACCTCTTTTGGTTTTGTTGAGGACGGTGATAACCTGAAATTGAAATAATAATTAAGATTTTTTTATTCAAGAAAGAAAGAAGAAAAGGACTTCCTTTTTCACTTTTTCTGATTTTGTAATGTAATACATAGTTACTGTGCAAGTTATACAAGTATATTTTATTGTAAGTGAGCTTTATCTAATATATAAAATTCCCGTGTCGCGGTGTTTGTAGTTAAACTCCTCCGAAATGGCTCGACCGATTTTCGTGAAATTTTGTATATATATCGGTTAGATCTGCGAATCGGATATCTATTTTTCACCCCCTAAATGTTAAGGGTGGTCCGGTCCACCCCTATTTTTTTTTATTTATTAGACACAAAAATTTGTTTTTATTTTTTATGATACAGCATTCAAAAACACTTACAACCCTTAATTTTTACCCCTCTACGATCAACCCCTATTTTTATTATAGTAGGTAGTTATTTTTAATGACCTAAAAAATGTTTCCTAGAAATAATATACATGGAAAAACAACGTTTGACGGGTCAGCTAGTAAATAAATAAAATTATATTCACATCTATTAATATTATATTATTCTTGTTGTTATTATTTTAAAAGGCATAAAACATATAGAAAATTTTGTTTAATTTATTTTATTTCTGTATATTTCTAGTTTAGTTGTATATATAAACAAATAAAAAGCGTTCCATTTATTGGCGTCTTGTCAGCAAAAACGTGATATCATCTTATATTCGAGGCAAAGAGTAGACTAAATCACAAACAAATTAATATTTCTGTCGTAATTCTAAAGTAAAGACGCTATATATATATATATATAATCACATCTAAAAAAAAAATCTATTTACATCCTAATTATTGTTTAAATATATTTATTTACCTTTTTCCACCATCAATATCTTCAGCAAGATCCATTTCACAGCAAAGTTGTTTCTCCATTTCCTCAATTTTCCATTCTAACTTTTCATACATGTCAAAGTCATCAGAATTTTTATAAACTTGCATCAAACTATTATCATAATCAATACACAATGATTTATCTTGACCTTTGGTTTTTATTTCATCAATATTTCCTATCACATTGTTCACATCTTCAATCAAATCACAATCTACACTTTCTTTGGTTTCTTTTTCACCTTTACCAACTTCATCAATTGCATCCTTATTATCTTTATTAATTTCATCACCTAATTTAATATTGATATTTATTTTATCGTCTACTTGGTCAATTGGTGAATCATTTATTTTTTCCTCTGAAATTTCATTTAAATTTTTATTCACATCATTGTTTTTTAATTCATTTTCACTTATTCTTTTTATATTGGTCTCTGATTTATTTTCATCATTAATACTTTTATTGGATGTATCATTTTCAGAATTGTCATTATTTTCCATATTATCTTTAGTTGATTGAAATAATGGATATGTCATGGCCAAAATTCTAGGTCTGTTATCATTATCACAGTCTTTGTAAAGTTGCATTATCTAAAAAAAAAAATATCAGAACTATGGTAATTTAGTATAAATAATATTTATTATTATTCACATACTATGTGTTTTAAGTTTAGTTGTTGTTGAGATAAATATATATGTATATATCATACAATATATTATTTAAGTAATGTAATCTGATGGTTATGATTTGAGTAAATAATTTAAAGTCTAAAAATAAATTTTGTATAATAGAATAACATCATTCTTCGGAATGTATTTAATAATTATCAATACAGGTTTATGTTATACAAATACAAAAAGTATTTATAGAAAGTACTAGATTAGTTAATATTCCACAGATTCCCCTAATTGGTGTTAGGGTCTATTCCCTAATAATCAATGCACTGAGAGCCTTATAGAATGTTCTATGAATAACTGTTTAATTGATTGGAGAAACAGACTAAAACAATTGGTACTATCATTAAAAGATGTTATAATTTTTCTACAATATTCTTAATACTTACACGTTGCAAATGCATGTCTCTAAAAACTAAATGACAGCTATCAATGATTAAAACATTAACATCTGTCATCTTAAGTAAATTATTCTCCAGTATTTTGTTGAACACTGTCGATGTGCATACCAACACCTAAAACAAAAGAAAATATTATTGAATACACAAACATATGATTTTATATTATATGCCAAGATAACATAACATACATAACATAATTGATATGTAATATAAAAAAGACTATTAATCTCACCTGCCTATTTTCCAACTCCTGTTTCCAATCCTGTACTTCATTATAATCCTTCACTCCAATCACTTGAAGATCTGTTAGGATAATGAGCTCATGAGCCACGCAGGCAATTCGAGATGATCGGGCGATATAAACAGAACGCTTGAAGCCCGATAACAGGGTTCTGAAATAATAAATAAATTTTTTAAATAATTTAAAGTCAGGTTTTATTTGATTATGGAGAATATATAGATTATGCAACTGTAAACAAGGATTATAGAAACACAAGTAGCATAGCACATAAATATACATGTATGTGTTTTTATATCTAGAAATAGTTACCTTAAAAATATATATTACATATAAGTGTAAATAAATATATTTTCAATCACTTTCTATTAATAATTTGCAAAAATATGATAATTATTGATTCTTCATGCAGGTACATCATCAGTATATGTCATTTTCTTAACTTACCCACGAATCCCATGAGCGCATTCAATCAATAAGGAAGTAGGAATGAAGTTGGTATGTTCAGTTATCATCACATTCTTGGTACCAGCGGCAGCTGCCAGCCTGGCACCACCCTCCGCTGCTGTGAGACGAGAGCACGACTCCATTCTGTAAAATGTGGTTTTGTATTATATATTACAATTTTTTAAAATTTCGTTGCTCATATATAAGTTTTTGGGTAATATTATTAAAACTCCACTAAACATGATTAAAAAATTTCTTTGAACTGAAATTAAAGTTAAAACATGGAATGTACAAGTAGTAAAAAAATCATATTAAGGATCCTGTAATTTCTTTTCTGTGATATTGAAGCAATGTTTGAACAATGGAATTCTAAGTATCAATACAAAGACTTGTTGATAAGACATTATCAAGAACAAAGGTAATATGACACTAACTGTACAGGTTTATCAACAAAAATCTATATATCTTCTTAGATATAAGTATCAGGCATATTAGTATACATTATTTCTTACATCAAATGTTTCTTTAAACTTAAGTAATACCAAAAAACAATAATCGCCTAAGCTACCAATCACCATAGAGACAGTATTATTGATGTATAGTAAATTTGTATTAACTGAATATTTTCGATTAATTTCTGTTGTCACTAGGTAATAAAAATTCCTTTGCTTCAACAAAGAAACTTCGGATTATATTTAACCTTAGAATCTAATTAGATTAACTGTATTGCATAATGACATTAACAGCGCAGTTGTATTTGAATTTTGAAGTAATTCACTTAAATAATCAAAATAAAAGGCTTTAGCACATCTCTAAAATATAATAAACACATAAACATTAACATCGCAGATGCCTGTAAAGATAAATAATAGGTTCTTTAACAGCTATTTTACACTTAAATGTAATAATCATATAGTAACACGAAACATATATTTGAATCGGTGATTATTAATACCTTATTTCATACTCTTATTCGGTAAATAATTCTAAATTATCCAGGAATGCGAAAGCGAAGATGCAACTGCGCAAGGCGTTCAACCACCCATTCAAAATTCGCCGACTCCGATTGCGGTCAAGCGTGACAGCTAGGTATTTGAGTGTTGACAGCATTGAAGAACGTGAGGTCTATTGTCAACTGCCTAGTGTGAGCATTAAAATTATTGTCTGTAACTATAAGACTAGAGTCTGGCTCATGAAAGAAGATAACCAAAAGGCGCGGCAAATTCAAAAATTTTAGTATGGTATCCCTAAAAGTTTGACATATTTTGTGGATTGAACTTACGTGATACTTGTTTTTTTTTACATTCATAGTAACTGTATTTCTATGAAATTAAATACTATACGTATATAGTCTTTTACTATTGATACTTAAAATGACTAGCATTATATGGAAAACTAAAACTATATAAATTATAAAACACAACTTTACTCGGAATAATCAAAATCAGAATCCAAAAAACTCAATATGCATAGATTCATCTGTCATTGCTGTTATCACCGTCTCTCACATTGATTATGAAGCTTTCTAAATGTTCCTCTGTAGTCCTGTCCCTTTCTTTATATTTATTTTCCACATGTACAACATGATCAGTCATTTCCTTCCACTCTTCTGCTGTTACATTTTCTATCAACGAATGAACGAATGAATTAAAATGAAAAAATGAATAAGAAGTTTCCATTTTTTTACAGATCAATTATAAAAATTAAGTAAAATAAAACAAACACGTGAAAGAATCCATAATATTTTATTTATTATTTATTTGAGATATTTCTCAAGAATGAGAAAATTATAAAACTTTAAAGTTGCGCTTTCAAGAAAAAAATTGTTACAAGCTTCGACGTGCGACTCTCATCCCTGAGATCGTAGATTCGATTCCTGGCTGTGCATCAATGGACTTTGTGCGCATTTATCATTCGCTTGAACGGTAAAGAAAAACATTAAGAGGTTAAAGGCTTGCTTTAATATAAATATTTTTTAAACTTATGTTATCTGACCCATAGACACTCACAAAGCGAAGCGAAGCGATGGCTGATTCATGCGCCATGCCTGTGAGCAGGTGCTTCTGTCGGTATCTGGTCGACTCATGCATTTCTTTTCTTTTTTAGTATAAATAACCTAGTCTAAGCAATTTGCTTTGGTGCTGTATGGCACGGCAAGGGGTCCAAATTATAAAGTTGTGTATTATATATTAACTAGCTGTCCCCGCAAACTTCGCGAGATACGTTAACTTACAATAACCTAGTGCTATCATTTGTTGATGAATTTGTAAAAATTCTTACGGTGATTAATTAGTTTTGATCTTTATTTTAATGACATTGTACATATTCAATATAACATTAACAAGATCATAAAACTTTTCCATTGTTACCATGGCAATACCATTACATCTTACAAGTTTTAACGAAAGCAATGAGTTAGTTCATAGTTGGTCAAGATTTTTGTAAATCCTAGATACTTCAATTAGCAATAGCTAACTGACTGACGAACAGCCCTGCGATTCTGTAACTCGCTTCACACACTCTCAGCGCTGATTTTTGCTGTCAAATCGTTCGTTTCGGTGTCATGTTACAATTTGGTATTCTGATAAACAATAACCGCGACAAAAGCGCCGCTCAAATGAGATAGTTCACATTTGGAACTAAAATTTGGCACTGCTACACTTACGCTCCAAAATTGTTGATATTTGGTATTCTGATACATACCATTTGACATCTCATCTCATTTAAATGTAGATTCTTTACGTCAAATTAAAAGTTGCTCTTTCCTCGCTGAAATCGTGATTTACCAGTGAGGTAGCCATTTTTAGCGAAGTTAAAACTTGTTTGATGTGAAAATATTCTAACATAGGACAATCTATATGTATGTTGATTGTTGGGGTAAGTTTATAAAATAATATTTATAAATAATGTACACTGGATATGTAGCACTATAAATTTTTGTGAAACAAAATAAATAATTTTTGAAATTGAATTGAATATTTATCAATGCAGCTATATTTTACGAAAAAAATTATATATATAAGCATTAGGCTTCGTGAAATAGAACTTTGTTATTGTTACAGAAGGCCCGTTTCCACTTTAAAAGCTTAAACCTCTATTTCATGAAATAAATGATGTAAACCATTAAAAATACTTCATATAATATCTATAGATGGCGAAGAAATTGTAGGCACGAAACGACCTATTGGTTTCTCGGCGTTGGTTACTATCGCTTTTTTCCAATACCCAAGAAATTATATGGTATTGACGAAACCTTGAACATATGCTGCTGAGATGAACGAAGAGACTAGTAAATAGATATTCTAAGGTAAACATTTTGATTATTTTAGCATTAAAAATATCATTTTTATCCTAGAACCAATTTTTCGATGCAGTCTTGATCATGTCTTGTCTCCAGCAGAGATAAGTCGAACAGAAAACGATAAATAAGTTAAGATAGGTAAATTTTGTAAAATATTTGTATTTTTCTACTATACTAAAATTATAAATCTAATAATTTCAGAGATCCAAATGTTCAAAATTCCTGGTAGAAAAATTACATTCTGCCTTTGAAGAAGACAAGGCCCCTGGCTATAGAAAGACACAATAGTGCAGACATTTTCAAATGATTGAATTTCGACTATCCTTCAATTTATAATAAATGATAACACAGTACAATTTTGGTTCCTATATTTTTATAAATATTGATATAACATTAAGGTTTTGGATAAAAACATTATTCTGCTTTACACAAGTATGAAATACCATCATTACATACATGATGCTTTAAGTACTTAAGCTTTTTTAAATTTATAGTTCATAACTATTACTTTTTACAAACTAATTAGAAAATATAATATTAAAATAAATATATTTGTCTACAAAATAAAGTAGATGTTATTGATTAGCTCTATGTGAGGCTGGGTTTGAATTAGTTTTTATTATACTTAAGTTTGAGTTTGTATAACTGAAAGTTATTTTGTAGTGTGTTAAATTTACTATAATCATTAAATTAAATGTGTAAGTTATTATATTGTTCTTTTATTAAAATATAAAGTAACATGGCTTATATATTTTTCATTTCGGTTACTACGTTTTCTGTAGGCAGTCATTAAATAATGGTAGATTTAATTAATCATTTTATTAATATAACAATATTATTAGATACAAAAAAATTATTATGAAGTACACAATTATCTTAAACACGGTAATACAATTTTTAAAATAGATTTGTGGTCTCGGTTTAATCTCTTAACATTTCAATAATTGGTCATTTTCTTCCTCATTCTTGACAACTACCGCTGATGGCTGTAATACAATAGTTATCTGTTAAAATTGTAAATAGGGAGATATGGTAGGTCACTGTACTGACACAATAATATTGCGTAACAATTTAATTATAGTAAAGTTAAGGAAAATAATAAAAAAAACTTGCATAAAACACACAAAAACTTTATGGGATATCTTTGTATTTCTAAGTAAAGTATCTTAAAAACATGTTTGATAATATTATAACTAAGCCAAAATTATTTAAAGTTTTATGGTAACAAGGCTTAGTAATTTCGCACACAGTATTTGATTCAGTACTATGAATAAAAAAATCTTGAGCAAACCTATATTTAGACTCAGAAATCCAAATCTAAGTATGTTCCTACTTTAAAAACAATTATTTATTAATGAAACAAATCCAAGACCCATGAAGGGTATGTTTAGTGCTAAATTGTAGTGCTGACTACAATATAATAACAACTAAAATAGAATAACTATCTTTAGATTGCTTCTATGTATATTAAATAAGTTATGGCAATGTCATTTCCAACATTTAAAATTAACGTTGATCACTTGAAATGGTATAAATTTGAGCAATTGAAAGCTTATATATTTGATCCAACATACCTAACATGATTATTTACACTTGTGTTCTGAAATCTGAACAATTAAATTAAATTCAACTTGATCAATTAAAATTAATACTTCTTATATTTCATGAATGGAATTTGTAGTTAGAAAACCTAAAAATATTTTTTATATTTAACATTTTTAACCAATAATTTAATTATTCTTTACAATGTCGCTTTGATTTAACCTAATACATTTGACTTCAAATTTTCCATCAAACAAACAAACTTTGTTAACTATTTTTCTAGACACTGCTTATTCCTATTTATTTACTATGATAGTTATTATGTTTCTAAAATAGTTTTAATAGAATTCAGTTTTTAAGAGTGTTAGTAAAAACATAGGTAATATTGTTGTTGTGTGTTTGACCTCTGAATCACTTAAAAAGGTTGCAATAGTAGTTTCGTGGCATCTTAAAAGTACCAACACTTGCACTTACACAAATGAATAAATATATAAACACAAATTTTTACTTTTAATTTATAATTACTCAACAAAGTATTATATGAAAACATTGGTATTCACCTTTAGTAATATTATGAAAATTTAAGATACCTATCCATCCTGTTTAGTTTGAATCCTTAGACCATTCTACCATCTTTTTGTTAAGATAATATTCTTAAATTTTGTACAATATATCCAGATGTTAGGTATCCCTTGTTTCGTGCTGAAACATAATTAATATTTTTAAGTTTCTGTCGCTCATATACACCACGGCTGGTCGAAGTATAAACTCTTAATTGGAAGTTATAAACAAAATACGTAACTTACGATTTACTAATAAATAAACTTACTACTCACCTTTAAGCGACCCCATTGCCAGATGGGTTTTAATAATTTTCCTCGCTATGCTTTGGTTAACCATATTTCTATATTAATCTTGCTAATTATTTTCCATCCGATAAATCATTTTTGAGATATTTTCACAGTTTATCTTTTTTTTAATATTCTTCATTTTATTTCAAACGTCGACCATTTTGTTTTATTAAAAATATTTTGTTTATATATGATAAAAATATTGACAATTAACTCTTTTTATAAATAAAATGAGTCAATTGTCACGATATTAATAGACAACAACTCACTAGGTTCACTCCCTCCACTTATCAAGACGTAATGTAAAATTTCTTAACAGAATACCATGAGATTCCAAAAATTACGTGAGTGACGAAGGGAGCGCCGTTAGTGCGTAGTGGACTCACGGATTAACAGTGAGTTACAGAATCGCAGGGCAGGACAAAAATAGTTAACGGAACATATTTCATTTTTACAAACTATGCCGAAGTCTCACTCTCACAGCTCACTTATCCTTTAGTCCTTTACTCCAGGGATCACAACCGTACGATAATTATCGTATATGTGCGATAATTTCATAACTACGTACGATGTACGATGTTACACGTCTATCGTACGCAGATTGTACGATAATTTCCATTCTGATAAAAAATTTGATGATTACACAGATAGCCCAATAACAATTAAAATTTTTAGCGTCAGACGTCAGTGCCATGTGTCAGTGGCTTATTTTTCTATTAGGAACATATGCTGTCACAAGGCAACTACAGCGGATGAACAAAGCGTTAATGTACAAACACAAAAACGCATCAGAATGTACACTGCTCAGCCAAAAAATCCACGATTTGTATGGTGACGCAGATTCGAAAGTCTTCGATAGCAATCTAATACCTAACGAATTTTAAGTGATAAAAATAATATGCGATGTTTACGGACAATAGGTATATCACTTAGAGCGAACACCATATTGTTTAACGAGAAAATATTGCGTATTTTTGTTCCTCTTTGACGGAAGAGATTAAAAGTTGTATATAAAACGTCAAGTTTCATTAATATTTGCGTATTCTATTCTCGCAAATATATTCAGTTAAACATTTAAAAATGTGCTTGTTTTCATGTATCTCTGTCCTTTAACATTATTTTGTTCTTTATAAATTTGAAATGTTGGCGCCTTAATCACACTCGAAGTGGATGAGGGCCCAGCTCGGGTCTGTGCTATTCGAAAATTTAAATTGAATTATTATTATTTTTTGAATTGAAAAACACAAGTTTACAAGATTTAAACTATAAATCGTTTGCAACATTTTATTTTCACGTTTCATAAGTTTTTTTAAAAGCCATTTTTCTGACTGTACGATAATTTATCGTATATGGATCACATATACGATAATTTTACGGCCCTGGTACGATAACTGCCTGGCTTCAGGTTGTGAACACTGCTTTACTCTACAGTCTATGATGTGTATTTTTTAGAAATAATTATTGTGGTTAATTACCTAGGCGATTAGATAATTAATATATTAAATGAGAGATTAATCTTGGTGAAATTAGGCCTATACTGTAATTATTCATTTTAAATGATTGTATATTGCTGTCTTGTGTAAGCTTTTCCACCAGAAACCGGGCGTTATCTTCAATTGAAAACAGTCAGATATATTAGTTAAAAGTCAAAAGGTATGCACTTTGTTTTAATATTTTGTTATTTGGTACTGACGATTTAGCACAACAACAGAGTTTGTTTCTTATCAAAGTCTTAATAATTTTTTGTTTATCTTTTGAACACACACACTATTATGTTTATGACTATTCTTAAAACTTATGTTTTGCAAACTAATTGAAGTGCTTTTCGAAACCGATAACTTAATATGGTGGAATACTAACACTAACTGATGAAGTATTTAAAGACAAACCGAAATTGAAGAACCTAAGTGCAATATGATATAAACGTATATCTTTAAGTTAAAGATTATTACTAACTGTAATAATAAACCTTTGAATTAAAGATAAAGTTACCCAAGTTAAACATTCCTTCAGTGTTAAGATGTGTTCTTCAAAATACTTCAAAATTCAGTCATTCAATACAAATAATATCATCTAATAATTAAGTAATTTTGTTTAATATTATTATTGTGTTTGAGACAATTTTTAAGTTTTCTAATATATTTAGCCCTGAGATACAAATATAGAAACCTTATATATGTACAATTTTTTTAGGTTTGATAGTCATCAATTGTTATTTAAAAAAATCTTTATTTTTGAACAATTTTAGTAACTTACTAATGTAGAGAAAATTGAACTCCAATTTAAAAAATATCCTTTTGGAAATAATACTTTAAAATGTTTTTTTTAAAGCTTTTACTTTGGGTATTCTTAAACTTTAAACAACCAAAACCTTTTTTAGAATGTGGCAGGATCCAATGAAGGATTCTTTGATACTGGATTGCCCCACAGATCCAGTATCACAAAATTTTAACCCATATGAAGTACTAGAACCACAGAAAGTTGATTTAAAAGATAGAATCCTTGTTGATTTAACACCAGTAGAAGAAAAACAACCTGATGCCAAGCTAGAAATGGGGTCTTTCTTAGATACTATTACTAAAACTGACTACAATTTAGTAGATTTGTATCAAAATATCTATGTTACACCACAACATTTACAAAAAACACCAACTCAAATTGACAAAAATTCACTTATTGATTTTGGCAATTACGTAGACAAACAGGAAGTTAAAAATATAGAAAATAATAATGTTACAGCTGTTAGTCTAGATAAAACTGACAAACCCAGCTTTGATGAATTCATTCACCAAACAGTACCATCCCATTCCACAACTGATGTAAATGAAACAACAGAAGAAAATGCAATCAAAAATAATTTAGATGCAACAATTGATGCTCTATACAGATCATGTATAACTAAATTAGACACAAGCATTCCAGAAAATTCAGAATTTTCTTTGTTCAACAACTTTAAATGTTCAACTTTAAAGAATGATCCACCCATAGAAACAGAAACACCAAAAGCTGCAAAAGGAGGTACTTCAGATTTTAAAAAGGATTATTTCTACATGACAAATCAAACAAAAGACCATTCAAAAGATATTTCACATCAAAATAATTTAACAGATTGTCCAGGTGTGAAAAGTGACCCGAGTCACTTACAACTCACTGATAGCATGAGAAGAAACATATTAGATGAAGTTAAAAGAGAAGAAATTCCAATAAAATGCAAATGTTATTATGCCAAAAATATTTTAAACCTCAATAAATCAATGGATGCATCTTTCATTAATCCATTTGATAACAATCTTCCAGTCACTCATTCAAAGGATCTTAAAAAACCCAAAGCACTCAGTATGCTATCTAACAATCAATTTACCCAAATAAAATCAGGGCAATTACTACAAACTGTTGTCAAAGATCAAAAACTATATGCTAAACAGATGAAATTAAAAGAAAACAATCAAAACCTAACAAAAGGTCCTGATATTTACGAAAAGTCAATTATTTTGCCGCAAATCATGGAGCGCTTGGCGGCAAGAAAAAAAATATTAGATGATCAGAGAGATTGGAAAAGGCGACTTGTTTTGGACAGTGGAAATTCTAAAATTAATGAGGACATTCCTTGTGTTAAAACGGAAATTCTTATGGCAGATTGTAATAAGGAACGCCTCGCTAATTTAAAAATAAGGACATCTTTTGAAAACTTTATCAAAACTGGCTCACCTAAATAATTTCTATACTCCAATATATGAAGTGAATTTTATAGAAGTTAGTCAACTAAGTTGACTCAACTTGTGATGTTATGTAGCTAATGTCAAAAATATGTACTAAGTATATATTAAAATATCATCTAATTTGGTCAACCCATTTTGAAATATTGTGACCACAAACAAAATATCTCACCATATAGTTTGTATATATATACATACAACCATAAACATAAGCATGGGGCCCGGCAACATCTAGGAGACCCCTTACTGCCTTGACTGCAGCCAGAACAGCTTCAGTTATTAATTACACCTGCACAAGTCGCTGATTTAGTGAAGATTCCCTGGAAAAATATAAACAGGTAATTTTAATTATGACTAAGACAACTGTAAGGCTCGGTTAGTCGAGCACTATTATTTGTTTAATCTGGAAGTTCTGTATTTTGATTAGCTACCACCCTTATATATCTATCCACAGATAAAAGATGAGTAAAACGGCCTCATAAATTGGTTAATTTAAAAAAAACTTAGATTTATTTGGTATTACCACCAATCTAAATATATATAAGAAAAGGTGTACTTTTGTTTGGGATATATTTGTATACACATAACTTATTTATACAATTTTAAATACATATTTACTAAGTTATATATAATGATAATGCCTATACTTAAGAATTTTTATATCATAGATACTATAACAATACTTAAATGAATTTTATGCTACTGCAATAGGCTAATTGACAAGAATTTAAAAAATTTACACATTTAACTATGTATTCAAACATCAGGATGTTACTTGTGTTTTTGATCTCTCCTAAGTTAAACTCTGGAGACTATATTAGGATAAGACAGGCAAAGACTGAGTTATAAAAATCAATATTTTAAATTATTTATTGATAAATAAATGATTATTACAAGTTATTTATCTCCTATTATACTTTTTAATGCCATGCGTATATTACCATCAATGTCACTTTATTTTTCATATGGTCAAATAATACACTAAATTAATTATTTGTTGAACACCATATTACTCTATGGTATGGTGGAACTGATCAGACCAGATAGCCATGGGACTACCTAGGAGACATGAAAAATTAAAAAAAAAAATGTCATACCAAATAACCAGGAAATATATTGATGGAAACTTTATATATAAATATTATATGAAATTGGAGTAAAAAAACTACTATACACTTGCTTTTGGAAATCACAGTTTTATAAAGTCAAATCATTTATTTCAATTAGGCCTATTAAAAAGGCACTTTTAAGTTAAGAATGTTAAATTTTACAACATTTTGTATACATTGATTTCATAATTATATGTGAAGACCATGTACCTAAAATGAAAAAAATATGAAATGCAGCAGATAACTAAATTATTATGTAGATACATGGTGTTCACATATTCACTAACCATGACCTATGTAGTTGCAATATTTTAGTAGATTAAAGGTCCATAATCGTTTTTATATAAGGTCGGTTTTAATATAAGGTTAAATATTTATCATCTATGAAATGCTTCTGGAAAAGTCTGTATTCCATAGTATATGCATTTGTATTTTTAACAGGAATAAGTTTTTAATTCGATATGTATTTTTTTTAAGTTTTATATATGAAATAAAATGTTGAAACTTACCTTGATTTTTCTTTGCCCAAATATGTGCTGTAGGTATTCAGGGTGTATGATTAAATCTGAAAAAAAAATGCTGTAAAATAATTTAAACTAAACCTATATAATAATCATATAGTATTTTTGTCTTTAAAAATTTACCATAAAATTTTAAATTAGTTTAGATAAAAAAAAATTGCTGTTTGTAAATTTTATCTAACTGTATCTTTTAAAGTTTTCATAATACGTTATTTTATATTTGCGTCCACAGTTTGAAGCGAATCGAATAATATAATGATTGAAGTAAATTTTTTTTGGCAAATATTGAGTTATTGGAAATTGAGTTTAAATACTCTTATTGACTGTGTATTTCTTTAAAGTGTATTTTTTAATCTACTAACATTTAAAAACTAATTAGAAAGCTATATATATTATTTGCTGTCTTACGGCATACAATTAATACTTAGTTTCAGTAAAGAGGGGGGGGGAAAAAAGGGGGGGGGGGGGGGGGGGGGGGGGGGGGGGGGGAGGGGGGGGGGGGGGGAAAAAAAAAAAAAAAAAAAAAAAAAAAAAAAAAAAAAAAAAAAAAGGGGGGGGGGGGGGGGGGGGGGGGGGGGGGGGGGGGGAAGAAAAAAAAAAAAAAAAAAAAAAAAAAAAAAAAAAAAAGGGAGAAAAAAAAAAAAAAAAAAAAAAAAAAAAAAAGGGGGGGGGGGGGGGGGGGGGGAAAAAAAAAAAAAAAAAAAAAAGGGAAAAAAAAAAAAAAAAAAAAAAAAAAAAAAAAAAAAAAGAAGAGGGGGGGGGGGGGGGGGGGGGGGAAAAAAAAAAAGAGGAAGAAGGGGGGGGGGGGGGGGGGGGGGGGGGGGGGGGAAAAAAAAAAAAAAAAAAAAAAAGGGGATTTGTGGGGAAAGGGGGGGGGGGGGGGGGGGGGGGGGGGGGGGGGGGGGGGGGGGGGGGGGGGGGGGGGTTTTCCCCCGCCCCCCCCCCCCCCCCCCCTTGGGGGGGGGGGGGGGTTCCCAAAAAAAAAAGGGGGGGGAAAAGGGGAAAAAGGATTTTTAGGTCCCAAAAAAAAAATATTTTATCATTTTAATCGAAACTGGTGCATTTCCACGAAAAGGGCGTATTTATTAAAAGGCCGGCAACGCACTTGCGAGCCTTCTAGCAATGTTTAACAATTATAAATGACTTAACTTCTTATTATGACATTATGTTTAATGTTTTTATTGTATGACATTGCAAAAAATGTATATGACATTTGCATGCCTATTTATATATGGCTGATTGTGCGGATTTTTCTTGTTGTTCGATCTAATTGTACCACTATCTTGGCAAATAAACGATTTATTTATTAATGTTAGTGTCCATGGGCGCGCGGCGGTATCACTGAGCCTCGTGCCCGTTTGTACGTTAAGTACATAATAATTAATTCAGAAATCCACCCCTAATCATCAAATATTAATTTCGCAGTTGTTTTTAAAATGCATTTGCATCCAGCCAGGGTTCGAACACACGACCTCAGTATCAAAAGTCAAACTTGTACATATGCACACGTCTACTTTAAACAAAGTTATAACACATCTATCTAGTCTTAATTGAATGTTAAGTCATAGTGTTGCTAAATTTAAACTGTGTTTCATTCATTCAAGTCGTAGGATTTTTATAATTTTTAATTTACGGTTTTCAGTATTTGCTAACTGTTCACTTTTTTTTTTAAAGACATTCACACCAATTGACCTAGTCCCATGATAAGCTGGTGAAGCTTGTGTTATGGGTACTAGGCAACGGATATACATACATATTATAGAATATATGCACATATACACACATATTATAGAATAGATGCACATATAAATACATATTTAAACACCCAAGACCTAAGCACAAAACCAAATGCTTATTACATCGATGTTCGTCTCAGCCGGGGATCGAACCCATTCGCATTAAGTGGTACTAACCACTAGACCAATGAGTCGTCATGACTTGCGTCTCCCAACCCTGAGTTTTAATTTTCTTTTACTAGTCAGCATCATAATTAAAATGAGTGACATATGTATTACGATTTACGACACTACGTATGAAAGTCTGTTCCAAAATTTTTTAGAGATCTCTTCCTGTTTGGCTCTTTATGAATGAATATAACAATATAGTAGAATGATCTTGATGTAAATTATTTTTATTATTAATTATGATGAAAATGTTTATGTGATTAAGAAAAGCGTCGGATGCCGTTATAAAATCATAAAACTTACTTAAAGATGCTAGCTAACAATTATTTGGTATAAGTAATACATTAAAGATAATCTTGTACGGGACTAGAATGGTAGTCTATAAGAATATCGATTTCTTGATATGTACATCCAACATGTTTGTTATTAATGCTTCTTTCATTCGCAAGCAAAACATTACCATTCATATTTATAGAGTAGATTACCTATAATAATAAACACTAACACAATTTGCTAGATTGTAATAAAGAATTCTTAGAATTTCTAACATGTAAGCTAAAAGTAAAATATGATACGTGTATAATATAATAATACAACTTACAATGTAGCAGCTCGTCTATGAGCTATGGTTTCAGAAAATTATTTATGTTTGTTATTTGGGGAATCCCCTGACAATTTTACTTGTCAGGTACTATTCGAAATTTACTAAATTATCGAGTAGTAAAAACATTAAATAATAAAAAAGTTTACATAATATTATTATAAAGTAATTATTATAATTGTGTTTTCAATAAAATTATCTACTTCTAAGCAAAAATACTAATAGCTTGTTCAAAATTAAAAATAATAAATTCTTTTGGCATTGACATTAGAAAGCAAGCGTTGAGTGAACGTCAAAAGACAGTGATAAGTGCGTATTGGACTATTGGTCGAAATCCACGCGGTTATGGTTACGAAAATAGAAATTTTCGCGTAAAATTTATAAACAATGGTGTTGTTTGTTTTGTAAAAGATTCGCCGAGTTGACTTAAAATATTTCATCAAGTATTCAAGAAATTATTTTAACATGGATTTTATTAGCAAACTAGAGAAGGAAATTGAGGAATTACGACAGAATTTAGCGAGTAAGGAACAAGAATTACTGTCTATAAAACATAAAATGGGAACGGTATGTTTATTTAATTTCTTTCACTTTTGACTAATTAAAGACACATTTTGAATTGTGATTTTATATTCCGTATTCGGCTAAGTATATATAGGTAAATGCTAAAAGTGGTACCACATTTAAGCTATTGCAATATACGTGTATAAAAATATTTTTGTTAGTCAAATATGCAATTATTTTTGAAAGTATAAAAGTCATTTTAAATTACAAAATACTGTAGAAAGGAGATAACCTTTTAATCTAAAAAACGTGTTAATGAATCCAATAAGAGACAACTAAATGCTTCATAATAATTCTTATGCAATTGATTGATTTATATAATACATGTACATATTTCATTCCAGGCAGAAATACATATGGATAATCAAAATGGATCTAGCCTAGAACAAACAAAGGCTTTAAAGGTCCAGTTTGGTGAAACACTACCTAAATGGGCAATAGAAAGGTACTATCTACCTACTTTAATGAGAATTTTACTATATATGTTATATGTTACCCTCGAGTAATGTAAAGTAATGAGTAACTCTTTGCTTATGTGCTAATGTTAAGTAAAGGAAGAAAACTAAAAGAACCCCAAATTTCAAATCAAAAGTATGTAAGATATAAGTCATGTTGTTTGCATTCATCTTATTACTGTATTTTCTTTTTATAGTTTAAATTTTTTTTGAACCCAGATATATTGAAATTGGATTTACAGGTACAGTAGACAAATTTTATTGCCAGAAATAGGTGTTTGTGGACAAGAGAAATTAATGCAGGGCCGAGTATTAATAGTTGGGGCTGGTGGCTTGGGATGTCCAGCTGCTGTGTATCTAGCTGGTGCTGGAGTTGGTAAGAGTATTATTTAAAATTAAGAGTATAAACTAGCTTGTTTTTTGTCTTCTATTGAAGCACTATAATTATGTTTAATGTGATTATATTTTCAGGGGAAATTGGCATAATAGACTATGATACAGTTGATCTAACAAATATACATAGACAGTTTCTGCATACAGAGGGAGACCAAAATATAAGCAAAGCTGAGTCTGCTGCTAATAGTTTGAGAAGGTGAGTAAACAATTTTGTGAAAATTCTTCCTTTGTACATTTAATTTATTCACAGCTTAAATTTATACTTGTCTACTATTAAATGTGACATGCAAAAACATTATATACCCGCTGCTTTATGTACTCAACGAAGAGCAATACAAATTGTCAACAACCAGTCATTTTCCAAGCAGCTTGATCCCTTAGCATTGCCTAGAGATGTGGGGTCTCTCTGCCCTGGAGTTTTTCAGATACCTGCAGCTGAGATTCATCATCGGACAAGGTAGAGTACAAAATACCATCCGTATCACCTCAACATCATACTGTTTCATAAGGCAATTTTTGCCGAGCACCACCTCTATGTGAAATCAGCTGCCCACTGAAGTATTTCCAAACAAATTCGACTTAGGGTCCTCAAGAAAAGAGCGTACCAATTCTTAGGCTGTGTCCCCAGTAGGCATACAGTTAGCGGCTGACTGAGTGAGCCGCAAATTTGCAGAGAACTGAAATTTGAGTTAGCTGTAGACTCAAATCAATTTTCGTGCGTCGCAAGCAAACTGTTAAGAGTTAGCCGCTTATTTAGCAGACCGACTGAATTATCACTTTACTTTTGTTGTACGAAGAGAGTGGTTGTGTTGGTCACGATGGATATTTTTGAAGTAATTGGTATCTTAGCAACTGAGTCACTACGCCCGGCGTTCTTTGCCTGCGTTGTCCAATGATGTATCTCAGCTGCAGGTAAAAGGCCGGCATCGCACTTGCGTGCCTTCCAGCAGTGTAAGTGTCCATGAGCGGCGGTATCACTTAACATCAAGTGAGCATCCTGCCCATTTGACTCCTGTTAGAGAAAAAAAAAAAGTTGTTGTTTCTTGTTATCTCCATGTTCCAAGCTATATTTAATTATTCTGAACCTCATATTATTGTTACAGTATAAACTCCCGCATAAAGGTGACACCGTACAATGTACAGTTAGATTCAAAGAACGCATTAGATATTGCATCAAAATATGATATTATTTTAGACTGCTCGGACAATGTACCAACAAGATATTTGCTTAGCGATGTGTCTGTTTTGACTAAGGTAAGGAGATAAGTTTAAGGTAGTAAGTTATTCTATATATTGTTGTATTGTTTTGTATGCTGTAAAGAAATAAAAAAAGTGCCTGCGTGCAAAGTATACATGTCATGAAACTTCTTTGTAAATGAATTATTGCTAAGGTAAAAGCCCAAGATGATCATGTACCAGTATATGATCACTCCATGTATCTGTATATCTATATTCACACTGTTTTCACACTGAATACATGCTCTTTTTTTTTTTTTTAAGACAATTCACACCAATGGACCTAGTCCCATGCTAAGCTGGTGAAGCTTGTGTTATAGGTACTTGGCAATGGATATACATACATATTATAGATAGATAGATATATAAATTATACAAATACATATTTAAACACCCAAGACCTAAGCACAACACCAAATGCTCATCACATCGATGTTCGTCTCAGCCGGGGATCGAACCCGGGACCCATGGATTCGCAGTCAGGGGTACTAACCACTGGACCAATGAGTCGTCAATGCTAATGATAATATAAATAAATAAAAAATCTGCGTTTACTGCACAAGACGTTATGGGACAGAATTGCCATCTAAAGTTCTAATATGTAACTACTAAACGAATACATCAACCAATAGCGTGTAATTTTAAACATGCACGATGTACCACGGTGTAATTGTTATCTAGTTACCCTCAGGGGCTTACTATTTCCTATGGACCAGCGATTAATGGGGACAAAAAAATCTTTCTTGAATAAGGTTTTTATTTATTTAAATTGAAAGAATGAAAAAAATGAAAGAATTATTACTCAAATGTAAAAATTATATTTCATAATTTTTTTCAGATTCCTTTAATATCAGGAAGTGCGCTAAAAATGGAGGGCCAACTCACTGTTTATGGATACAGAGCCGACAAAAACCCGAGTGAAAAGGTAGTTTAATTCTAAACCTCTCTGTAAATTAGGGAGTTCAAGTACAGTAATCCGCGATAGACCCGATCCGCTTTATAGGAAATCGCGTTGTAGGAGTGTTCTCGTTTACAGATACCGGCAAACATCTTGAACAAATGTCCTTGCCTGCGCAGAAGCGATTTTTAGGTATCACTCAGGGGGGGAGAGGGTCGTGTCGATCGCGTGATTGGTCAGTTGATGTTTGTGTGTACGATGCGCAAACTTTCCCCCACTCCCTTGTTTAATGCTCAAGAAGTTAAATTTAACTTTGGCTCGAACGGTGAAGGAAAACATCGTGAAGAAACCGGCTTGCCTTAGACGCAAAAACTCGACGGCGTGTGTGAGATTGACAAATCATGAAACAGATACACAAATCTGAGGCCCAGACCTAAAAAGGTGGTAGCGCCACTGCTTTATTTTCATTTAAATTTCACATATAGTGTACAACTATTTTTTATGATTAAAAATTAATTATTTCCTTCCAGGACACGACGTATCGTGGTCCATGCTATAGGTGTGTGTTTCCCAGTCCACCGCCAGCAGAATCAGTGGGCAGCTGTTCAGCTAACGGGGTCGCCGGTTCGGTGCCTGGAGCTATAGGTATATAAAAAGTATTTTTCGGCCATTCAAGTATTACGTAAGCAGATGTACTGCAATTCTCTCTGAAAAAAACCGAAATTAGACAAAAGATAATAGCGGGCTGTTCGGGGTATTTGTTGTCTCTCCGAGGGAGTCGGTACGTAATAAGTTTAAAGAATTAAATTTTATGTCACTATCTGGTCAATATGTTTTTTAAGCCTTGTTGTATGTTCTAAAAAATATAAACGATTTTAAAACAAATGGTGACTTTCACCAGTATAATACTCGAAACAAAACAAATCCAAGCATATGACCAACCAGGCTCCAAAAGATAAACCACTCCTTATATGGAATTTGTATTCGTTTTTACAACAAACTCCCAAACGAAATTAGACAATCACTGAATAAATTCAAAGCTCTCGTTAAATTAGTCAATAAAGCTTTTTATAAATTTGACGATTATTTCAATGATCCTAATCCTTGGGATTGATTTGCTCCAGTTTAAACAATTTGCATGACTCAAAACTTGGCGATTAAAAAGAATGGTGGAGAGTTTCTTGCCAGTTCTTCTTGCCCGCTCTAGGCCCTTGACTTTCGAATTAGTAAATGTAAATTTAGAATTAATTTAACATCTTCTCTGTTGACGTTCATAAGTATACTTGGTTACCTATATGAATAAAGTTATTTTGAGTTTCATTGTATTGTATTTTTAATTAAAGTCAACGATTGAAATTATACTGAAGGATCGATCAATACATATTTATTGTTTTTAATTGAATCTATGATGGGTGATTTTGGTTAATTATAATCATTAAAACATTCAATTAATTAATTAAAAGTGGTTATTTCATCTGTATACCCGATTTATATTATTTCAGGAGCCCTACAGTCATTGGAAGCCATCAAATATTTGGTCGGTCAAACGAAAGAGACACTCCTGGTTGAAAGACTACTATTGTTTGATGGCGAAGACATGACATTTAGGACAGGTGAAAAATAACTAGTTTTATGTTTTAAAATATTGTCAAAGTTTCAATAGCTATCAATTGATAGACCTTTTGCAATGGTAATAAGTCGGCGACACACATGCGTAGCTTTAGCAATGTCCTTAAGAAAAAATTCAGTAAAAATCATGTTATCATTTGTGTGTGTTGTATCACTGGAATTTGATAATATTTAATTACTATGTTTGTTTGTTTGTTTCTTGGCATTGATGTCGAGATGACATTGAGGTACATTTGAATTTTCTAGAAGAGTTTAAAATTTATCAAAATGTATTCAGTCGATTTTGAAGACATTTTTTTTTACTTCCAGTTAAAGAATATATAATTTTAATTTTAATGTTATCCCAAGACGTTTTAAAAGTATTTTTATGAATATGTCATTTGTTTCAGTGAAGTTGCGCGGGCGCAACTTAAAGTGTCCGATATGTTCGGACACGCCCACAATCACTCGTTTGGTCGACTATGAGATGTTTTGTAACTCAAGCGCCCAAGAGAAGGTATTTATACTTTTTTGCATATTAATGATTTTTTTATTATTTATTTATTTATAAAAATACATAAACTATCCTTACAGTATTAAACCAAAATATATAATATTAAATACATAAGATACACCATATCGCTACTGTGAACTCTCTGCGAACATATAACTATGTCGATAGTTTTGATTAACTAAAGGAAATGAATGTAGATGATATTTACTTAAGTTTTTTATTTAAATTAAAATACATATATATCTGGAATGATGATGTTTTAGTATATGCTTAGGACAAGATTTAAAGAAGAGAGTGTTAGCGGTAGACTCCAGTCGTCAAAGACGAATTAGATTTTGACATAAACTAAATAAAATTAATGTTATTATCATTAAAATTGTATTAATTGTTACTTTTTATTAACATATACACATAATATTAAAATTGATAATTTTATATATTCTTTAACTGAAATTTAAAAAAAACAAGTCTGAAAACTACTGAATTAAACTTGAACTTATCGAGAAAATTCGAATGTACCTCAATGTCATCTCGACATCAATGCCAAGAAACAAGCAAACATATATAGTAAATAATGGTATGGGTCATACTTCGCGCTAAGTCTCGTTTCTGAGTTGCGGGTGAGAAAGTCGCTGACTTTTTATTAGACAAAGAAAAACGGCAATACTAAATACGCTGCATGAATTCGCCTTAAACGAATCTATGAAATTAATCTAAAACTTACAATATTTTCAGGATCTCGACCTAAAAATCCTAGGACCAGAGAACCGAATATCTGCCACGGAATTGGCGGACAAACTGAGCGAAATAGATTTGGAACAGCGCCATCTGTTGGTCGATGTTCGAAGCGAGCCGGAGTTCAAGATGTGCTCCATAGATGGCGCTGTCAACTACCCGCTAGATCAGATGTATAGGAATTTCGATGACTTGTTGGGGGAGATAAGGAGATGTACTAGCCATGGTAAGTTATATGTGTCTCTAAATCTCTATATTTATTTATTTATAAGTAGAGCAGTGTAGTCGTGGGTTCGATCCCTGGCAGTGCAACAATGGAACTTCTGTCTATGTGCGCATTAAACATTCGCTCGAACGTTGAAGGAATACATCGTGAGGAAACCGGCTTGCTTTAGACCCAAAAAGTCAACGGCAGTGTCAGGCACAGGAGGCTGATCAATGATTATGGAACCGATTCGGATATCTGAGGTCCAGACCTTACAAAGTTAAAGTAACTTTTCGTCACTTTTTGTGACGCTTCGGTAGTTTAATTGAGGGTAGGACGCAAAAGTTTCTACCCTCTTTGAAAAAAAATTCAGACATTTTTGTTTTACATTTAAGACATCTTATTTACACATCTATACACAGGAGCATCACAACTTTTTTTTATGTAGCGGGGCAAACGGGAGCGGGCTCAACTGATGTTAAGTGATACCGCCGCCCATGGACACTCTCATTGCCAGGGGGCTCGCAAGTGTTTGCCGGCCTTTTAAGTATTCTAAGTAAAATGGGTTTTTGAATACTTCAGTAGGCAACCGGTTCCACATTGTGATGGTGGGCGACAAAAACTGCCTTAAGAAACCCTCCGTTTTGGAAAGACGGACGTCGAAGTGATATTGGTGGAATTTCGTAGTTTGCCTCGACGTCCGATGATGAAGAAACTTATCGCTAATAAGCGATCTCTTCCAGGCAAGAGAGCTTAGAATAAATTGTATATATGTACTCATCTAGATCATAAAAATATGGAGTATTTTTAAGGAAAAAAATCCGGCAGTTTCTTAGCAATAGCTTCTGGAATATATTTCGTATATCGAGTTCTATTCCCGTACAATAATTGATGAATACTAATTATAATTATAAACACACAAAATAACAATGATCAAAAAAAATTTACATGAGAGATATCAAAAATAAAAAAAAACCTTTTCCCATTAGGTTCGTTTCAAGTGTGTAATGCGTGTGTGCCGTGGCTGTAATTGGCCTGGCCATTTATAATTAGTTAACACTAATTATGTACGTACCTACTAATTTTAGTAATATTATATTTTTAAAACATTCCAAATGAAAACTGCCAAATTGTATCCAAATTTGTCCAGTCCCTATAGCGTCCATTCTAAAAATATTTTTCTCTTTCAGTGACATTTATCTGTCGCCGAGGCAACGACTCGCAAATAGCGGCCAAGCGTGTGTTGGAGGAAATAGAAGAGAATCATCGTTCAAAGATAAAAGACCTATTTGGCGGTTTACACGCGTGGTCGAAGAATGTCGATTGTAATTTTCCTATATATTAAAAGTTTTGGTTAATCTGTTTATTTTATTCTGACGATTCTTAAATGAGAATAAAACTACCTAAACGTCCTGACTTTTATTTATATCAATAGTATTACATTCAACGCACTAAAATGGGTGTCCATGGACTGCGATGACTGCCCATGGGCAGTACGTAGGCTCGTATCTAATATAAAAGAATCGGTTGTCTGTAAAGTCGGTTTACTGACGATAGTTGAACGTGACAACGTCATAAGAAAATACTGATGGAATGGTTACATTTTTCAAAAGAAAATTTTAATTTTATTTGTTTGATAGATACTTTGTATGGATATAGAGAAGGAGGTAAATGGAAATCACAATTGAATTGAGCCGAACGCGGAGGCCGATTGTGCCTCTTTGTCGCTCGTTCCGCGCTCTCGCTTGCACTTTAAGCCTTAAACGGAACGCCTCAGAGCGAGCTAACGCCGCATGAGTCATGTTTTTTCGTGCGTGCAGCCGGCTCCATCAAATTATAAGACGTTGTCACGTCAAAAAAGTATTATTGATACAGTGTAGAATGTAGCAACATCCCTAGAAAGCAAATTCAAACGCACTAGGTCTCCACAGAGTTAATAGGCACGTTGAGCTACTGTCACAGCACTGCCCCCTGTCAGTTGCCCTTCATGTCCTCTGACTATAAATTTCCCTAAAATAGTTGTTAATCTAAACAAAACATCTGACACTGAAGTTACTAATGTCGGCGGCGGCTAGTTTGGAGTTAGCGCATTAAGCGATTCGTGTTTTATTCCTGCTTTTTTAGTAGAATTACCAGAGTATCATGGGAAGTGTTGGCTTAGTGGCTTAAGCGTGTAACCCTGAATCGTGCGTTCGAATCACGGCTGTGCAAGAATGAAATTCTCATTCTTGCACTTGCATCTACAGTGAAGACAATTCTTAGGGTCCTTCAAGAAAAGAGCGTACCAATTCTTAAAAGACGAGCAATGCACTCGCGAGTCCTCTGGCATTGAGAATGTCCATGGGCGGCGGTATCACTTAACATCAGGTGAGCCTCCTGCCCGCATGCCCCCTGTTCTAAAAAAAAGATCGTACTTGTCAAGGCCTACGAGACCAAGCTTATAAGGTTCTAACGCTAGACCGGAGTATCTATTATTTTAATAATAAAACAGAAATATGTGTTTTTGGTATATATTATGTATTTCATTCATAATTTAATTCCTCTTCATCGAAATCGTACTGTAATTCTTCTTCTCTATCGTCTCTTCTTACTTTATTCTTTCGCAGTTTCTTTAAATGCTTCATCAGCGCCATATCATTACGTGAGTCCATGTAATCGCTTTGCCTTCTAGAGTTTTCTGTTCTATTTTTCAATTCTGTTTGTTTACCTTTTTGCTTTTTAACTTTACGGGGATTTAAATTTAACCAGCGTTTCGTGTTTAATAAATCCACAGCCATTTTACTAGCGACTGAATACAATGAGTCTTTATTACTTAAATCACGTTTTCTTGAATGTTTTTCATTATTTTCGTCAATAATACGGTTACTTCCAGAATTAACATTATTAATTGATGCAAGTGCATTGCTTCTACAAAATTTTTCCACGTTTCTTGCTTTTATTAATTCGTTATTCCGTTTGTAGGTAAAACCATGATTTTCAACGTATTCATCAACTTTTTGCGGTTGGATTCTTCTTCCTATTACTATAGGTATTCTAACTTTCATTGTTTTGTTTTGATAATGCACCGGAGTGGGATACTTGGAGGTGACTATTTCCACGTGCATTGACAGGGATATGTGTATCACTGAAATTAAATAGCAAATATATTTAGAATAATATTGTAACTAACACATAAGCATATGGAGTTATGATTACCTGCTTGAATAACTAAGTGATTATATATTAAAATATCGAGTTAAGAATAATTTAACATATTTTAACACAAATACACAGTATTGACATTATTGTTAACCCACATTAAACCAACGGCGCTACAACCCAGACCTTAATCTGGGCCTCAGATTTCTGAATCTGTTTCATGATCATTTTAAAATCTAATAGGCAAGTAGGTGATCAGCCTCCAGTGCCTGACACACGCTGTCGACTTTTTTGGTCTAAGACATGTCGGTTTCCTCACGATGTTTTCCTTCACCGTTCGATCGAATGTTAAATGCGCACATAGAAAGAAAGTCCATTGATTTCAGAGTGCTACTCTCATCTCAGGGATGAGAGTAGCACTCTGAAGCCACTAGGCCAACACTGCACACCTACATAGTAATAATAATAATAATTAAAAATTAATAAATAGAAAATTCATCAAATTTAAAAAGTTTCGTCCCTGCGGCATTTCCTCGCTGTATTGCGATACCTATTCGTTCGTACTATCTACCAGGCGAAAAATTAGAGTAATTGAATACTAGTAAGTATATAACGAGGAGACATTCTTACAATAACTTCAACAAACACAATAATAGTAATAAAACATTCGTTTAGATTTCATTTGAACATTGACCAACTGCTGTACCTAAATTGGAAGTGGAATATTTTATTATGTTTATCATAATTCTCATGTATTTTATATTAGATAGCTTGTAATATATATTGTAGATATTAGCATTATATGATGTGGTGAACTTTAATAAATAAATACACTTACAACACAAAACGGTTAACAATTTAAACATCTTTGCAACTGTCTTAACTTCAACGAATTGATAAATTGAAAATTCATTTCACGGTATCAGTAATTTAATTTTCCACAGATGCGATAATAAACATGTTTTAATCTGTCTATATCATTGGAGTATTTTTTTGGATTTTAAAACAAATGGTAACCTTCATCAGTATAATACTCGAAACAGAACTAAACTAAGCGTACGACCAACCAGCCTCCAGAAGATAAACCACGCCTTATATGGAAATTGTATTCGTTTTTACAACAAACTCCCAACCGAAATTAGACAATTGTCACTGAATAAATTCAAAGCTCTCGTTAAATTAGTCAATAAAGCTTTTTATAAATTTGACGATTATTTAAATGATCTTAATCCTTGGGATTGCTTTGCTCCAATTCAAACAATTTGTATGACTCAAAACTTGGCGATTAAAAAGAGTGGCAGCGAGTTTCTTGCCAGTTCTTCTCTCCCGCTTTACGCCCTTGTTTGCGAACTGGTTGTAAATGTTAATTTAGAATGCTTTCTCTAAACTTACGTAAAGTAAAGTTAAAAGTAAAGTTATTTTACTTTTCCAAGACCCTTGCATTCATTTCTGTTAGTTATTTTATAAAGTATTTATATTTTTACTTTTTCATTTCATCATTTTAAATTTCGCTTTTATCAGTTCTCTATCTCTTTGATAGAATTGGTGATTAGAGGCCAACTAAATCGAAATGCATAGCACAGGAAATGTGATCTCACTTGCCTATATAGATATGTATATCATAAAAAAGTAGCCCAAAAGTTGGGCCAACATTATGTCATAGAAAGCGTGTCCAAAATCTAAGTATATATAGTTCGGCTTACATTTGACACGTGGACTATATCTACATTGTATGACATGGCCCAAGCCCCTTTTCCATTAAACCCAAATGGCTGTTAGGGATGCGCGCGCAATTTTGATATCTTTTGAATGTTTTCATCGTTTAATATACATTGCTGGCTCACTTATATTATTTTGGGCAAAGATGGTTGTTTCTACAACAATTGTGATTACAAAGTATGATAATACTGATTCCATTCAAACGCTTGGTTTGTTGAATGATTTACCGCTAATTCAAAATAGAAATACAAATATCATCACCAACCACACAGCGCTACCAGAATTCGCCTGAGGCAGGACACGATAACATTCTCAGCATGCCGCCGCGCGATCAGCTGTTGAAGTCACGGCCTCCAACGACCGTTAATGTGGAATGCAGGCAGGAGGCCAAACTCACTTCCACCGCCACATTTTAGTAACAATATAACTTGTTTTTGCATTATAGCATATTATCAAGCGAAGAAATCGAGCAAATTGATAGGAAAAATATCTATTAGGTATCTATAAAAATAATCTATAAATATATTTTTATCATTCCATTGGACTTCCAATGTATTTGCATTCCTACAGAATCTATGTAACATTTTTTTTATTATTTGGCAAACGAGCCTACGTGGCATTTGAAAAGAGCAATCGCAGCCCATGGACACTCATTTTAAGTGATGCTCTGCCGGCCTTTGCTGGAGGGTATACTCTTACTTTAAACAATTGGAGGTCGTATCTCTCAGAGAAGACGCCCACCGGGAGACGATTCCACAATTCGCGAGAAGCAGACTGTGGAAGACTTCCAGCCATCAAGGCTGATGGCTCGTACGATACTGAAACGAATCAACCCAAACAAATCTTCAGAACACTCTCCATAGTATAGTATACTTAGAAATAGAGACGCAGTCTCTGCGACGTATGCTTAAAATATCTTGGACAGACCGCGTACGAAATACAACCGTGCTGGACAGAATGCAGAAGAACAAAGAAGTGCTTATGACGGTTAAGAAAAGGAAACTTGAGTATTTCGGACACGTTTTACGCAACTCCAAAAAATATGAGCTCCTTCAACTAATCATACAAGGCAAAGTGGCAGGTAAAAGGAGACCTGGCCGCAGACGCACGTCCTGGTTGAAAAACTTGAGACAATGGTTTGGTCAAAGCACCAAGTCATTGTTTAGAAGCGCGGCATCCAAAATTAAAATAGCCATGATGATCGCCAACCTTCGCAAGGAGATGGCACTATAAGAAGAAGAAGTCTCTGTATGGAGAGAAAGAATCAAGCCGATCAGTAATACGTTGGAGATTGACAGTTCGACAAGCCCTTCGCTGAATTTGGTCAAAAGGAAGAAACTGGTATTTGGGAGTACCGGCCCGGAGATGTGAGCAGTATTCCATAAGAGGTCGTACTTGTGGTTGTATTTAAGACAGAAGCAGCAATGTACTGTTAACACAGTCAAGAAATTGTTCAATAATAGTCGTGTTTATTTGTAAGTCGTGACACTGGTCTCACCTCAGTACGTGATTTCGCCAACCCCTTGGATGGTTTAAAAGTTAACGGTTACTGTGATTGTGTTAAACTAAAATTAATTTAACTAAATGTATATAAGGAATAGTGAAATAAAAATAAACTAAAATAATTTAATTTATAATAATTGAAAATCTTGATTTACTTTGAACAAAATGAATAAAAATAATTAACAAAAACTCAAACTCAAAATAACATATAACACTACCTATAACCAAAATAAAGCAAAAATCTAAAAAAAAATACAAATAAATAAACAATAATATGTAAAAACAAAAATCGAAAAGCTAATCAAAGAGTTAATTGAATCACAATAAGTAGTAGCTAATTATTCTTGACTAGACTAGAAGAATAAACCGTCTCCAAAATGCGCTTTAAAGTTTTTAATAATCATTACATCTTATCTATGGAATCGTTTGGGCTCATGAACGGCAGAGCTATAGTGTTTGTCTATCTATACACAAAAACTTTCTAATTGATAACATTCTCCCTTGGTTTATTCGTCATTATTTCAAAAAATTTAGTTTAAGAAAGATAATTCAAGTATAGATTTATTACTTTAAAAAATAAAAAGCAATAACTAACCTTAAAAAATAAAATATATTAATAAAAGTAGTCCCTTTAGGCATGGTTCCGAAGATATTGGCAGCGTTCCCCCTTTAAATAGCTAGACTTTGTCCGAGGGAGCTACCAGCTCTTCGGTCTCCTGTGATGTTGACTAACTTTTTGCTATTTCCTCAAAAAGCCTTATAGCGCTAAGACCCCGCGGACCAAGGGACCCCCGACACCGAATGTGACAAAATCATATTCGGAGCCTAGATTGATTGATAGTGTAAAAGTCTTGGTCTCCGAAACGAGAAGCTTCAATTCCTCCAATTGCTGGTTCAGCTGCAGCAGTTCCTCTTCCATTCTGTCGATACAGCTGTTCGTAAAAGTTTATACTTGACTATCCCTTGGATTAGTTTTACAATTAACTGTAATTGTTTAACGTATCGAAGTGTTAATAAATAAATATAAGTAATAATAATTAATATTAAGCAGATTTTGGAAGACACAAAAAGTAATAAATAATAATAATTATAGGGTTTTAAATAAAATAGCAAGATGTTGAAACAATACTTATTAATTTATAATTTAAAAAAAACGGAGGATGTTATCAATTCGACGTGCTTTTGTGTACGATATGGACGATCGATAATGAAAGCTTTTAAATATATATTTCCAAAAAAGAAATCGACTTTCTACATAATAATTTATGACCATTCGTAAGAACAAGGATTGTCCATCAACTTCCAAAAAATCGTCTAAACGAACGATCCAAATTGAGGACCAATTCTTAAAAGGCCGGCAACGCACTCGCGAGCCCTCTGGTATTGAGAGTGTCCATGGGCGGCGGTATCACATAACATCAGGTGAAATTCCTGCCCGTTTGCACCCTGTTCTATAAAAAATAAAAAAAAACGACAGTCGATGTCAGATCGTCTTTATATCTTTTATGAAAATAAACTAATAAACACTTTAGACTCAGAGAGAGAGAGAGAGTTCATCCTCTTAGTAATTTAATGCCAAGCGATATAAATTAAAAATATTGTTATTTGATACTTTTTCGTCGCTTATATTTATGGCTTAAAAGGAATTTATATATTATTTATTTATATATCAATTTACACCTTAGTACGGCATCTTGCAGACTTTTTTGCAATTGTCAAGAATTCAAATTATTATTGAAACGCAACTAATAGCGGAGCACTTCTTTCATTGTTAGTTAGTTGTTTTGGAATGTTATTATAACAAAAAAGCGTGCAAAAACTTTAGTAGGTAGGAGGTAGCTACACCTCAAAAATGCAAATGAAAATCGTGTATAATCTCAATATTTATCTACGTTTGCGCTACGGATATTGGTACATCGAAATTGCATACGAAACTATCTAGTTATTCAGTTAGATTCAACAAACCTTTTAACTTTATAATATATGTATAGCTTAATTTAATCTAAACTTCGTATCTAAACAATTAACAAATACATTACATCATAGATCAAAGGTCAAATCCAAGCCAATTTTGAAAGGGCGCGAAATAATCAAAATGGCGTCGGTGGGTAAAGTATTGGCCACAATAAAAGCTGTCATCACTCGTTTGGTGTTCGCGTGTCATGGAATAATAGCAATTTGGCAAGTCACCGTTTTTAAAAATAACAATGAATATTGGTACTTGGCGTCGCCGATTCTCCTGTTGATTTTCGAAGGCATCTTCACGCTAACGGTCAAAAAGAATCAAGAGTGGAAATGGTGAGTGTTAATTGTATAGTGCAACGTATATTTAATTAGCGTGTCATAGAGTACTCTATAGAATTGCATTTGATTATTGATTTGATTTTTTTTCTTGTGGCCAGCAAATAGAGCACTGTAGATACCCAATTCCTACCACAGATTATAGCATTTGTTTCTTCGATCGTTTTTATATGCAAGAAGGTTATTATCTTATCCGGGTCTTATCTTTGTAAAAAAAATATTATCTATGTGAACTTAACTTTATTCTAGTTCTTGTTATAACACCTAAAACGATTAACTTTTAGCGATAGGGGAATATTATCCCCGGCGTTAATTATTGATATAATATAATTTGTATAATAGACCGCTTCTTGTGGACATTAATAAAAAACATTGGAATCTTTAACACCAACATATTCTACCTTTAACATATTATAAATATAAAAGAGTTACAACCCTTGGGTTTGGCCACAGGTTTATGAAGATGTTTCCTTGAAATTTACGATTTATTGGCAAATGGTACACAGTCGATTTTTGAGTCACATTCAGGTCGCAATGTTTGTCGTGCGAGCGACTTTAGTTATGAAAAATCTAATGATGCACAGCCGGGATTCGAATGCACTATCAAGGGTGAGAGTACGCCACAAGCAGGGCTGCCTGTATATACAATATTTATAGATGATTTTTGCAAATTTTAATAATACTTCTTCTGCCAAAACCAACCTAGGAGTTCAGGCACCTCTCGTTCGAATTATTCGTGATTTTAACAAATTGAGCACAGTTTATCCGGAGCTGAATATATTCGGTAGTGGGCTGATCGGTTTTAGAGAAAGCAATGTGGGGTGTCTTTCTCGAACCTAATTTCGCTGTTTTTCTGATGATTTTTCTTTTTTTTTTCTGCTGGCACTAAGAATTTTAATGAAATTTGTTGAAAATTTTATTTTATTTTATGTTTATGGTAAAAAAAAAATTATTTTAATGTGTGTATTGTCGTGTGTGTTTTAGTTGTATTTTTTTTTAATTTCTATTTGATTTTTTTGAGAAACTTATGCTTGCGTTGATTGTCGCACATTTTGGATGTAAGATTTTGTGAAATAATTGGTAGATTTAGGACTGTGTGTGATGTCGTGGGCTTGATAACTAAATAAATAAATAAAATAAAAAATACTCTGTGATTTAGATATGTAATTGTAAGATGGTCAAATCCAGGCTAACCAGAAACTCAAGTTCTTAACTATTCGTGTTAACGATTACTTAAGCTTATAAATAAGTTCATACAATCAAACTCCAAAATGTTATTAAATTGTATATTAATTATATTTACTAAGCAGAAAATCTCTAAGGAATTTTTTATTCATAATAATTAATTTGTCAGTCATAACTAAACCAGAATTAAAGCTGGATAATATTCAAATTTTACTTTGGGTATAAAAGGCGCGTCGTAACTGCCTTAAATTACCGGATGTGACGCTGTCAAGTTATACATTAAGGTTTTGCTATTTCCGTTCACACCCAGACTTTTGATATAGGAGAGTTGCTTGTTAAAAAAAAAACGATTTACAAACATGAAAATAATTGTAACACTTTTTTATTTTAGCGATTTAGCTGGATAGGTTAGGCGCTGAAGTCCCAGTTTTCTAAAGACTTTTCACCTTTCAATCTCCAGCATTGGAGTTGTCTATGTACCTACACAATTGAACCTTGCTTTTGTGGGATCTTAATCCAGTAATTCGAAGCCGAGATTTGCGCCAAATATTATGTCTTCTGAGTGTCATTCATACGAAATCATAGTAATAAAATCCATGTGTGTCAGATACAGATAATTATAATTTATTGATTTTGTTTGTATGAACTACGAAATAGTTTGAATTTGTTTTGTATTCTGATTGTCCTTCTTCTTTTCTTAAAAAGATTTTCATAAAAACATACAGCAAGGGCGGGGCTAGAATTCCCATCACATAAAGATTAAGTTGTTACACACATATGTGTGTGTTTAAGTAGTAAACTTATTGTTTTTATATTGTTATTATAGCCTTTTATTTCAGATACTTTTATTTACATCAAACACATTTATATTTCTTTATTCTTTTTAGGTATCTGTGTGTCCGTTTTTGGCAAATACCTCCTCCAAATCCCGCAATTCCTCTCTGCAATGTGCCACTCTTAGCCATGAACCTGCTGTTTCCTTAATTTGGTCTATCCATCTTCTTTTCGGCCAGATAGTACTTTCTTCCTCCACCTTTCTGTTCCTCTTGCCATGTGCCCACTGACTGTAAATTATTATTACTATTAAAGCTTTATTAATCTATACAATAATTGGTTAGTTTGCATTCCTTAATGTTAGTATAAGTTAGATTTCTTTTTTTCTTTTTTAGGGGTCTAGTTTTTGTTTGACCCCTTTTAGGGTGAAGCCTCATCCATATTTTTCCATTTCTCTTTGTCTTGAGCAACATCCAGTTTTCCCTGCTAGTTCTATAATATCATCTGTCCATCTTTTCTTTTGTCGTCCTATACATCTCTTTCCAGTAGGTCCAGTCCATTAAGCTATTTCTAGTGTCCATCTTTTATTTCCGCGCTCTAGCAATATGACCTGCCCATTTCCATTTATAGCATATATCTACTAACAAAAACCATTATATCAATTGACACAGCGAGACCGAGAGAGAGAGATAGCTCTCTGGGTATCATGGATCCTTTAATATACTGCTATATTGCAGGTTCTGTCCGTCGGTGTTCATCTACCTAGTCCTGGTGGTTCCAGCAATATGGTTGCTGGAGTTGCACAAGGTCGATCTTCGGTTGCAGAAGAAGGCAAACATAACATACATCGAGGTAAACATAGTATGTATTTCCGTTTGTCTATTATAAATGTAGTTTAGTCTGTGGTTATCACTACACATTTAAATTATTTTATTTTTTATTTTACAATTTTAGGGAAACTTACCGATAAAAATGGTTCAATATAAAATTAATATGATGAAGGAGGTATTATTAATATTTACATACTATTACTCTGCACTATATTAAAATCTAAATAATTCAAAGTATTGAAAAGGGTTTTATTCTAGTAAATAGTGCAGAATAATAAACAACCTCCCGACATGCCACATTGAAACGTTTCAACAGTCTCTCGCTGTCCACGATTGCTGATGAAGCCTCGAAACATAGTTTATATTCGTACATTCGGCTTGATGTGATATATTACTAGTCTGGCCATAAATACTGTTACATAAAAACTTTTCTCTTTTTCAACTATTTAATTATTTTGAATTAGGAACACCTATATTATTTTAAAAACTTCTTTCAATTTTCCACCATTTCACATATTTTTTCGTGCTCATCGAATGCGGTGTTAAAGAAAATGAGATTGCATGATCGCCTTGCACAAAGTGAATATGGAGCCCTGCGCCCTCGGTCATATTCCAGACACTTTAAAAGTTTGGTATCAGCCGTATTGTTGGTATATCATACAAACAGATACAACAACACTTCGTCTGTCGAAGACCAGAAAAGGTCGGAGGCGGCCGCGTGCTGTTAGAACAACACTGTTAGACTGTTAAAGCCAGAATTCGTCGAAACCCCATTAGGAAGCAAAAAATCTTATTGCGGGAAATGAATGTTACCACTAGGATCTGTCGCGTATTATAAAACAACATCTGAAGCTCGTTGCTTATTGTCGATATACAGGACATGCCCTAAAATCTAAATCTTTACAATTAAAGAGAGTGGATCGATCAAAATGCCTTCTGTCGCGATACGCAGGTGAAAAGCACAGAAATATCTTTATATAACAGAATTTCTATAAAAAGGCCCTTTCCCATGATTTTTTTGTGCCCAATTGGTCACCCGCAGCCTAGGTAAAGACTGGCCATGGCCTAAGGGGACTTGTGTAGACTTTATTAAGTTGACCATTATTTAATTGGAGTACTAATTTGATGGATAACTCTTATTTAAGAACATTTTGGGGCCGCATTTTCGTCTATTTTATTATATCAGAAATTAACTAATACTAACAAAAAAGAAGAATACACGAAATTAACCAGACTATATCTATTAATTATTTAAACAACAGATCACCACTATTTGAACAATAATTATTATAAGTAACGTCTATATCTAGTGCGAGCGACCACTTTTATTAAATGGGACTTTTCGGCAGTTTCATGTATGTTTTTACTTTGATTAAAATGGCTAATTTCACGTTTAGTTGTTTCTTTCTTTGAAAATACTATGTTACTTAAGAAGAATTATTTTATTTTGTCCATTCTTTCGATTGGCATCAAAAAAATAAGGAGGTTTTGCAAATTTGAGTCGGTTCGATTCCCAGACGAGACAAATAATTTTTTAGAATATCATTGAATGCAGTAATACTTACTTTTCGAAATAAAATAGTCTTCTTTCGGCATAATATCCTATCTACGATACATTCCTAAGTTATACTCTTCCCTAACGTAATGTCCCATTGGTACCATTACCCCGAACACAGAATTAAATATTGTTTTTCACTTTGCGTTTATGAATAACAATACCCACGGACATATAGTATGTAATTGGCTGCCATTATATTATGGACCAACTCGCCAACACTGCATGGAATATATTGGTGAGTTTTATCACATTATAGTTTGTTTTAGCACTATATAGACCATAATTACACTTTTCTACCATCAATCCCCACAGACAGTGTTTGAGGTGCACTTTGAAATGAAAACCGAAATAGAATTCACTAGCTTATGCTGACCTCTCATTAATGGGCGGTATAGGGCGCTGCTTGATCCACTGCAAGGAGATCTTACGAAGTAATGAACGCAGACAACTGTTGCAGATATATATTGCGAATTTTTATATTACTATAATTACACCTGTTTTAGCCGATAGAACTGAAAATTAAAGGATGGCAACGCGAGTAGATACTCTTGGGCCGTGAGGTTCAAGTGTAGGCGCTAATCAAAGATTTAAGTTGGCGCCAAAGGAAACAAAATCAAAGTTTACCATTACCATATTTCCTATTTCCATGCGTGTTGTTCCCACGAGAATGTAAGCGCGTGCTCCTATTTCACCATGCCTCCTGCTGATAGAGGACAAATCTTTGTTTTTAATTTATTTTATATTATTGATTACTTAAGATGTCATGTGGAACATGGTGTAATGGTTGCAACCCTGCGATTTGTAAAACAAAAAACTTGTGATCGAACTCAGAGTGGCGGCGAGTTTTTGCACAGTTCGTCGCTTCCGTTCTACGCCCTTGGTTTGAAACTGCAAAATGTAAAATTAGAAGCATTTAATGTATATTTCTTTTTTGACGTTCATGAACCTAAATGAATAAATGATTTTGACTTTTGACTCTTGACCTACACCAGGTACAGCCGCGGATATAATCGAATTCTTCGATTCATTCAAAGATGAGAAGGTGGCTACTGAAAAGGTCCTGGTCCTCCTCACACTGGCCATCTGGTCATGGTCGCTGGTCCAGTTCACGGTCGTTTTGACAGCGACCAAATCGAGGAAGTCCCGTGGCACGGCAAATAGGTCTGACATGTACGTAAATGCACGCAGCTTAGCTTAGCACGTTAGCTATGGCTTACTTATGGTATTTAGCTTATTTTATTTATGCTCTCAAACATTTTAAGGACAATAAAACATATGGAAATATATTAAAAGATACACTATGTCTAAATTACGATTTACCACCATAGACATAACATTTATTACTAACAAAAACACACTAACAATAATGAAATATAAAAAAATAATGTATATATAAAAAAAATTGTTTTTCCCTTTTCCCTTTCGGTTCGTTTCAAGTGTGTAATGCGTGTGTGCTGTGGTTGTTATTGGCCCTTGCTCAGCGGTATCTTGAGGAGCAGAATGTTACACCGCACTGGTCATTCTGCCAGCAACCACAGCAGCTGGTTTGCTATGTATTCGATTCCCCGTTTACTCTTAATAGTTTTCTCGACTCTTCGCTAGAGAGGTACCTATAGGGGCAATATACTATGATTTAAAAATGTACTTGGAAACGATTAATGGATAGCAAATGGTCATCTGGTTATTATTAGTTGAAATTTAATATAAGTGAGAGCTTAACAAGGCGCAGAGCTAAGCAGATACAAGCAACTTCCTCACAATAGAGCCCGCAGCTCAGGAGATTAAAAAGAGTGGCGAAGAGTTTCTTGCCAGTTCTTCTTGCCCGCTCTACGCCTCAACGAACTGTTAGCAAATGTAAATTTAGAATCAATTTAACATCTTTTCTGTTGACGTGATTCATAAGTGTACTTGTTTACCTATATGAATAAAGTTATTTTGAGTTTGAGTTTAAATAATTTAGATGGATCGAAATATTCTGTATATCCAGCAATAATAATAAGCCTTTTATTTCAGATACTTTTACATTTAAACACATTTATAGGTCTTTTTTTTAGGTATGCCTTTTTGGCAAACACCACTTCGGAATCCCGCCATTCTTGTCTGCACTGTGCCATTCTCTGCCATGTACCTGCTGTTTCCTTAATATGGTTTATCCATCTTCTAAATTTTCTTCCTCTATTGCGTTTATTATACATTGAGCACCAGTTTAATATTTTCTGGCTCCAGTTTTCTCTTGCCATGCACATTTCCATAAGTTTATTTGTATTGTAACATCTTCTACCTTAGTTGTTCTTCTTAAATGTGTATTCTTTCCTTCTGTATCATCCTTCGTTCCATCCATCTTTGACTCACCTATAAAATCTATAAATAAGCGTTGTGCATTTACACATACAGTTGTATAAATATATTCACTTTTCATTCTCACGACATTGCTCGGCAATTCACAACAGTTAATTAACAATCACAAGTATGATTTGAGACAATTTATTATGTATAGATAGAATAGAACAAGCCCTTCTAAAATTCAATAAATAAAAACTGTGTAAAACAAAAAACTTGGCGATTAAAAAGAGTGGCGGAGAGTTTATTGCCAGTTCTTCTCTACCGTTCTACGCCCTTGATTTGAGAACTGGCAGTAAATGTATATTAGAAGCATTTAATATATATTTATTTTTTAGTATACATTTTACTTATATGAATAAATGGTTTTGTTTTTTTTGATGCCGGTGTCTTCACGATATTTTTCCTTTCATTGTTAATTTTCTGTTTTTCTATGAAATCATAATGCTATATTTTAGGAACTCCAGCCGCGCGTGTTGTTGCTCCATCGAAGTCTGCGCAATAATGATGAACATCGTCCTTCAAGACGCACCATTTTTGGCATTTCGACTTCTCATCATTGCGCATTACAAGATTATCAACTATATGAATATATTCTTCACATGTAAAAATACATTGGTAAGTAGATTTGTTTTATCACATTAGCCTTTTATTTCCGATACTTTAAATTTAAATACATTTATATTTCTATCATCTTTCTTTCATTCATTAATAAAACACAATTTTTTTCTATTACATATTTATTTGCAGCAAATGCCACTCATTAATTATAATATAAAACTTAGGATGAGATTCACAAACAAGACAGCTCTATGTTCTACTCCCTTACGTCAAAAATGTGTTGAATTTTGACAGACGAGTCATAGTTTGCGTTAAATAAAATTTTAAATATTTCGTGACAAGTTAGGTATGTTATTCAGTTAGCGCGATTCCCGATAACACACATATTTACATTTTTAGGTTATATTACTGCAAATATATAGACTATATGTGCTACATTTGGAGAAGACTGAGGATACTAACGGGGACTCGGTTTATAGGAAGAGGAAGAAGCCCAAGACGAGTGAGAAGAAGGAGAGACGCAGGTAATTTTTATGCGCTTAGCATATTTTAGGTTAGCCCAAATACCAGCTTCTTCCTTTTGAAACAAATCAGCGACGGGCTTCTCGAATTGTCAATCTCCAACTGATCGGCTTCATTCTCTTACTCTACGCAGAAACATTGCGTCTCTAGGCGTTTTCTATAAAGTGTACTATGGTGAGTATTCTGAAGAGTTGTTTGCGTTGATCCCTCTTGACCCGTTTCAAATTACGAACTGTATGGCTTCATCCATTCTGGGCACAGCGCGCAATTTTTTCATATCCAAATAGTTGTGTTTAATATAGGATTGCATAGAAAAATCTTTACAATATCAAGTGGCGGAGTTACCAGCATGCTAAGTAGACTGGAGCTTAGAGCGGCAAATTTGGGAACCCATCATTTTTTTTGTTACCACTTAGAAATCAAAAAGATTTCTGCATGACGGTTTTCTGATGTTTTACAGAAGTCTGCAACAAATTTTGCCGATGACTTTCCCCTCTTACTTGTCTAATAATCTATGACAATTGTAGAGGCAAGGTCTGCAAAAACTTCACAGTCTTGCTTGAAAATGTAGAAAACAATTTCGAGGAGAGATATTTTATTACCGCGCAAACTTTACCCTTTTTTAAGAACACGTTCCGACACGACGCTAACAAAAGATTCTATTTAAAAAAAAACAAAAGAGAAGTGTTTGATTTTTTTATAACTTTTTCTGTCAGCCAGTATTACTTTTTCCTTTCCAAGGAGAATCGTATTATAACTATTTATTGAACATTCCTCGTAACTCCACTCTCTCAAACTGGCATAAAGTTAAAACTATTGCCATAATATTTAAAAAAAACTCCACTCTCTTGCAAACTCAATTTTCGTTTTTAGAGAGAGGAAACAAAAGGAAAAGAGTCACCGAAGAAAGAATATGACAGAAGAAACATCTATAGCTGTCATAAGTGATAGAAAACAGGACAGAATTGACGGCGGCCGGATAAGGTAAGTGATATATTTTTTCTTACATGTTTAGTGCGACGTCAAAAAAACTCATTCAAATTGATTGATTTAGAATATGAATTTGTCATTGTACGATCGGATATCTTTAGGCGGTTTTTCGTATACAAATTATTAAATTGTTAAATACAGAACAGCCTTGCGATTCTGTAACTCACTTTTCGACCGCCAATGCGAAAACCGCTGTGTGAGTTCGAAAAGTGAGTTACAGAATCGCAGGGCTGTAACCTCTTAACATTGTCGTTACCAAGGTTTAAAATCAGCAGAATTTTTCAAATTCCGTTTCCAAAACCAAACCTAGGAGTTCAGGCACCTCTCATTCGAATTTTTCGCGAATATAACGGAATAAACTCTAATTATCTGGAGCTGAATATATTCGGTAGTGGGCTGAATTTTAAAGAAAGCATTGATAAGCATTGACTATCTGATATATATTCCGCTGTTTTACAAAAAATACTAGAAAATCAAATATTGGATGTCTTTTATTTATTTTAATAATATATTTTAGTTATTATATTTTATATATAATCTTCTTATATATAAAATTCTCTTGTTCTCTCGTGTCACAATATTCGTTCCCATACTCCTTCGAAACAGCTCAAAAATACCTTTTAGCAAAGATAGCTTGTAACATATATTGTAGACTTCGCATTATGTGATGTGGTGAATTTTAAATAAATAAGAATGTAATGAAAATGGATTTAGCGAGAGAGGTAGAGGTCCGTAGCTAGCGGAGATCCGTGGTCTCTGCCTACCACTTCGGGAAAAAGGTGTGATAATAAAAATAAAATAACATTTTATATACCCCAAAGTCGGATGGGGTCAGTAGCATTTTGTAGAATAGACAATAGATTATATTTATGTGTAGATTAGCAGTGAAAGGCAGGGTGAGATCACCTTGACATAGAAGGGTTCCGAATCATGGCTAGTGATGCGCCAAAACCGATACGATTTAACTTTAGCTTAAGAAAATCATAGTTTGAATTAACTAAAAAAACAGAAAAAAAACGTTATGTACACGCGTTAGAAGTTATACTTCTTTGTCGTAACAAGATAAAAAATTGAAAGTTTTATTATAACGCATTTATCTAGATAAATAAAGCTTATTTAAATATCACAAAAAACTAAAATGTTGACTATAGCTAGCCTCAGGGTGTCGGTTTTTTGTGCTCGCGCATCTTAAAAATTTACTTTCATTATTTTTCCCTAACGCGCCAAAAGAATTATAACCTCAATAACATTCGGTTATTTATTTAAAGTTTCTAATAAAAATAAATAAGTCTATCAGCTTTAAGGGATTTTTTATCACACTTCCAATGCTTGAAGTGACCAGTCACCATTCCGGGTAATATAAATGGCAATAGTTATTATTCAATACCGTTGAAATAATTGCCAAAACGAAAAATTTAAAAAAAGCTACATGAAAATGTGATTATTTATGTATTATGTAACAATCCTATATAATTAGTTATAGTATATAGACTTTAGTTGAGTTTTGACTTGACCATTAAGTAGTCCGAAATAAGGAAAAATCTATTTACAATTTTTAAATAAAAAATATATTCAAAACTGATTACATCATAAACGAAAAGTGTAACAAACACAATGTCCTAATAATTTGCCTGTTGAAGTGTGCCATGTGCGTAAGTGTGTGTGTGCGTGTTTAAATTGTCTTAAATCCATTTGATTTGCTTTCCTTTGAAAAAAACGCGTAATATATCGACATCTTAGTGCATCACTAGTAAGGGGCGCGGTTCAAATGAGCAAGCAATACAATGGATGCGATGACCCGCCGTGTCTATCTTATATTGCTTTATAACTACGCCCTCACTTGTCCTTGGGAAAGCATTTCTAAAAATCAAAAATCTATAAGAAATCAAATGTTTAATCTGAATCCAAGTTATCTCAAGATGGCGGACGTAACCTTTTGACATGTCATTGACAGATGAAACCTTTTTTCAGGGCCATAATATTGACAAATTCAGATGAAATCAAAGAGTTGGAATTGACTAAACTATTCAAGGATCAAGTGACAGTTGAAAATGAGAAGAAGAAAGGGTAAGATATTTATTGACTTCAAGGATTCAGTGTTGCAAGAATTTTATTTATTCATTTACAAAAGCCTACCAACGCTCGGCACACTGATACATTTGTAATTAAGGTACAAGATTTATTGTCTTTAGATATAACACACACAAGAAAAGAGAAAAGAGTTGCGGAGAGTTTATTGCCAGTTCTTCTCGTCCGTTCTACGCCCTTGATTTGAGAACTGGCAGTAGGTAAATGTAAAAAAAAGCATTTAGCATTTAATATATATTTCTTTATTGACGTTTATAAGTAAACATTGTGTGACTTTGACAAGAGATAATAAAAAATTCAACAAAACAATTAAAATACATATAAAAGCTAAAGGAAAATTGATTTCAAAGTGTAAAAGCAACTATGCAAGATATCCAGACCTAGCTCGTTTATCAAAGTTGAATCTGTATATCGGTTAGGTTTGGGCAAAACGCATTCTTCTGAAAGGACAACTGCGATCATGTGGTACCTGGGGTATCTAGAGGGTACACGAAAATTAAATTTAGTTAAAAGTTTGGGGCAACCTGATTGTTAAATATCTTAAATGCAAACAATATATCAATTAATTTTCTACGATTTTCCAATGATACCATCTTATATTGCCTGCCTGGTTGCGTATGGCAACTCTTTTTTCGAGATTCCATTGAAAGTCGATGCCACATTAACCTTTTTTTTTTTCAAATCAAAACTACTTATTTAAACCCGAATTTATTACATTATTTACATAAATTCTAATTAGTATGTTTCTGAAATTAAATATAAGCATTAGAATCGGAAAATAAAAATGTATTTAATTCATGTGTCATGTGCATTTTATTTGTTTTGCCTGCGAAGTCACTTGCATCAGATTTACCTCCAGATAATTAATATCATATAGAAATATAAATAAAGCAGTGGCGCTACACCTACCTAACTTGAAAAGGTCTGGGCCTCAGATTTCTGTATCTGTTTCATGATCATTTGTCAATCTAATAGGCAAGTAGGTGATCAGCCTCCCCCTATACACACGGCTTTGTGTTTTTGGGGTCTAACGCAAGTCAGTAGTTTCCTCACGATGTTTTCCTTCAGCATTCGAGCGAATGTTAAATGCGCACATAGAAAGAAAGTTCATTGGTGCACTTGTGCAGCCGGGGATCGAACCTACGATTTCAGGGATGAGAGCCGCACGCTGAAGCCACTAGGCCAACACTGCTCTTTTTTATGTCGGAGCTAAATAATTATATATACATATAAATCGATTTATTATTTTAGAACAAAGAAGAAGCAGAAAACCCAATCCTCCGAAGAGTCTCTGAACAACATTCAACACACAACAGACGATTCGGGTATTTGACATCACCGGGTCAGGCGGGAAAGTCCCCGGCGTAGTCCCAAAAGGAGTCCTAGGAAGAGAGATAGACAAGAGAAACGAGATCGCAAAGAGAAAAAGAAGAAAAGAAGGGACTCTAGCGAAGATTCTGATTCGTCAAGCTGAGCGAAAAAATTATATAAATATGCGATCTCCTTTTTAATGACAATTGTCATTTTGACTTTAACGTGACGGCGTCACCGTCAAGTGAATTGTCAAAGTTTTTGGCGGGAAGTGCGGTTCCTATATCTTATAATTTACAATAATTAATAATTTAAGATAAAGCGAAAGTACAGGTCGACCATTTATACTTTTATAATTAAGTTGGGACCAGACCATATCTAAATGTAGTCTTAACGTCTTCATTTGTTTCGGATCGGTTCTCGGCAAAAAATCATTGGAATAGCAAGTTCTAAGAATTTATTTTAAAACGCTGGAATATGTTATTAAGATTAGCCAGCAGACTTTGGTTATTATTTTAATTAAACAATAAATTATTTCTATTACACTTATTAATTTCCCCGATAATCATATAGCCCGTGTCAGTTGTAGTAAAATTTTATAAAACTCTCTGTTTGTTTTTAAAAACGAAAAATGGTTCCTATCACATAAAATTACGTAGTAATACTTACAACGATACAAAGAATAAATAAATATGTGAAATAATCGTTCCGGTATACTAAAGTCATAAATTATTTTTAAAAAATTGATAATTTTCTTAATAAAATTATAATATTACTTAGTTTTATATATTTTGCTTGTTCTAGTATTATACATATGTATATAATAACTAGCTATAACTCAGTTCGAGAATAGATTTAGGCTAAATTTAAATACAAATAAAATATAAGAAAAGTGTCAAGAGCACTCAGGAATTGTTTATTTTAAAATTTATCTAAATTAATAAAAAACAACAAAATATTATGTACAATAATAAAAATAATACCTATGTACTAACAAAATTTGGTTAATAATTTTTTGATAAGTCTTTTCAAATTTTGGCCTTTTGTATTGTTGAATAATTAAATTGAAATATATTTGATTCTTTAATTAGGAGAGCACTAACGAATGTAGACTTAAAACTTAAGATTAAATAACGAGATGAAGCTTTGTAATTGGACATACAGAAGTCAAGTGCGCTTAATAAAAACAATAAAATATTTGCAAGAAATTCTGCTACAAAAATATTATGGTGGTACAATCTAAAGTTCGTATATTCTGCCACACATAATGGCGTGCAAATTTGTCTTAAAAGGTAGAATTTTACATCATAAAGCTTACTCTCATAATTCTGAATATCACGCTAAGTAAATATGTAATGTGAGGTTATAATATTTTAATTGTTAATTATACATACTAAAAGATATTGAATGACCTCGTGATACATGGAAATATATAAAGGTGACTTTTTAAATTCCTCGTCTTTATAGTATGTTTACGTCCTGCATATTATACCCAGACGTTGGATTTCCACTATGTACATATATATACATATAGTGGTGAAAAGGTAGATTTTATGAGTTGATGTGGCTATTTCGTTAAATCACTAGCTCGTTTATGACATTACGATTTACGAGTAAATTTTGCCTTTGTCTTTATTTTTCTGTAACTTCCGGTACAACATAATCTTGTTCTGTGGTAATATTTAAAAATAAATAATACAAGAACAGAGTGTCTTCCCCTTAGAGGCTGTAAGTAGTGTTATTGGACACTTTGTTAAGTTAAATATCCTTTTTAGTTTAGGTTAGTTTTAAATTATTTATTAGTCTTAATGTCAGAATGTAATGTTAAATGATGTCTTTGTGCAGAGACGTTCTGTGGTGTTTTTGAAATGTCAAAGTCCATATGTTGAATTTCGTTTCTTCAACATTTCATTGCATCACATTTCAATTAGATAATATTAATTTACTTACTAGATACTAAATAAGGCAACTGATACACGTTACGTTTTTTCATGCCTAGATCAGACATTTAAAGTCAGTAAAGTCTATTAACCTGTTTGAAATTGAAAACCTATTAAGCATCGTTGTGATTTGAAAACTTCGTTAGCATCGATGTGATTTGAACAGTAAAAAGAGACATACACATAAATTCATAAGATTTAATGTGGGAGAAAATGATATAGGAAGCATTATACAGTGTATGAACTTTACATATTATTAATTATAAAAACGTTTTTCAATTAATAATTTATCATCAAAATTAATCATTGATATTAAACTAAAAAATTTAAAATTCTCCCATTATCTTAAAACCAAAATTTTTGAAGGTTTCTCTTCTACCACGTGTGAATTTCACACGTTTTTTTCCAAAACGATGGCAACATTATAGAGTTGTCAAATAAATATATCTATAATGTGAAGGTCAACTTTAGGTTAAGAAATGTTAATTAGTAATTTTGCACTCACAAAATTGTTATTCATTTTCATATTTTATTAAATTGTTAGATTTTATAAATAAAACTATTGAAACACATTTCATTATTTATTCACAACCTATTAAAAAACATATTTTATGAATTCATTTCAATTCTTAAGAATTGGTACGCTCTTTTCTCTTACAGTCAAAATGGTTCGGAAATATTTGAGCTGGTTCCACATAGTGGTGGTGCGCGGCAAAAACTGCCTTAAGAAACGCTCAGCATAACTGAACGACGAAGTCGAGGTGATACGAATGGTATTTTGTATTCTGCCTCGACGTCCGATGATGAAACTCAGCTGCAGAATAACGCAACGTCAGGGGAAGCCACTCGAAAAGTGACTGGTTGTCGACGTATCTCGTATGACCGAAATATCGGAAAAACCTACTTAGTATAACTAATAGAGACGCGTTTGTCAACAACGTATTGGAATGGCAAGTCATAAGCGTAGCTGTTTACTCACAGCAATATCGTATTTCATGTTACAGCTAAGCTATGGCGATTGTAAATCAGGCCTAAATAGACGGGTTTGTCAAAAACGTTTGTATTAACAAACGAGTTTTTCTCACCAAGATCTTATTTATTTATTAAACTTATTATAAACCTGTTATACAATTAAGTTACTTTTATTTAATTCTGAAAAACCTTTAATCATTTATATGTACATTTTAAAATCATAGTATGTTACCCGAAGAGTCCAGAAACCTATTAAGTAAGTTACGTAATAAATCGAGGAATGGGAGCTGGAAGGTTGGAAGGTTGTTTCCGGCAATCTTACATTCATTAAATAAATTATATCTATTTGTAAATTATCTTAATTATATTTAAAAACGATGGGAAAGTATATTTTGACTTCCAAATGGATTAAACCTTAAACCGTTTATGAATACGGCTGTGAATTATTTAGTGGACATATCAGCGCCATATTTGTAGAAGAGTGCGCGCCAGAATTGCGCTCTCTCTGGCGTGAGAGGCGCCACGTATTGTGGTTCTAAGTTTATTTCTAAATGATGGGGATACGGCAGCCATTCTCCATTTGACACGTCTGGGGTTGGGGTTCTGGAAGGAAATTAAATATTAAAACAAAACGATTACTGAACCACTCGTTTTCTATATATCTATGTACTATTTATTCGCCGATGGGGTTCAAGTGTACATATATACAAGCGCTAATTAAAGATTTAAGTTGGCGCCTGATAGATAGTAGGTACTGGTGACCCCAGAGCTGGTGCTTTTCTCGCTCAACGTTTAAATGTCGTAATGCAGCGAGGAAATGCTGCCAGCGTTTTATTTTTATAAATTTTTAAGAATTCTTATTATTACTATGTAGGTTAAGAATATTTTATGAATTATAATTCAGGTGGTCAAAAGTGACCAGCGAAACTGGACTGACAATTTTTTCTGCTTAAGATCGTAGGATTAGCATCGCAGTGCGATGCATGTAGCTGATTTTGTGTCTAGAACATGCCGGTGTCCTTGCAATATTTTCCATTAGCATACCAGGGTAAATGGATAGGCCATACACTACGAAGAAATTCGAATTATAACCCCAAGCAGGCGCTTGATTGTAACCCGCAAGGAAAGCGGAACGGTGACCGTTCCAAGCAAACCTGGGGTCGTCCAGTTACAGATGAGGCAAAGAGAGCCGACAAGACTTGGAGAGAGGTACAAGGCTTAAAGACCGAACGCGATGAAGATTAACTGTGTACGCCCTCTGCCCCCTGTGTCTTATAGAAATTAAGTCATACCAGAAATCTCACGATCAAACACGAACTTTTAGTTTAGTACTTACCCAAATTTAGCGAAATTTGTCCACATCTGCGTCATGAATGTAACAATTCTCGCGTCATTTTCATCCATTTCCAAAGGCAGTCTATCCAAGTCGAACACGTAAAATAACTCGTCCAAATTTGCCGTGGCATCCAGTGTACTGTTAGTCAATATACGACCAAGATTTCTGTTACCAATATAACTGAATAAATACTGATATACTGTATTATTCCCGTATAGATCTGCAAATAACGACATTGGACCCACGTGACAGAAATCTGTGTTCAGGTTTACCAATCCACCCACTAAAGCTTCATCATTTGTTATTTCAGAAAAGAAGGTATCTCTTAACATTTTTCGGAAGTTTTCTTTGTCTTCAGGATTGAAGTTCCTCTGGTCTAACGCTGAAAAGTCTTCGTGATGTATTCTATCCATTTGGCCTGTAACTGTATTATAGTCTAAGATAGAAGAAAGACCTTCGACAGTGTTTAGACCAATAATTGCTGGTACTGGATGGAAATAATCTGGTCTGTTTGAGAGAATATTAAATGGAGTATCAGTCAGAAATGGTTCTTCACCTTTGAATACTTTTTCTACGGATGGAAGGAATACTGATTTAGCATTCATTTGATTACCTATTGCCTCCTCTACTTTGCTTATCTGAGTTTCCCTGTAAAGTTTGAGCAGAGTCTTTGGATCTTCAGATTTCATGCTAAGGGACTTGGCTAAATGACTAGCTGTTTTGAGTGGACTATGGTCGAATACATGTGGGGAAAATGGGGATCCACTCTCAGATATAACTCGATGGAACAATCCTTTCGTGCTTGGTGACATAGTTAGGTAAATAGCGGCTACTCCACCGCTGCCTTGACCAAAAACAGTAACATTATCAGGGTCTCCTTGGAAATTCTTAATATTCTTCTGTACCCACCTCAACGCCGCCCTTATATCCTTCAACCCAGCATTTCCTGGTGCTTCTTTGATGCCTAAATTGAGAAAACCATAAGCGTTCAGCCTATAGTTAACTGTTACGACTATAACGCCATGGCTGATGAGAAACTGCGGCCCATAAAATATTGGCGAAGAGGAACCGACACCAAAATCTCCTCCATGGAGGAAGACCATTACGGGACAGGTTGTGTTAATGAATGCAGGGGTAAATACGTTGAGGACAAGGCAATCTTCGTTCTCGCTTGGGGCAGCGAGGGGATCGTATGTTGGAAATTGGGGGCAAAGAACAGCACGATTGTCAGCTTTGTAGATACCGGAGAAGGATTCAGGTGGTGCTGGTGCCTGGAAAGGTCATAGTATTTGAATATTTTAGTAGATAGTGTTTTTACCCGAAATAAAGTTACTTCTAATATTTGAAAAATATGTTTCTTGAAATGCATTTATTTATTTACACTTCGTTATTTTAAACATACATGTAAAAAAACAGGTCACATAAGTTATTAGACAACGGGGGGGCTTATCGTTAACAAACTATTTCTTCCAGGCAACTTTAGTATGAAAATAGAAAAACAAAGAAATACCTACTGAAGGTAAAGTACAAGAAGTGCATAAAAAACATGAATAGTTATTGAGGGTTAAGCAGACGTAATATGGTTTACAAAATATACAAGTAAACAAAACAATTCTTAATTGTTTTAATCAAAAGGGTCACCCGTTTGGGACAGACCTAATCATTTAAATGAAATGTTTTGTGTCAACAAAAAAAAGCGTAATAAATTATAGTATATTTAAAAGTAAATGCAAAATTTTATAACGATATTGACATTTTTGTTTTAATACGTTAATTTATTATACTATAAAAAATAAGACTGTTCACCAACTTTCATATAAAGAAAATTAACAAAGAATGAAATCTGAGAGAGTTTTAGAAAGTTAGGCCCTGTTAATATTATCTATGGCAAAATATTTTTCTTGTTACCACGTAGATTAAAAAAACTTACCCGAAATTTGATCGGTACAGCATATCTTATCCCCAAAAACTCGTAATATAAGCCACTCGATGCTAAACTACCCTGAACTTGGCCCTCCGTCGTTGTCACTATCAAATTATTCTCCATTGCAAGAGTAACGCCAAAAATGGCGGCAAATATGACAATTTGCCACTCCATTCTTTTTCAATGCAAATGAGGTTCTATTGAATGTGTAATGATAAGTTAACGATTACATATTTGTCCATTTTATACAGTTATTTATCAAAAACTTTCGGAAATATTGCAATATTTATTTTACACCTTACACTAACACTATCACTGCAGAGACTCTTTTCCTGTTTATTAATATTTAGTTAAAGCACGTGAGTTTCGATTTATAATTGAAAATCTTCTTCGTAACACTTTTACTTAACAGATCAACACCAGTATTAAATCATGGAGTCAATAAAAATTTATTAATATCCTGACATCCTTTATATAAAAAACTAATTTCTATATACTGCTCTCACTATATTACTAGTGTTGCGACATTGAAATTAAGTGACATAAAACAAGAATATATTCAAATTCCCTGTAACGTAAATAACAGACGCCCTAAATCCGTATTACGTCAAAAACACCTTATTAAATTTTTTGACATGGATAATAAATACGCTTGTCATTTGGATATATTTTGGTTCGGAGGTTATAAATTGCTGATTGTTATGGATCTGCATTTAAAGTGTTAAACAGATAAGTACGTGCTCTTTTAAAATGAGATAATCAGATTGTAAGACAAGATGTTATGTAATTGTTAAATTATTATACAATTGTGTGAAATATTAATTGATAAACTGCCTTCCTTCTTAGTGGGTTTGTTTTTCTAATTATGGAATGGGATGCTCTTCTTTAATAAAATCACAGAAAGTTTTTTATTCTGCATTTCCATAAATGGTTGAGGAATGTATTGAAGAAAGCTGTGTAAAAGGGATCCTCGATTATCTAATCTGACTAGTTTAAAGGGCCTGGGCTAAGGTCAAGACAAGCTTCCTCTAATTAAATGCGATACTTTGTTTTAAATAAGTATTGTTTGATGGTTTGATAATGTTATCATAAGAAACTAGTGTATAATGCAGCTTGTTATCTCCGGCTACATCTCTATCATCTTTGCCGATGAGAATAGGGATGCCTTCAAATTCATTTAATGACGTTGAATAAGTGTTAAAGCATGTATCTTTTGTTCCATCGTAAACATATTTTATTTTTTATTTTTCATTTCGTGACTGTCGGCGCGGAGTAGGGTTTAGTTTAGGCGCTCGTCATAGCATCAATGTATATGGAAGTGTTTACAAAAACAAAGAAAGTTATTATAGTCATACATGTTAAATGCGTAGATAATTGTTAAGATAGTATGTTGCTAGTACTCTCCAAGACACAGGGATCCTCGATCAATCTAACTACTGATGGTTTAAAGGTCCTAGGCTTATAGGTCCCAGAACATCCATTTTCCAATAAAAATTAAGCCTGTAAAAACTTTGTTTTACCCGTAACGTCATAGTAGTCCCAATTTTCTAGGTATCTGCTACGAATGTAATGGCTTAAAATCCAATACTATTGTTACTAGATTCTGATTGTAAGCTACTGTGCAAACTCTTGATCATTATACAAAGGAGTGGGGGAAACCACGCATCTGGGACACAAACGTCAACTGATTTACCAATCGCGCGATCTCTGCCGCCGCCGCGCACCACCACCCATCCCAGTGATACCTAAAAATCGCTTCTGCGCAGGCAAGAATATTTGTTCATGATGTTTGCCGGTATCTGCATCTTATTATCTGTCACTGAATCAGTGTGACAGTAAATTTTAATTTACAATAAAAAAAAATTAATTAAAGTACTTAATTATGTGTTGCTTAGTAAAATTTATTCCTGTGCTATTTATAAATATATTAATTTATTTCTATCATAAGGATGCAATATGAATTTTTATTATGTTAAAGACTTGATAAGTCCAAATAATAGATTTTTTTTTTTTTTTCAGTCGTAAACTAAACCACCGCTCTTTTCCAAATACAAAATAATTGAAATCTCACTTGCTCATTATAATCCATTTAAATACACTACTTGATTTCTACACGTAGTTAATGGTAATAAAAACATGGAGACAGTTATAATTTTAAGATATATAATCATTATATAATATAATAAATAGAACTAACGTTTATTTTGCATATCCAAGTAAGAAACTTGTTTAACATTAGAAAAAAGCAGCGAGGATATTCCAGTTTTGAGTACCTACATAACTAAATAATTTCCATCTATTAGGGCAAAAATATTATTAATAGATGTTCCTGTATGTTTTTGTCAATTCTCTTGATGTTTTTAGTGAGCAAATTGTAATAAAAATTATTATTAACTCAGCGATTGACCCAAATTCCAAAAGTTTCGTTATTTCAAGGTCAAAAAAATAACGGCTGATATGAGGCCCGTCCGGAAATGTGTCGTTAAGAATTTCTTAAGAAGTTTTTAGAATTCATGTTATTCGTTCTGTACAAATAGTTCTATATATTAACATTGTCACAGTAAATACATAACGGTGTATGTAACTTATTTAATGTTAAATCATGATATATTTATATTAATATGTAACAATACTAATTTACACATAGTTTCTGTAAAGAGAAAGTAACTTTTATTTCCGAACGAACTTTGCTGTCGTCAATTTCCCATCTGCCATATTATTTGTTTTCGTTTTGACATTTACTTTCAGTTAAAATTTTTACAATTAATTTACTTATTTTTTTAAATAATAGATTATTATAGCAATAGTTATTTTAGATTATTTTTATTTAAACAAAAACTTACTTTAACTAGTCAATTATTAACTGAACTGAGTTTTAGTACAATCCATCCTGCTTACGTGTTGTGACAAAAAATAATGCAATAAAAGTTAAATTAAGTCCACACCAGCCTAGTTATGAATAAGAAACCAAGAATAGGTCCGAAAATACGAATCACACGCCCAGCATTACGTCGGAAGCCAGAGAATTTACCACCAAATTTCGACGGAAAGAATTTCATTTATACTTGCCAATACTGTTGTGTAAAATTCACCCAAAACAGTCATTTCTTTCGACATATGACGTCGAACCACCAAACCCAGCAACGACAAGCTACTTTTGAATGCAATGACTGTCAGATCATGTTCAAAAGAAAGAGTAACTTGGATATACATTGCCAAACGCAGCATCAGATCAAAAGTAAGTCAAAATGTGAGGCTTGTGCTATTACGTTTAAGTCACGTTACTGCCTTCGACAACACTTAAAGTTGAAACAAATTTTAGCTGAAAATTCATGTATAAAATGTCAGAAAAAGTTTACAAGCAAAGATGGACTGAATAAACACTACAACAGCAAACATACATACAAAAATGTAACATTTGAATGTGATTTCTGCTCTCTAAAATTTAAAGCAAAGGAATCACTACTAACTCATTTGAAAAGAGTACATAATCGGTTTAGATTTTTGTAAAGTAACTGTTTACCTGCCCATGGCCTAATGTCTTGAGATTTTAGATTATTATTTATTCACTGGACATTCATGAATGAAGTGTATTTCCTTCTCTTTTAATACCAAAAACTTTTTATTTAGCTATTTTTGTTGTTTTTACAGCACTTGGGATATCTTTTGTAAAAGTGCTTTCATTAATTGAACATTTAATTTAAAGGTTTAAATCTATCTGTTCTCTGTTTTGTATTTAAAGTAATATTCATGAATTGTCTGCTTAAATGTACATTATTTTTAGATTAATTCTTACTTTTTATAAATATAAACTCGAATATTGTCTTCAGGGCCATGTCAAATCTTATAATTTTGAACCTGTTTACTACTTTTCTTTCTTTAAGGTTTTCATTAATGACTGCTATATTATTGTCTCAACACATTTTAATACAAAGGTCCAAATGTATTATATTAATTTTGAAATATTTGAATAAACATATTTTTGCTATGTTCAGTTTAAAATGTTTGTTACTAATTTAACTGTAATTAAATTTATACAAAATAATTTAGCATTTTTATATATCTTCATAGCTACATCATATCTGTTTATGCATCTTTTAATTGATAAGGATCATGAATCAATTTATAGATTATAGAGTCAGCTAGTAATTTTAGAACTTCTGCTTGTTGTGCCTTTCAAGACCTTTTAAATTTAAGTTTTATTACGAAACCTACTGAGCTTTAGAGATATTTGTTTGGAGGTTGGAATAACAAATTAATAATCCTCTATGCTAAGCTATGTACCAATCAGGAGCACTACTAACTGGTATTAATTAAATTACATCTGATTTTATTAACAATCTAAAATATGTGTAATAAGTTCTTTTAAAATATGTAATTAGCCTAATGCCTCCCATTTGGGATGATTTGAGAGATTTGAATTCAGTTCAGTATGTCCAGCTGTAAAGTGATATATCATTTACTAGCTAAAGCTAAGCCGAAACTACTATGTTAAACAGGAATTTAGTTATGTGTAATGGTCACAGATATGTCACGTGCAGGTTTACAAGTAAAATGATTAAACAAAAATCAAATCAAAAGTTAAGTTAAAGTTTTTTTGTTTGAAAGTATTTAGATATTAAATTATCTTATTCTTTATAGAATTGGTAGGTACTTCTCAGTTATACAATGAGTACCTATTAAGTGTGGTTTACGACTACTAGTTTCGTCCATCATGAATGAAAAACCAATAAATAAATTAGAATACATTCGAGTTCGGCACAAAAACAGATTAATAAACTCTTGCAAAAAAATGGGCACATAAGCAAATTTACGTTTTCAAGTCGTTTTCAGTTGATAGAATGAAATTTAATTGTTTGACGTAGTATGTATAATCGTGTAAATTAATACGCGTGAAGTGAATTCTGGCAATTTTTTATATAATTTTTGATGGATTCTTTATAACCGATGTAAACGGCCAAACTAAGTTGTGGTCGGCAATAAAGAGGATTCAAGCTGTTATGTTGGCAAGAGCACACTCGTAATTAAGTTTTTACATTAATTACTTTAATTACGTTAATTAATAAAACTTAAAAAATCTTTTTGTCTATGTAAAGTGTGTTTCATATACTTTACTACATTTATACAAAAAAGTAATTTAAATATGAAAGTTGTGAAATGCCTTCAATGTGACA